AGTCGTTTCTTACAATACAAAACCTACAGGTAGGATGCAAAGAACTTTGGACAGTATTTTGAGAGAAATATTATGACCTCCAGGCTCTATTTTTCAGTCTCAGCTTCTGACCTGCAGTATCTTTCCTGGGATTATAATACTGGCCCACCTCACATGGTTGTTGTAATGATAATAGAACGAGGTACATGAAATTCTGTGAACACTTGTCAAGGCCAAGGGAGAGATCTTTTTGCTCGTCACAGCACTGTGCTCCTTCTGAACTTTGATTTACAACAGAGGTTCTTGAACTGTCATCCACGGAAAGGGTGCGGAATAGTTAAACATATCTGTACTTGGCCCTCTGATTTATTTATTTATTTATCCTGGCAAGAATGATCAGTTTTGCAGAACTTGGCTCCCCAAATCAGCATTTGCTTTCTCATGCAGTGGATGTGCTAAGGTTATTAAAATTTTGAATTAGTTGCTATAGATTTTTTTAAAAAAAGAAGTTTGAGTGGTCCATCAAGTGGTCCCACCCCCAAGCAATGTTCAAATGATCCACAAAAAAAGACAAATTTGAGAACCACAAATGTATAGCATTTTTACCTTACCCCTTTCTCCAAGATCTTCAGAGAGCCATACTTGATTCCCTTCCCATTCCCCATTTATTTTTTATTTTTTGTTACCTAGGTAGACTTGCTTAAGGCCACCCAGTGAATTCGAGCCCCAGTCCTGGTCTAAAACTGCAGACGTATGTGAGTTTCATAGGCAGATCAAACTGTTTCTGCGTTTTCCTTTGTCCTCTGCTGCCTGGATACCACAAGTGCTATTTGTACAGCAATTTTAAGTGTGTCACACCTTTGTTAATGAAAGTGTGTCTGTTCTCACTTGTTCTGCGTCAGGTGGACCAGAGCTTAGGTTCCAGCCCTCTGCAGAGAGTTTTCTGACATCTGATTTAAAGGAATGTGTAAATTGCCTCATGTGGTTAAGTCAGTAGGTAATCTATTTTATTGTACCTAGTTAATGCCTAATTCCAAACTGTAAAGGCAAAATGAAGTGTTCGAGGGAGAGAAATACTATAAAAGGAAATAGAACTTTAGAACCTTCTAGGCTTTAGTGTGCCAGCTAATGCATCCATCCACCTTGAGTGATTTTCCTGGCTGCTTTGTGTCCTTGAACTGAAATAGCACTTACTGCCTGCCCTAAAGGAGGATGGAGTTGTGGGTAGCTAGATACCATTGTCCTTTGCATGGCTGGAATGTAGCCTACTGTGCACAGATAAGAGTCACATCCGTTGCTCCGCCCAGTTTTGCTTCTGGGCCCACCCACTGTTTTGCATATGTCCCCACCCACCACTGGCTTGTTTTGCCCCTAAGGCAATGTGGCCATACAGCTGAAAAACGGTATCCTACCCCTTTTTTAGGGGACGCGGGTGGCGCTGTGGGTTAAACCACAGAGCCTAGGACTTGCCGATCAGAAGGTCGGCGGTTCGAATCCCCGCGATGGGGTAAGCTCCCATTGCTCAGTCCCTGCTCCTGCCAACCTAGCAGTTCGAAAGCACGTCAAAGTGCAAGTAGATAAATAGGTACCGCTCTGGCGGGAAGGTAAACGGCGTTTCCGTGCGCTGCTCTGGTTCGCCAGAAGCGGCTTAGTCATGCTGGCCACATGACCCGGAAGCTGTACGCCGGCTCCCTCGGCCAATAAAGCGAGATGAGCGCCGCAACCCCAGAGTCGGTCACGACTGGACCTAATGGTCAGGGGTCCCTTTACCTTTACCCCTTTTATATAAATATAAATATAAATCATAGGTGCAGCAATTATAGTTTTTGGATCCAAATGTTCATTCATTTCAAATCTCTCAAAAACACTTTAAGAACCTAAATTACAGTTCCACAGCACTATCCGTGTTCAAAGTGCTTAATAGCCACCTTAGCTATTGTTTCAACACCAGAGAAAAGATGCACTAGATTCAGAAGACTGGATGGCAGGATTCTACATTGTAGGACCATGGATTCTACATGTGTAGAACTGTTTCCCTTGATTAAAGAGTTTAAATTAACATTTCCAGTCAAAAATAATTTATTTTAACTGCCGTTCTCTGGAATTTCTGACTTTTAAAGTGGGCGGTATTGATTATGCATTATTGCAACAAAGAACACTGAGCTCATTGAAGTGCATCAAAAAAAGGAGGATGTTTTATGTAATGGTCAAGGATCTTGTTCCAAGCAAGAGACATAACTCATTTCAAGGCCAGTGTCTGCTGCTCTTTAAATACCATGACTAAGGCCAATGAACATCATGTAAATAACAGCATCACTGCAAACTGGATCAAGTAATTGTCCTGTTTGACCACCATCAAGTATTTTTTAAAATTTAAGGGTGTTTTGTTCTGTTTTTACAAAGTAGCCCTCAAAGAAGGGCGTTCGAATTTTCCGCATCTGTATCATGACATAATGTTGGCTTGCATCTGCTCTTCCATTATTTTAAGATTTGTGTAGAAGAACATACAAGAAGCAGAGGGTCAAAAGATGGAAATCATCTAAGGACTGTAGGCAAGCAAAGGGGAAGCAACATGATAGACGTGTATGACATCATGCATACTGTGGAGGAAAGTAAGTTTTCCTCCTTTTCTCATAATATTAGAACTTGGGGTCATCCAATGAAGCCGAGCGTGGGAAAATTCAGGGCAGACAAAAGAACTTCTTCACACTTTGCATAGTTGAACTTCAGTCTGCTGCCACAAGATGTAGTGATGGCCAACTTGGATGGTTTTAAAAGGCAAATTCATGGAGGATTCAACTATGAGCAGCTGTAAATCATGATGGCTGAATTACAGTATGCTTCTGTGCATGAGTTCCTGGAGATACGAGTGGGAGAGTACTGTTTGTTCAATGTCCTGCTTGTGGCCTTTTTCATTAGGCATCTGGTTTGCCACTGTGAAGACTGAATCCTGTACTAGATAGACCTCTGGCACAGCTCTTGTTATGATCACATCTGATGCACATGTTCCCCTTATGTACTCTACGCAGCTGCACTATTATACTTGGGCAGCTAGAAATTTATTCTTAGAATAGAGATAGCCATTGTGGTGTCCTTCAGATATTGGGAGCCACAACTCCTCCATTCTTGAATATTAGCCATGCTGCCTGGGGCTTATGGGAGTTGTAGTCCCAAACACTTAGAGAGCAACATGTTGTCTCTAGGACTGACAAAATGGGAAGGGCTACCAGTGTCTGCTGTCCTTGAAGAAGATGCTTCTAACATAACCTACTGTTCAGTAGCAAATGACACTTTATTATAGTGGGGTACGTACAATTAAAATGTGGCCGCAATTTTTAAAATCTATAAATAGACAATAAAGAACTTGCCAACATGCATAACTTGAAAACTCCAGTTGGCAGATGTGTACTATCCATGTGTGATTGTACAAAGGATGCTCAAAGAACAGTTAACCTGCAACCTGCATTGGCCTGCAGGAATTTATTAAATAAACATATTGAAGGAAGATGGGTTTGGCAATGGCTAACAGCCATTAGCTAAATTTCATGTTGGCAATATAAATTCACCTTTAAATATTACTTATGTATTTGCCAATCCATTGTAGTGTTAATCCATGTAATGTAATCAATCAAACTCTTTAAATTCTGATTCCCGATTACACTAGGCCTTAGTCCAAATGATGTTGCAAGGAACTGATGTGCCTCAGTGTGTTGCACATGAGAGAAGTGACATGGATCTATTAACTGAGATCACAACGAGGAAGTGATTTGGAAGGAAGATTCCATAATGCCTTTTCTTACAAAGGATGCAGTTGAAAGAAGTGCCAAGATTCCTTAACCTGGTTCACTACCTCAGAACAAGTCTCCTCAGTGTAGTTCTAATATTTCCTCACCAAATTTAGCTGCAAGAGCCTCACTTCGAGGGCTCTAGAGAAGGTGAAGCAAACTCTGAGGGGATGGCATATATTAATTTTATGTAGAGATAGACAAATCTACTTGTTAAGATCAACTGATTCGTTTCCCCTGGGTCTAGAAGAGCAAATACTACTGAGAAGTGGCAATCTAATCTTGTTAGTACTGTTCTATTTTAGGAGGCTCTCTGATGTATCCCGGGAACTTTGCAGTCTACTAGGCTCTTTATATAATTCTGTTTTATTAGAGCAACAGAAGTAGTCCAAAAACGGGACCTGAAACAGTTCACTTACTCCTTGAGTGCTTGTACTTCTACTCTAAAAATAAATAAATATTTTTTTGCCGTTTCTGTTCAAGTAGCCTTGTAATTCAGATGAATCCTGTTTGAGCTTTTATTGAGAGTTGGGCTGTTTATTTACATGCATACATGGGAGGCAGGGTCTCCCCAGGGTCCCCTGTGATAGTCAGAACACTCTTAAGTGTGATTTTAATTTGCATGTCCACATATCCTGCATCCCCCTAGGCCTGCAGACAGGAAAATGCAAACACAACTCAGTGGCAGGGAGTGCGGTTTCAGCTTGTGACAATGAGCTCTGCGTCTCTATTGCCAACTTCACAATAATAATGGCAATCATGACGGGGATCGTATACCATGACTGCAGAGTCTGGTTGTTAGGACAAGTTGTGAAGCTTTCTGACTATACACACAGAGGGAGGAATCATATTTCTGATTCCTACCCTATTTACTCCAAGTAAGTGTGAACTTGCAGACATCAGTCAAGGCGGCTTCAATTATATATAACTGTGTCACTTTGCAGCAATTGCATGTCAATAGATCTGCATGTACTTCCTCTACACAGGAATGCAAATAACTGTGAGCCTGAGAGTGTCAACGTGTTGCAGGCACTGGCGGAGGAAGAGGAGTGCGGGGAGAGCGTCCCGCCCTTGGCAGCGTGATCCCCAGGGTGTTATTGCGGCTGCCCGCCCCCTGCCCGTGCTGGGTGCCCCATCCCCGCAGGCGCATGAAGCTCTGCTACTGGTTGCAGGGGTAGCCAATGTGGTGCTCTCCCAATTATGCTGAACCACTCCTCCCTGACCTGTGGCTATGCTGGCTTGGGCTGTTGGAAGTCGAATGCCACCATTAAGTAAGTGAAACGGCTCGGTAGAGCAAGGTGGTAGTAGTGGGTGGAAAAAAACCATTCATGTTTCAGTTTGTAATCTTTCCAGAAAAGAAAAGTGGAAGAGCAGTTTGAGAGAGGAGTATACTGTGTTATATTATTTTCTCATTTTCTTTGTGAGTTACTAATTGCTGCATTAAATGCATACAGTTGCTTCTGCCATTGAAAGCCCCATGATGTGAACATTATAAGCATCTTCCTTCCTGGGAGTCTTTGTACAATACCCATGCCACTTTTTTAAAAAAAGAAATCAAGAACCTGTTTTCTGCACAGCTTTTACAAATAAAATGAAATGTTGAGTGCAACAACGCCTGAAGAAAAGAAAGATGCCCTTTCTCACAGTTATTTCTATATGCACAGGTGTGTAGAGTGGTTATGAAAAGGAAGTGGGTGGTTTGATGACAAGTGCAATACAACAGCCTGTTCCGTATTTTGAATTCCCTTATGTAGCTTTTTTTGTTTGTTTAAATGCTGTTGAATTTCAGTCTTATGTCATTTTGACTCTCCCCTATGATATTTGGAAATGTTACCAAGTAACAGAAGCTGTTATGCACAAGAGTGACGCTCTTGACATCCGTGGGGTTAGCAACAAAAGAACCTCTTATGATGTAAATAGGCTGGAGAAGGTCAGCCTTATAATGTTTCTCATGGAGACAGGTACTTTCAGCCAAACGGGAGGTAGTGAGATATAAGCCTCATCTGCTGGAGGTCTTGGAAACCAGCATAGATCTATTGTCCAGCCAAAATCACCATGGGAAATGGTTCTAGAATGTTTGGAGGGGTGGTTTTCTTTTTGTATGACAAAGGGGAGAAGTGATAGAGGGTGACAATACTAAGCATGTTGTGGAGATCAATAGAAGGTCCCCCATATAATTCCCAGTAACTTGGGATCATACAATGAAAGAAATTGGCAAGAGATATCAGACAGGCAAAAGGTTTGGGGGTTACGCTGTGGTCTAAACCACAGAGCCTAGGGCTTGCCGATCAGAAGGTCGGTGGTTCGAACCCCTGCGACGGGGTGAGCTCCCGTTGCTCAGTCCCAGCTCCTGCCAACCTAGCAGTTCAAAAGCACGTCAAAATGCAAGTAGAAAAATAGGTACCGCTCTGGCAGGAAGGTAAACAGTGTTTCCGTGCACTGCTCTGGTTTCACCAGAAGCGGCTTAGTCATGCCGGCCACATGACCTGGAAGCTGTACACTGGCTCCCTTGGCCAGTAAAGCGAGATGAGCGCCGCAACCCCAGAGTCGTTTGCGACTGGACTTAACTGTCAGTAGTCCTTTACCTTTATAAGACAGGCAAAGAACTTTACATTGTGCATAATTAATTTATGGAATCCACTGCCACAAGATGTGGTGAAGGCCATTATCTTAAAGCAGGATTAGGCCAGTGTTATTGGACCCCCAGATATTTCCCCATCATCCTTGACCACTGACTAAGATGGCTAGGGATGATGGCAGTTGTAGTCCAACCACTTCTGGAGATTCTGAACTGTGGATTCACAGAGGAAAACTGTTCTATCAGTGCTTGCCAGTCACAATGCAACCACTAGTTTCAGCAACAGCAAACAGAACAGGGGTATTCCCTTCATGTCCTAATGAGCTTTCCAGAGGCATTTGGTGGGCCATTATGAAGAACAAGTCATTGGTTTAGAATAGACTGCTAAGTCTTCTCCAGCGTGGCTTCTCTTATGTTTCCATGCATGCATGAGGCACACACGTGGGGGCACCATAGTGTTGAAAGAACTATTTATTTCTCTTTGAGAGTCACCTTCAGATTCCACTTGGTCCCCACTTGGACTTGGCAAGCTATACTATTGCTGCTGCTGACATTCCTAAAAGACTGTCAAAAAAAGGTAACAGTAGTTTAAGGGAAATATTATTGGAACATGGATAACACCCTCCAAACCACATCACTGGCCATATCAGGTAATTGCCTTGATCAAATGCTGAGGATCACAGTCTGGCCATGAAGTCTATTATAAAGAGTACTTCAGCCAAGGGTTAGAGGCTTTCCCAGGGTTAGAGGCTTTCAGGGAATGTCTGTGAGGAAAAAAATGTGGGAAGCAGACATAGCTAACTTTATTTAGTTAGCCTCCAGAAGCTGTACGCCAGTGGTGTTGGGTGCAATGTTCTCCACTTTTGCATGCTATTAGCAAAGAGGCAAAATGGCTAGATTGCTATATAGCAATGTGAGCAGCTTGCCTTGTTTGTTAATAGGATATACAAGTGGAAAATGCACAGGATGGCTGTAGGACTCGTTAATAGCAACGTAAACGAGATAAATTAAAATGCAGGTATTGTGAAAAGTAACTGGCTAGGAATAAACAAACAAACTGGGTAACATGTTAATGGCTTTCCTGTGAAATTTCTATTGATAGGTGTTTGTCATAGTGACATTCTGTTTCTCACAATAAATAGGGTGGAAATAGAGAGCTGATGCATCAGCTGAAGACAAGATGAGCATCTCACCGGAATTAAACTTGCATACTTTCAGCAAAAGCTTTGAACTCCAGAATAACTCTCACATTTATTCTTATAAGAAATTGTCTTCTAGCCTTCCTCTAAACATACGTATAAGTAAGATGAAAGAACGCCCCAACCCACAACTTTTTGATAGCTGCCTCCATATTAATCAGCTCCCACACAAATGCTGGGGAACACTTAAGTAAGCATCATGCCACTGCTCGTATAGCTCAGAAGATTTCCTAATGACTAATCACTCCACCATCATTTTAAAAGATGGGGCAAGTTAAAAAGCTTTGTTCTGCGGTGATTCTATGATATAAGTAATCATATTTGCAGTTAGAGCCAAATAATTAATCTTACTGCTGACATCCAGATCTTCTCACAAGCAGAAAATCCCACCCTTAGGAAGGTGCATGCAGTCATTTTTGCAAATCTGTCTCCCTTCCTTGCATAAAAGAAAATGACAGTCTGTTTGTTTTTCATTTTGGAAATTCCTTGTCCTACCACAGCTTCCTTTGTCAGATCTCTTATGATTTACCTTTGGCAACTTCTGAATTTTCAAAGCCAAACAGAATGTTTCTGTTCCATTCTGAGCATTCTGTGTTCCTAATATTTAAGTTTATTAAATATTATATAGCTTTATGTGGAGGGTTTTATGGGGATAGTGGGGAGCTAGTGTTAAAGCTCAATCCTATACATGTTTACTTCGAGCTACACCCTGCTGTGTTCAATGGAGTTTGCTCCCGTGTAAGGATTGCAGCCTGTGTCACATACTGAAATCCAAATTTTAACATACTGAAGCTGACCCCATCACTACCTGTAAAATGTTACTGACAGATGAAGATGCAACATGGATCATTCTTACTTAATAGTGTTAGTTAGGCACCTCTTGATTGACCCGTCATATACATGCTGGTACCCATAGTGACTTTCTCCTTGGACAACAGTGTCATCAGCTAGTCTGTTTTCTTTCGCTATTAGGTTCCTCTTCCTGCCTTATTTCCGTTCCTTCTGCAGTGTGTCATGGGTCTTCACTAGTTATTATTTAATTACAGTGGTACCTCAGGTTAAGAACTTAATTTGTTCCGGAGGTCTGTTCTTAACTTGAAACTGTTCTTAACCTGAAGCACCACTTTAGCTAATGGGGTCTCCTGCTGCTGCCACACCGCCGGAGCACAATTTCTGTTCTCATCCTGAAGCAAAGTTCTTAAGCTGAAGCACTATTTCTGGGTTAGCGGAGTCTGTAACCTGAAGTATATGTAACCTGAAGCGTATGTAACCTGAAGCGTATGTAACCCGAGGTACCACTGTATTTTATTTTATTCATAATAGTGATACACTGGCTTTCCTCATGCAAGTTCCTGGCAACTCCCTGCAAACAGCATAACACACAGTAAAACTAGAAATCACAAAACTATAGGAGCATAGGAAGCTGCCTTAAAATGAGTGAGACCATTGTATTCAGGAACGACTGGCAGTGGATCGCCAGCATTTCAGGCAGAGTTCTCTTCTAGCCCTGCTTGAAAATGCTAGGGATTGAAACTGGGACGTTCTGCATGCAAAGCACAATGGCAGATCAGGAGGCAGAGACAGGTGTTTTTTTTTAAGCAGCAATAAAATATCAAAAGCAGAGCAATGAAGACTAGTTGGCAAAGTCAAGTTTTTAAAAGCCTATTTAAACAAAACAAAAAAATGTTTTAACACTAATTCAAGGGCAGTAAATGCCTTGGAATCATCAGCCTTGCAACAATTTTGTAAAATAAGTATTCCTTTTTTCTTTTCTTTTTTACAGATGATATACCTGAAAGACAGTTCTGTAGACAAAGCTGCTCAGTGGGCCTTGAATTAAAAGACACTGGTCTTCTATGTCTAAGCCTAGTACTTTATCTATGAAACAATACTCATTTTTTACATACTGGTCTTCTTGTTGTCGTTGGATATGATATGGGGACATAACCTTTGCAAACACAACTCACGTTATGCAACAAGAGATCAGATATATCACTCACTCTCTTTATATCCTTGCCCGTTGCACTGGGTGGCCAGATACTGAACAAGAACACAAGTCAGTGAAGGAGAAACATTTGAGGAAAAACAGCACGCATCATATAAACAACTTACCTTAAGGGTAGGATTAATTATATAACAGAGATCCATTACATTCTGTTGATGCAATTATAAACTATTATAGCTAATTAGTGATTATACTAAATCTGTAAAGAGGAATGTATGCAACACACAGTCAACAGGCATTATCACTTCCGCTTCTATACCACCTGTCATTTTGAATTTTTAGCAATTTTGAATATTCCTAAAGTGGTTTGCAAGCTATGCTGTGAAAGCCTTGGATTTTTGGCTCCATATAAAGGTGGAACGATCAGAAATGGGGATCATGTAGGATTTTCTTACCCCACTCCAATGAAATAAAAATACTAATTAAATGTTAAATGAAATGAACTTTCTATTTTCCTCTCCTCACACACTTGCTTGCAGTTGCCAACAAGTAAACTTCCTGCCTGTATTTAACAGTGTTTCAGATCAATGGGTTCCTCCCCCATCAAAGGATCTCAGCTAAGCTATGACTTTTTAGATTGAGCTATATGCTACAGTATTGTTTCAGTATTACCACCAAGAATGCAGTGCTTTTGGGTGTGCTTAAACATACTGATGCCAATGGCATCTTTGTAGGATAAGGCTTCTAAATTTCTGGTGTACATGCAGGATACATATCATACCAGTTTAATCTGCTGCATTTTCGTGATATTTTCACAAGATCCTTCAATTTTAATAATGTTTTGTATATTTTTGACAACAGCCCTTTTACCTGCACTATCAAATCAATTCCATTATTCACGTTTGATTAGTTCTCTATCAGAGGTAATCTGACTTCTGAACAAAATTAGCAACCCAAATGGAAGTATGGAAACAAGACTGAATGTTGTGGGGAGTGGGGTGGGGTGGGGTTAAAACCGTGCATTTTACCAGTTGGTTCCACAAGAGGGAAGATTGCTGTGCACACTTAACCCAGGAGTAAGTCCCATTGAACACAGTAGGCCTACTTCTGAATAAACATGCAGTGGGTTGCACTGTTAAGTCTGCAATAAAATCTTGGTTTCTTTCCAAACCGTTCATGTCTCCGTTATGAAATCTCATTCTGCTACCCTTAAATGTTGATTCAGAGTTCCTAAATTTTGCAGTTCAGCATGATTTATTCTAATGTCTTCCGGCTTATAGCTAAACATTTAAAAGTTAAGAGTTAGGATAAAGAGAAGAACCATTTCCATAGAGGTAAAGCAGCAGGTAGAAACAGGGTTGCCAGAAAAAATACAAATGAAAGACGTTTTGTTGTGTCCGAAATAGGAAATACCACAATGTTCTATGGAGGTGTGAACTGTGAAGATAAGGGAACATCCATTCATTTCATGAGACTGTGGTTTTCTAGAATAATGGACAACCTTTAGACAAAGAATGCCATGGTACCCTAGCATCTGATAAAGAAGGCTATGAAAGCTCATGCAACCATTAAGCAATTTGTCCCTATGTCACAGTGTGCCCTGTGCCTATGTCACCTTCAGGTTTTCTACCAATACAGAACTTGTTCTCCAGGGGTCCTGCCAAGACATCTCCACCATTAGCAGTAGTTGTGAAAAGCAATACAGCTGGGGCAATATAACCAGCTGCTGACCAGTAAGAAGTTGGTGGGGGAAGTTAGTCCTTCTCTTAGCTAATGCGATTTGGTAGGGCTTGGGCTGGGGAAGTATGATCAGAAGAAGTCCAGAAACTCAGCTATAAGGTAAGGCACTTAAGTATCTAAAATTTAGACAGAAAGCTCCCCTTCCTAAGAATCCATCTGCTCTTGTTTCATAAGCCCTTGAGCATGCCTTGTTTTACATGGGATAGAATCAGTCAATTCTTTCTTCTGTGCCTTTTCCTAACTTATAGGGCTCAGGCACAGCATAGAATCATAGAATCATAGAGTTGGAAGAAACCACAAGGGCCAACGAGTCCAACCCCCTGCCAAGCAGGAAACACCATCAGAGCACTCCTGACATATGGTTGTCAAGCCTCTGCTTAAAGACCTCCAAAGAAGGAGACTCCACCACACTCCTTGGCAGCAAATTCCACTGTCGAACAGCTCTTACTGTCAGGAAGTTCTTCCTAATGTTTAGGTGGAAACATTCTTCCTAATGTTTAGCAAAAAGGGTGGACTGATAGCTAGCTCCCTATTGACCAGATGAGCAGATGAAGTGGTTAAGATCTTTCTTAAATGGGTAAAAAACTCTCAACAAAGGGCCCTTAAGGCGGGACCCTCCTACAACAGTAGATCCCACCCTAAGGTGAGTGAGCCCTCGTGGGATTACCTAGCAGCAGTGGTGCTCTCTCTGGTCATGCTAGGGGACTAGGAGAGCAATATAAATCTTTCACAATGTACCCAGCATAGTGCTGCTGTAGGGCATCATGGGAAATTAAAAGGCGATGGGAAAGGACTGCAGCCCAGGGACAGGGCAGATGCCTTGCATGCAAAAGGTCTCAGGTTCTATCTCCAGCTTCTCCAGATAGGACTCAGAAAGACTCCTCTCTGAAACTGCAGAGAACCACTGCCAGTCCATGTTGTCACTGCTGAGCTAGATGGACCAATGCCCTTACTTAATATAGGGCAGCTTCCTACATGCTGGCCATACAAAGTTTTTACAAATAGGCAGTGCTTTATTCTGTGGGTACACAGGGCTATGCATACCCCTAAACATTTTGTGAATCTAAGTTTGGCCTCATTGAGGGGCAGCATTTCAATATGAGTAGGAAAATGAGAGGACCCCTAAACATTTTTTAAGAAAAAAGCACTGCATATAGTAAACATTTTTTTAAAAAACTTGGCTGTACCTTTTTAGACTAAACTTTTTAAAAACGTTTTTGCAACTATGTTTAGAATGAAGATCTAATAAATATCCTATAGTGAGAGTCTGGGTGAGTAGGGTGGTGGGCTTCTGTGCAGCTAAGTTAGGCAAACTGGGATATACTATTTACAAGAAAGACCAGTCCTTTTAATTCTCTGGCTATTACGCTGCACAGTTTTCTAGCTTAAACGTTGGATCCAGCTAATTTCTACTTAGGAGGAGACAGATTGAAATTAACAAGCCTAAATGAGTCACGTCCATTAATTTCAATAGGTCAACTCAGAGTGTTGGATAGAGTACTAAACATCTGGACTGCTCCAATTTTAAGCATCAGTGATGGGTTGATATAAATTAAGAGAAATTGTGTTCATGACTCAGGCACCTCCTGTACTCAGGTTGCCCCTCTTTGAAAAGTTAGATACACATTTTCCTAAAGATCACGTTCCTGGGATTGGCACTGGTATCTGCTTGCAATCTGCCAGTTCCGAATGAAAGCGGATGCAAATCAAAGAGAAAGAAAGCAAAGCCCAAACAGGTATCAGAGCAATCCATTGTCACGTGTTCCCTGTAATAGCAGCTTGGTCTTTGGACAGAGGGCCACCCATCCCAAAAGGATAACTTCCACTTTCCCACCTCGGACTCCCCCCGCCCCCCACCACCTACAAACCTCCCTCCTCCGCACAAAGCGGCTCCAAACTACCAACCCCTTCCTTTTTCTTGCCCTTCCCCTCCTCCAGGTAAAGCAGAGGCCGGCGATTGGGCAGACGCGCCGCCCGTTCCCGGTCCGCGTCCAATCCGGCTCGAGCTAACGGAGGCAGGGCGCCCAATGGGCGCGAGGCTTGACGCCCCTCGCCCGCCACAGACGGGGCGGCGGAGCCTGCGGAGTGCCATTCGGAGGGAGGGCGGCGGAGCAGGAGGGTAGGTTGGCAGGGCTGGCTGGCTGCAGGTGCGGTAGCGCCGCCTCCCCCCCCTCACCGCTCGCGGCTAGGTAGGAGCGCGAGCCTTAAGCAACCCCCCCCCTCGCTCCCACCACCACCACCCCAGCTGTGCCTCCTCAGCGGCCGGCGCCGTGTGGACAATGTGAGCCGCGAGGAGCCGAGCTGCCGACGAGGGCAGCCATGGCCACAGCTGGGCGGTAGAACTTGCCTCACTCGGGATCCCCGGTCGCCTTCCCATCCCCCCTTTTTTTCCTTCCCAGGGGAAAGAGCCTCGAGGGGAGGAAAAAACCCGCCTCGTTCCTGTAGCCCTCGGAGCCGCCGCCATGTCCAGCTCCTCCTCGCAGACCCCTCCTCACCACCCGCCCGCGCAGAGGATGCGCCGCGGGGCCGCCGGGTCCCCCACCAGCGGCGGCGCCGGAGCCTCCTCAGTCGGTAGTAGCGGGGCCGGAGCAGCAGCAGCGGCAGGAGGAGGAAGCGGCGGCGGCGGCGGCGCCCCCGGTGGCAGCTCGGGGACTAGCCGGCTGCTCCAGCCTATCCGCGCCACCGTCCCTTACCAGCTCCTCAGGGGCAACCAGCACAGCCCCACTCGCTCTCCCGCCGCCTCAGCCTCGGTGGGGAGCAACACCGGCCCCGGGGGGCCTCGCGGAGCAGCAGGAGGAGGAGGCGGCAACAACGGCGGCAGCAGCCCGCCCCCGCCCAGCTCGACCCCTCCGTTGTCCCTCGCGGCTGCCGCCTCCCCGCCAGGAGCAGGCGGCGCGGCGGAGCCCGGGAGGGTGAAGGTGAGGCAGAGGCGCTCGCCCGACAGCAGCAGCGGCAGGCGGAGAAGCATCTCACCTGAGAGGAGGAGCCCCAGTTCGCCCATCTACAGAGGTAAGGGCACCTGTGGGGCTCTCACCTGGAATCCGGCTCTCTCCGCCCCCCCGCCAAACCCCATTTTCCACCTCAAACTCCCCACGCAGCACTGTGGAGAAGACCCTCCTTGAGCCACCCCTCTAAAAAATAACAAACTCGACCCCGCGGTTCATGTTTCGGATTATGGCACCACCTCCCCGAAATAGCAGCGCATTTCTGTCAACGGTTTGCTCGGAAGTATCTTACCGTCTTTTCGGTGGGGGCCTCATGCCCAGGTAAGTGTGAATACGATCGCCAGCCCTAAAGAAGGCGAAGTGACTCAGCCCTTTAAAAAAAAACACAAACACCCAACAACACACCACCCTAAATGTTAAGACTCAAGGTCTTAATTCAACTCGAGCTTGAAACGGGGCAGTCTTGGTTAGTGACCCCTTTTAACACCCTGCATCTACTCTGCTATACTCCTCGCGGTTTAGGCTGCTGAAGGGCTATTAAATTCTACCTTGCAATCCTTTATCTATTGGTAAAGGGAGCCTTGTTGCATATACTTAAAGGAGAGAGTGGAACTCCCAAGCTCTATTAATGCAGAGCTACTAAACTAGAAAGTAAGCTGCTGCGTTTTATGTGTGTGAATAGAATGCTTGGACTGGCTTGTGCCCTGAAGCAGAATTCTCAGTTTAATGAAGTATATTTTATCCACCTTTTTTTAAAGGGGTTAGAAGAGTGTTTTTCAATGCTTGCGTTGCAGCAAGCTGTATCCATGCCTTGTATGGAAATTTTCATCTGGTTTAGTGCCTAAAGGCTGGGCTAATGTCTGATGGTTCCATATTGGCCAACTTACATTTAAATACTTCAATAGGTTATTGAAGCGTAAGTTCTGAGATGTCTGCCTTCAGGGAAGCCGAAGCACAAAGATACTAGCATTCTCTGCCAAGACCATAAGATTTGCAAAACAGCAGTGTTTGTAAAAGTATTCCTGTACCCTTTTACCAGGAAGGTATAAAAAACACCTGACTTAAACAAGCACATGCTAGCAAAACTGCAGGTTCTAAATAGAATACAACACCCATGCCACTCCTGCAATATTTCCAAGATATAAGATGCACAAATTTACTCACAAAGCTTTCGAAAACCCCTCTCCCTCAAATGCATCCCTTTGTAGAGCTAAAATTAAACCTTGTTGAACCCCTGGAGGCAAGTAGAATGCACATTCTGTGGTATTCTTGTTAAAGTATATAATGTACTAGGAAAAGTTCCCTCCAAACATATTTGAAAAAGTTTCTTTAAAAGGTGGCTCTGTCCATTCCCCTTAAGCAGTTGAATGAATCATATGAAATATACTGCTTATCCTTCTATAGCTATTGGGTAACCTGTATCTTTAAGCACGTCTTTAATCATGCCAAGACTGTGTTTTGTTTCAGAAGCAAATTAGATATCCCTCTTGATATAGTATTGAATGCAGCAAGTTGGATGCATTATTGCCATGAATCCTTGCACTTAGTTGTGCAGTTATGGTTATTTGGATTGTACTAAATTCACTACTCCAAAATGTTGCTTGTATTATATCAGCCTTAAAAACATTTACATCTAGATGAAATTTAATTCCCCCCCTTGCATTTCAAATTACATGTAAGTTATGCAACAGGCCTATGATATTGATTCATCCTTATGGAATTAGTGTTTCTAAACCAAGTATTTTGTAAAAATGGAGTTTAATCCATGTTATTGGGTCTAGAAAATGTAAGCTTTTTCCTTTCATGGGGACAAGACAAGTGCATACAATTCTAATTAAGCTAACTCAAACGTTTCTGTTTGCTTGCTAAAATAAAACAAAATGGAAAACTGCTAACAAACACTGCATGTTTGAATCTGCATTTAAATGTGTTCTGTTTGTGAACAAATACTAAAAAGCTGATCATTCTTTTATCAAAGTATTTTAAAATAATACAATCTCTTTTAATAGATGAATTATGTTGCTGCCTTACTTTCAATGATTCAGTCCTCTTAAATTATAACTGAATGACTTCATTAAACTTGTTTGAGCCTACCTTAAGCCATCATAGCAGCATCCACTGTTTAATAGAGTTGTGAGAATACAATATATAACTATGGATTGACCGCAGTGAACTGTTAACCTGCATGTACCATAAGGAAATCCTCATTAGTTGAGTTGGCATTTCAAAGCAGGCACCCTCCAGTAAAACCCGAACAAATGAAAATATGTGCCCACGTACTGAATATTTGAATTCATTCATTTCATAATTTTATAATTTCTAGAAGGACAGCTATGTTAGCCTGTTGCGGCAAAAAACAAACAAACCAAGCTATTGAGGCATCTAACTTTACTATGACGTAAGCTTTTATGGACCATAATCCACATTTGTATCTGATGTAGTCGACAGTAGTCCACAAAAGATTTATGCCATAATCAGTTTCTTAGCCGTTAAAGTTCCACTAGATTTTGTTGCTTTTAGGATCTATGGCATCACTCATCTTAGAAAGCAGAACAAGCCTTATTTAATTCTGCAAGCTAATAAATAAAATATTTAGTTTTACTTTCAAATTCTTAGCCTTCAGAATCTGCCCCTTGGACTAGTTTCACCAGTTGTTCTGACTCTGGCCCATGTAGTATAGTTAGCATGGCAACCTGCATTATGGAATAACTTCAGAGAACTCGGTTGCTTTGTGAAAACTCCTTTGTAGCAGAATAAATCAATCTAGCATCAATCACTAATTACTCTAATTATTCAGTTACTTATTTTAACTGTTTTCAAAGAGCATGAAAGAATAATAAATATGTTTACTAGATACCATGCTTCAGAATGTTTTAAGTCACACATAAATGTATCTTGTTTTCTCTTTACATTAGTGTTTATACTGCAATGCATGGCTCTGGCTTTGCAAATGAGTTGCAAATGAGTTTGTACTGGAGCCATTCTAGTATATATATATATATATATATATATATATATATATATATGTACATGTATTTGTATACATAGGTATGTCTTTCACTTTCTTACAGTGTAGATGTTTAAAGGACATTGCTCAGATTTAAGTTCTTTAGTAAAAATGGAGCTGCCAGAGGTTCTTAAAAGAAATCTGCAAAAGTGCTCTGGGTTGGAAGCTTGTACAGGCCAGGCAGCTGCCACTGCAGACGCTGACATCACTACTGCATGAATGAAAACAGCTTCCTCTGGGTTTTTTCCCCTTCCATCATCCTTCCCCCTTTTGCAGCTTAAGGATGATCTAAAATGTTGGTTTTAAATAACAAAACATTAATTCTGGTTTAAAATAGAATCAAGCCAGGCCAATCTTTAGAGCTTAAATTTGTAGAACAGGGTTGTTGTTTTTCTACAAAAATGCATTTTCTTTCTTTCTACATATTTATGATCTTCAGCAACCTACGTTTTAAAACGTAATAGTCATTGCATGCTTTGGGTTTTGGGCATATTTATTTGGAGTACTACAGCGTCTGATGTTTTACTAAAACTGACGTTTTGCAGTTTTTTCTCTTTCTATTACATTTTAAAAAACTGTTTCCTTGTTGCATTTTTGAAGATAAAAACAGATGTCTTACAACTATCCTGGGATATATTTGCATGAAGAGTGGTTTATAAATACGCTAAATAAGCTAGCATTTGAATAATATGTGAATTAACCCAGTGCAAAAAGTTGTACTGGAAAATAGTGGTGACTGAACACCATTTGGTTACTTGAATCCACTGTGTTAAAATATTAGCTAACCAAATAAAACAGTCATAGTGTTTCATTTGGGAGAAATGCTTGCTGCTTTGTAATAAAACTAATGCATTTCAATTACATAATCCACATTTTATATTCTAATCCTGCCCTTTTTAAACTAATATAAATGTGAATTCACTTGTTTAAAAAAATATTTAAGCTGTCCTTCTGTGAATGCATGACTTCTAAATTTACTCCTGGAGGTTTCCTTTTACCAAATCAAGATAAAAATACGATAAATTAAGCCTAGAGAGTACAATTTAAAATGTATAATCTCTGGCAAATTATTTGGATGAGACGTGGCTATCTGTAATTTAAAATGGATGCAGATGTTTTCTTACAAGCCTCTAAAGGTTTATGGACAGTGAATTTAATCTTTAAATGCTTTTGTTAACAAGTTCAAGTAGCCTTTGAATATATTCTGAGGCCTAGAGCTTGCTCCTTCCTCCCCCTACTGCTGAGAATAAATTATCTTGGGCTACATTGGCATAAATACAAGATAAAGTTAACTAGACCTGTTTTCTTAAAGGTGAAGGGCAGTTGACCTATGTCATAAATCATTGTGAAAACATAGCTCAAGTTCATGGCTTTCATGTTTGGTTTGATTTATTTACTGGTTATACATATACAGTTGTTTCAAATAAGAGTACTAATGCATCAGGTGCTCCTGTTGGCATGCTCAGTGTACTTGTGCCTTGCACCATCACATACAAAGTTGTGTTTTTCTTCCATTGTATGTAGAAAAATTTCATATATGAGATCTCACTGCTCTCAAGAACTCCCCTTGCTGATGCCCTGGACACTAACCTGAAAAGCTAACTTTTTATGCCTGCATTGTGATGGTGCACTAAACTAATATTGAGAATAAGATCTCACATGTTCAGAATGGTTTGGTGTGAAACAGGTTGCTTCTGGCCCAACCGTACTCATGTCCCCCCAAAACATTTGCTCTCTGGCTCATCTTTGGTGGAAATTAGATACCAGAATCAGGACCTTGATGGTGGCACTGCAATTATAGGACACTTTCTCGAAAGTTCAACAAGCTTCCTGTTTTAGACAGATATTGAAAAACCTTCTTTAGGAAGACATTTTATTCTTGTGTTTTCACTACTGTTGTTGTGGATAATGTGCTTGTTTATCATCTTCTTTCTGAATGATATTGTTTGTATTTCATAAGTAACAATGGTATGTAGTTGCTTAGCAGATTGTAGCTCTCAGAATCCTGGCTTCTGTGAAAGCGTGGAACCAAAACAGACATTATGGTGGCTATGAGTAAAGTACTTTGTGAAAATTCCATGCGTCCACCAGCATATGTTACATGTTTCATGTCAACGCCTTTACATGTAGAATTTGTGCCTGTTCTGACATCAGATAGACAACATGTTGATGTATGCAAATGAGCACTCCACATGTCGCATAAATGCTTATACAAATAAGCATTTTATCTGTGGCTAACAAATGTCCTTTTCAACATCTTAGTAAATTGTTAGAGTTGTCATCGTTCATTTGAGCTGTATCTTCTTTATGTAGAGCAACCTTTCTGAATTATTTTGGTCATGTTATTGGGTGTGTATGAAAGCAGAGATTAACGCCACACCTCATAGTCAAATTTGACTGGACGTAACTGTGCAGAGGTCCTTTACCTTTCTTACCTTTATGCTAAAAGTATCTTGGATAAAAACTTTTAAAAGCATATGTCTGAATTAGAATAATAAACTAAAAACCCTAAAGAGGACACAAAGCATGCTGAGCATATTCGATGTTCTCTGGGAGGTGTTGAATACAAGAAGCATCAAGGAGATGAGAAATTGGGACCTACTCAGACCAAAAAGCTTAAGATCTCATAATTTGTGTCCCCTTCTCTCTCCTCCCCACCCTGCCTCACTCCACCCAGAGCACTGCAAGTGCTTAAGGCAGGAGTCAGCAAACTTTTTCAGCAGGGGGCTGGTCCACTGTCCCTCAGACCTTGTGGGGGGCCGGACTATATTTTGAATAGAAAAAAGTGAACGAATTCCTATGCCCCACAAATAACCCAGAGATGCATTTTAAATAAAAGGACACGTTCTACTCATGTAAAAACATGCTGATTCCCTGACCGTCCATGGGCCAGATTGAGAAGGCGATTGGGCCAGATCTGGCCCTCGAGCCTTAGTTTGCCTACCCATAGCTTAAGGGATTTCTCTCCAATTATTCTGCGTGCCATGAGGTTCCCACACCCAGATGCTATATGTTAAGGCAGGAAGATGCAAACATTCTATCTATGCTATATAGCTTATGTTCAGGGATAGATTAGCAGTTTAAGTTCAGTTATTACTATTTCCTTCTATCAGAGTTCTTAAGGCAGTTTTCTGTTCACTTCCCCCTCCTCAGGACAATTGCTAAACAGCTAAACAGCTGAGGTTCAGCTTCAGTGACCAAGAAGCTACCATAAAGTTACCAGGGTTTAGAAATCTTGTGCTGTTGCTGTTGTGGTGGAATTTCCCAGTTGCTTATTCCATCCCTGTAATTCATTGAAGGCCTTCAACTGGTATTCTGATTTGCCAGCGTGCAAAATAAAATAAAATGTGGGATTGCTACTTAGGGTGCAGCAGCTTAAATCTTTATTTGTAATTTATCTAGATAAACACCTATATAAAAAATTTATTTCATAAGTAACAATGATATGTAGTTGCTTAGCAGAGTGTACAAAATACTTTCCATCTTCTTAAAATGACAGCAAGTTAGTCATAACTCAGTTTTGCAAATAATTTAACTTGGATTTTTGAAGTTTAAAACTTTCAAGTTGTTACATATTTGTGTACAACTGTAAAATGCTGTCAGGAACCCAGACTAGTACAGTTTACTAAGTTCCTCCTATAACTAAGATGGAGCTTTTCTTTTTTAACTTCAAATGAGTGGTTTTAAGCTATTAAGGTACTGAAGTCTATTTTAGCTCCAGAGAGAAAATACATTAAATAAAAGTTGAGCTTAATTGTGTATTCTACAAAAAGTGTAATGTTCTTGAATATGATCTGGTTTGGGCTGTAATCCAAGCATTCATTAGCAGTCATGGGGTCATGTAATCTTATCTTCACCAATAGTTGCTCAGTAGTCGAAATCTTTCCTAGTTTTGTTTGCTCTTTTTTTAAAAAAAGGCAAGAGTGCCAGCTACATGACCCCAGTAAAGTCTGGAAAACTCATGTGTTCAGTACTTTAGCTGTATATGGGAATTCTGGTTTCACGAGTCAGTAGCAAACATGACAATGTTCTGTAAATATCACTTATAGCTTAGTACATAAACATAAAAAGTACAAAAAAATTAAATGGAAATCAGTTGCAAATAGTGTTAGAGATAAAGCTGTAAGCTACTGCATCTAAAGATCTCGAACATGTACCGGTATTTGTTCTTGCCCTTTGGGAAAATATTGTGGGGGGTGGTGGAGGAGGAAGAATTTTAAAAATAAAATCCAACATTGTAGTATACAAAGGAAGGTTTTATTTTTTGGACTTAAAATTATATGTAGACGTTAAAAGAAACTTGTGTTTTTGAGCTTGGGAAATAAATCCTGCCAGAACGTAAATGAAAGAGCAGTAATACATTTGGATGTTACATATATCACAGCTGGAGATCTGCAACAAAATGGTGCAGCGTATCCATGACTTCTTAAAAAGAGCACTGCTGTTCAGGTTTCAGCTATCCTAGAACAGAGTTCACAAGGGAGATTTCAGGAGCAGCCTCCAAGCCTCCTGAAACCTTTGCTGGCTGTATTATATGGCACTAAAGGACATTGTGTGTGCGTGCACACTAATAAGGGGTGCAGAGTAGAGGGAGGGAAAAGACTAGTGGAAAAGGGAGGTGTGCTTTGCTTCTTTACTCCCTCGAAAGCTCAACATATACTGTATTTTACTCATCATGGCATATCTGTCTTATCGAGGGGCTCAAACCATAGTTTGCCTTCCTGTGATGTGCAATCTAGGGCAGTAAACTTCGCTTTTTATTTATGTGCCACTTTATATTAAAAATCTAAAGCAGCATACAACATAAAATTATAAAAAAGAGGAAATTGTTTATATTGAACCATATTTATTTTATGTCCTGTTCCATATCAGTAAATAATATATATTCAAAAATAGTAATGTTACTGGAATTTATGTCCGAAAGAACCATAGCTTCTTGTTTTGAACTTTTGTTTTAGCTTCATAATAGCATTACAGAAGACACTTGAAAGCATGGCAGCAGAATAGGTATTAACTGGCACCTAACGGGAAATGGGGAAACAGTTTGATTTTCACAGTTTTGTTGCCCCCTTTGAAAAGCCTTTCTTTCCAGTGGCCATTCAAATAACATTCATATTGGTTTGTATTGTCTTTAAACATTTATCAGTTTTCACTTGATGCAGAAAATGAAGGAATTTGTGGCAAGAGACAAGCACAAAGTATTTTGATCGCTTGTCTAAAAGCCTTGCAACTTCATTGCAGGAGCAATATGTGTCACACTAACGATTTGAACCAAATACAATAAAGGGGCTGTATATTCTGTAACTTCTGAAAGCACTTTTACCAACATTGAATCATAATAGTGTAGCTTAAATACCTTATTTAGTAATCTAGTAACAGTGCTACCATTGCTAACATTAATACTTTTGAATCTTGAGTTTAGAAATCCTGCTGTAGTATATTTGACTTTAAAAAAATACTTGCGATAGGTTATCATGCTCTTTCATTTTGAAAAAAAATATATATATCATTGAAATCACCCTATTGATTCTTGTCCACCCTGGTTCATAAAAGCTAGTAGAGGAGGTATGAGTGGTTGGGTGCAGTTTATTTGCCTGGCTGAAAGTGTCCTCTTCTAAAGAAACGCATGCTGGACCCATGTTGGACTCATTGGCTTTTAATGATTATCATGTAGTCACAAATACTCTCTCTAGGGCAAAGGAGTTGAGAGAAGGTGTTGGCACAAGTCTAGGTACTCTTGGAGGAGACTGATTATCTAGGCCCAGTTTTGGAACAGAATTGAGTTTGACCTTGGATTTCCTAGTGGATCAACCTTGTTACTACTTCTTGATCTCTCAGCAGCTTCTGATGGCATCAACTAGGTGTCCTTCTGGACTGCCTCCAAGGAAAGGATATTGGGGGCCATTGTTTTACAGCGGTTCCAATCTTACCTACGAGGTTGGTTACGAAGGATAGCATTAGGGGAGTACCTTTCGGCTCTCTGGCACTTGTTTTATAGGGTGCCACAGGGCGCTATATTATCCCTGATGCTATTAAACATACAAAACTGTTGGGAGTAGTTGTTAAGAGGTTGGGAGCCGGGTGTCACCTATATGCCAGTAACAACCATCTTGTGTTTCTCTATAACGTCTGAATCAGGTGAGGTTGTGCAAAGCATGGACTGGTACCTGAATGCTGTGGTGGGCTAGATGAGGGCCAGTAAATTGAGTTGAAATCCTGGCCAGGTGGAAACATGGCTGATGAGTGGTTTCTGTGTCTGAGATATAGACCATTTGCCTGTTCTTGCACTCCCTCTGAGCAGGCATGCAGTCTGGAGGTATTCCTGGACCCAGCTTTGTCCCTTGAGACTCAGGTTGCCTCAGTAACTAGGAATGCCTTCCACCAGCTTCAGCATATGCATTAGCTGTGACTGTTCCTGAATCAGGATAGCTTGGTTATGGCGGTTCAAGCATTGATAACTGAGGACAGACTACTATAATACACTCTATGTGGGGCTGCCCTTGGAGTAGGTTTGGAAGCAGTAGCTGACACAGAATTCTGCAGCCGGGTTGTTACTGGGCATGCTACCCTGCACCTATGTGGGAGTTGCACTGGCAGTCACTATGCTACCAAGTTATTTTTAGTATCCCATTATTATATACAGCTCTAAGCAATCTTGGGCGTTGTGTTTAAAATATGGCTTTATTCCTTACTCCCCTGCCTGATCTTTGTAATTTGCCACAGAGGCATGTCTGACGGTGCCTGGCAGTGCTAGACTGTCCTCGGCAAAAAATTGTGCATTATGTGTGAGTTAAGGAATTCTGTACCTAATGAAATCAAGTTGGCGTTGTCTGTAATGAGCTCCAAGTGCCAACTTAAAGACTTTGTTATTTTAGCAAGTGTTAGGGAAATAATTTATTGTTTTCGTTATCTCATTAGAACATCTATTTTTGTATTTCAGATTCTTTTATATATGTTGATTTTTATTGATGTTTTGGTTTTAATTGAGATTCTGTATACCATGTGGGTATCTTTTTATGAATTTGCAGTATAGAAATGAATTATTAATAACTTTGGAGGTAGAAAGTTGCAGGTTCTCCAAATGATATAGCTTCCCCTCCCTTCCTGCTATTTGATAGTACGTAGTTCAGGACATGGAGATGGTACTTCATGGGATACATTGTCCCCATAATTGGATGTTATATTCAAGTCATCATTGTCACACGAGGCTCAGAATCTGTTAAGAAAATGCAAGGTAAAACAATGAGAAGTGATCTAACTGGAATAGTGTAGCTTCCACAGCTCTAACATTAGTTGTATTTTCTTAATATAATAACACTTTGTCTAGCACTCTGTGTCTGCACATACAATGAAATAAACTCTTACAGTGCAGCCCTAACCATGTCCTATTCAGTGGGGCTTAACTTCTAAGAAGGTGAAATTAGGTTTTCAGCCTTATCTATTACAAATGTATCATAAAAAATATTAGTCTTAAAAGTGTGGCCTTCCGGTGTATCCCCCCCCCCCCCCCGGAAACTGTAGCTTGCCATAAGTTTTCAAAATGCAGAATATCAAGCCTTGGATTTATATATGGTGGGATTGAAAGATGGAAGAGTAAGTGAGAGAAAATCTTACAAATACTCTTTCCTGAGTTCACCTTCAGTGTAGTGTGGTTGTAACAGTTGTGCATATTCCCTCTAGTTACAGAATACTTGGCATTGATCACATGTACCTCAACTGTTGAGAGGGGTTTTTTGTACTTAAGGCAAATATTTTCAGTTTTAAAAGGCCTTTTGTGCTAGTTGCCACACTAAAAACAGATGTGAATAGCTAAAAACACCATATTAACTGTTGCATATAACATGTTTCTGTTTCAGTGGACAGGCCAAAAGCCCAGCAAATTAGAACTTCTAGCACCATAAGACGTACCTCTTCTTTGGACACAATAACGGGACCTTACCTCACAGGACAGTGGCCACGAGATCCCCACATACACTATCCTTCATGCATGAAGGATAAATCCACTCAGGTATGTTTGAGAAGCCAATCATTGCTATTTACTTAACTGTTGTGTGTCATTCATTCCAAATAATATGTGCAATACATAGCCAGTTCTGGTACCTAAAAACACTGTGGATGACTTGGTTGAGGATGGGTAAGAGAAGAAGCAAAACAGAAGCTGAGGGAACATACTCTCCTTCATATTGTAATATTCCCTAATAGAAACATCTCTCTAGTTCACCCTTGCCTCCACTTCACGCACCCCTGCCATGTTCAACTTCTCTTTTCCTTATTACCCAACAGTCCAGGCTTCGGTTGGGAGTTCCTCAAGGCAGGGATCTGTCTTTTATTTTAGGGTCCATTTGGAAAGGTCATAAGGTTCTGAGCAGCCATGTGCAAGATGGTATTTTCCCTCTACTGCAGCAAAGCTAGGGCATTTGGCCTATTTAGCTTATAAATCACTGGTGAGCTCTGATATACAGAATACCATCTGCATGTTATTTGCGAGGGGTTGTGGCTTCTGAAATTTCAGGTTTGCCTTATGGCCATGGGGTCTTCTTGCTTGGAGCAGGACAGCTTTATTAATGAAGCTTTTTAATTTGAGGCATGAGTACGTTAGGTATACAGGAAGGATTCAGAACCTTATATTTAGTCTTCTTTTCAAATACTGTGGAAATGTGAAAGTCCAAAAATCAGCTGTCACTAATGTGCATCCATTCTAGAGGCCCACCTGTACATTTCCTGTCTCCTGTTCCAGATTGATTTTTCTTTTCTTTTTTCTTCTTATGCTGCTTTTTATGGGCTTGCAGTACCTCTAGAAATTGGCACTGGGACAAGATAGGTGCTTCAGCCTGCTCTTTCAGGAAATGAGCTTTGTTCCCTAGCATTGACTCTTCCTTGCTTCAGATGTTGAGTCTAATATCTGGACAGGGTGGCTCTTTTAGTGTGGCTTTGAACTGTAGTGTTTAATTGAAGACAAACCCCAGGATCAAGTAAGTCCCAGGGAAAAGAACAGTTGCTGGTTATCAATTTGACTAGATGGAGACACTATAGGTGAGAAGTTCCCATGTTCAGATTGGTTTCCTGATCTAGATAGAGTTGCACGCATTTAGAAGGAGGAGCTCTCTAATCTGAGAGTACTCCTGGATCCATCCTTGTCACTAGAGGCCCAGATGTTATTAGTAGCCAAGAGGGCCTTTTTCCAGCTAGGGCCACAGTTGTTCATGAATCGGTAACCTTTAGACTTGATTACTGTATTATTATTATTATTATTTAATTAATGTAGTGCATCTACACTACTAACTGTTGAGATTCCTGCTCCGTGATTACAGTCATGGGATTGTTGTCTTTCACATGATAGTGTATGTTTTGACTCCACAGAGTGGGAAGTGACGGAGACAGGATGTTTGTGTTACTGTGTTCCGTGAAGTGGGACTATTGTCCTTGGTTCTTTTTCTCTTTTCTGTTTGATGCTAGAGAGAGAGGAAGCCATGTTGCAGTGTTCTATGTGTGTTTATATGTAAATAATGTAGATTAGCCAAAATGCTGAGTTGCCGAGGTCTGTCACGCAAGGTGCGAAGACTCTGCGGATCCCTAAGTGTGCCAGTGTCTGTTGGCATCAGTCGCTGTGATGTTCAGGCGGAAGAAAGCTTTTGAAGATCCTGAATGATCGACCAGGAGGGAGGGAACATGCCAGCTGGGCATGTGTATCTGCCAGGGTCCTACTCGAGTGTAGGCTGAACTCCTGACACTTATCAGCAGCATGTAACACCTACTCTGCACAGGGATCTGCACTGACTGCCAACATGCTACTGGGTCAGATTTAAGGTTTTCATATTGGTCTTTAAAAGAATTTGAGATCAGAGTACCTGAAAGAGTTTCTTACCTTCCTACATACTGGTACAGCCATGGGGTATGCACTTCTTGCAGTGCCTCATGCCCCTGAGGTCTGCCACATGGTGACAAACAACGGGGGGAAACCCAGCCAGAAGGGCGGGGTATAAAATAATAATAATAATAATAATAATAATAATAATAATAATAAATAATTAATAACGGAGCCGTCCCACTGTTGTAGGAATTCCCTTTCAGTGGATATCAGACAGGCACTGGCTATCTTGGCATTTCACTGCCTTTTAATGGCATTTTTATTCCAACATGCCTTCCCAGAAGGATTTTCTTGGCCTGGTCCCTGTTGATTTTTGACAGTATAATTCTATTTTATTCTGTCTTGTACTTTGCTTTAAGGTTCTTTTGAATATAAAGCAATTAAGATAATGCCTTTTTCTCTTCCCTCAGATCTGTAGTCAGCTTTCCATACCCTGTAGCAGTGTATATGATTCTTCTGTACTTTGCTTGTGTGTTATGAATGGGAAAAACAGAGTACAGGGTTATGATAACTTAGCTAAGATGGGAAGTAGCTAAGCCCTTTTTATCACCCTGCTTAATGCCTTGCTGGAAAGCTGGAATTTCCTCTTAAATACAGGAAAGTTAAAGGCAGCCTGATCTTCTAAGCTGGTGTTGAGTTGTTCTTGAATCCCCATATTAAACACATATATTTGGCAGCACCTGGTGGTTAAATAACTGCAGCTTTAGCGTGCTAAGTAGGATAATGAGACACCCAAGTTTGAAACTCCCTTCTAGGGGTGTTCAGTCTGCCATTAGAGTAGAAATTGTCACTGAATATATTTTTATTTGTCCAGTCATTCAGATAATTAGGTGTAGTCCCCTTGCTGCAGATTTTACTGTTTTTTATTGAGATTTTATGGTTTTGATTATTTTATCACTGTATGGTTTAATTTTTAGGGTTAGCTGCTCTGTGCTCCTGATTGGAGGAAAGGTGAAATATAAAAATAGTGAGTGGTATTCAACTCAATTGCTTCATCAGTTCAAGGACATTTAGCTGTGCAATGGAACTTCCTTTCCCACTCTCAGGTGCCCTGCCCCCTAAATCAGTTTTGGGAGTTGCCTCAACTCTTCAAAGCTGACTTGGGAAGGGTGCACATGGGGTGGGGAACTTGAACTGTGTATATCTTGGGCTTACAGAAAGAGTGCATTGGGTACCACACAATGAATGAATGATAATAATAAAAATACCTTGCTGAGTGTGATACTCCAGGTGAACTTTACTGTTAGTTTGTAGAAGGTGAATAATTTTTTTATCTCTATGATTATTCCAAATTAATCAGTGGAACAGATGCCCTCCTTTGGTTTGCATAGAACAGATTTGAAGAAAGATGTGAAAGGATTTTGGAGTTGAGATTTAAATTTTCAACTTCAGTTCTGTCACTGGTGAATTGTCATAGTAATTCTAATATTGTAATTGCATAGTATCTGTTTTGCAAACTGGAGGTGCTGTCGTTCTTTGTCTGTTAAATGGCCTAGCAAGACCTCAACATGTACAGTTGATTACCTCAAATTCTATTGATTTAACTTGGAGCTTTAGGGAACATGGTCACTTTGACCCATTTTTCATTTTGTTGGAGTGTTTCATGCTGTCCTTATTAATGCATTGGTCTGACTCTACATCAAGATCTGGCTATTGATTGACATAATAGTAGCTGGGAGTATTGGAAATACTGAGAGCCATTCTGTAGTAATGGAATGGTTAGACTTGCTGGATGTATGGTTTTAGGCACTATTATGTAAGAGGAATACAATCAATTATTACTTACTTGGGGTGAAATCATGTTTTCCTTTAACTACTGGTTAGCTTAAAGTATATCTGGGTTATAATTACTGCATTACTACTGAAAAACATGGTGAGCTGGTTCAGTTCTGAGTGTCAGTTCAGAGTATGGAGGAAGGCCATAACCCAAGCAGTGGGACACATGCTCTGAATGCAAAAAGTTCTAGGTTTAGTCTATTGACGTCTCTAGTTAAAAGGATTGAGTAGAAAGGGATAGAAAAACCTTTGTCAGAGTCCCTAGAGCAGGAATGACCAATGTGGCGCCTTCCAGATGATGTTGGACTGTAGCTCTCATCATTGAACATTGGCTGTGTTGGCTGAGGCTAATGGGAGTTGGTCCATATCATGAGACCACTACATTGGCTACCTGTATCCTAGAGCTAGAGCATGGTGCCCTCCAGACATTGTTGGACTCACAATACAATCACCCCCAGCAAGCATGTCCAGTGGTTGGGGATGATGGGAATTGTAGTCCAGCAACATCTGGTAAGTGTCACATTAGCTGCATACATCTGTTCCAGAGGGCTGCTGTGAATCAGAGTATACAATTCTGGGATAGATGGGCAAACGGTCTGACCTGGTTTTTATTAATTTTTATTCTTAAAAAGTTTGCAAATTGCTTGAAAGGTAAAAACAAAATAAAATCCTCTTAAGGTGGCTTTTAAAACAAAACCAGTAGTCACAGATCTCAAACCATTAATAAAAGGCAGCATCAGGAACAGCACCCATCCATGGGCAGCTTCCTATGTAGCTGAATAATTTTCATTTTAAAAAAATACTGGGCATGGTACCCCTTAAGGTCTTAGTCTCAGCATTTTCTTTTTACATTACACACAAAAATCTTCATGGGCTCTTGTGTTCTGTTGGTGATTCACAATTTTTAGATTCTCTAAAAATTGGATTCTCAATTTTGGATTCTCAACCAGGAACTATCCTAGCAGTAAGCAAAAGAGTATTGGCTGCCGCCTCAGGGGCCACATGCTAGTCCATGTGGGGCACAGAGTGGCAGCCCCCCAGGTATATTCCTCTGTTGGAAAACAACTGTGTGTAACACAGTTTACTAGCCTGCTGCCCTTAAGGGCAGTTGAGGACACTGTCCTCTCATCAGTGTTTAAGTGAGATTAAATGGCTAGTTCAGTTGATTTCTGTATATTCTTCCTCTGCTTGTCTTGTCCTTCATTTCTGGTGGTAAAATGTATTGGGCCCAGCCGCTTCTCAACACTTTTGTTAGGGATGGATAAACTATATTACACCAAAATCAGTTTATCTCAAGATCATAATTCTGTATGTAAGAAACCCATCCACTTCAAAATGATCATGATTTTTCTTGTGCCTTCCAATCACCTAATTAATGGCCAGTCCCAGCTAATCCTGTGTTAAAAATAGACAGAATATCATATATTTGGCCTGAATTGAGTGAACTATGCAAGTTACTGTTTGATAAACCTTTGAACAAGGACATAAAACTACTAATCTGATGTTTTACCATGATTATGGAGATCACTTTAGTACTACAACACTAAAATAACATGACGGAGACCAAATTAAAACTAACTGCTGTGGTATTTAATCTGTTTTAATGGACAAAATAGGCTCACAAGACTTAGAAAAATTAAACTGCAGTTCAAAATTGTCTGTTTTCAAAGCAGTTAAATCATTTTGTTCTCAAATGACCAAATCCAAAGTGTAGAATTTGGCACCTCTTAGCGATTTCTTATTTTGAAAGCAAATAAAGTGCTTTTCATTCTTCAGACTTTATATCCAGATGGTAACCTGCAACCCAGATATGACTTGCAGCGTGATCTTATCTAGTGCCTGAAGGTTGTCACAAATTTTAATTAAGGTGTACTAAAAATATTGCCTACAGAGTCACTTTCAGGGGAAAGAACATTTGTTTTCAAAAGTTGTATGCAAGTGAGATTTCATGCTTCATGTTGAGTTTTGGATGTAATTATATCTTACCACTAACTGCTTGGAGAAGCATTGGGAAAATATAATACTTAAACTTTTTATTGCTGTCATAATAAAACATATGCCAAAATAAATAAGTTGGTATTTTAGATGCATTTTAGGTTTTTGGTTTTTTTTTGCTTTTTTGAGTGTTTTACTACTTTAAAAAGTGCTTTTTAGGTATATTTTCATTGATCAGTGACTGCATATTGCCCAAGTATATTAGAAGTCTATACTGCTAAGTGACATCAATTTCTTAATGAGACTGTTTATTTATTATACTTAATATCCTATTGTTACATACCGTAAATGTACAGTGCATAACAACAATAAAATCGCAATAGATAACTAATCCCTATAATAATCATCTCCTGCCAACCTAGCAGTTCGAAAGCACATCAAAGTGCAAGTAGATAAATAGGTACCGCTCCGGCGGGAAGGTAAACGGCGTTTCCATGCGCTGCTCTGGTTCGCCAGAAGCGGCTTAGTCGTGCTGGCCACATGACCCGGAAGCTGTACGCCGGCTCCCTCGGCCAATAAAGCGAGATGAGCACCGCAACCCCAGAGTCTGTCACGACTGGACCTAATGGTCAGGGGTCCCTTTACCTTTATAATAATCATAAGCAATAAAACAATATAAAATCAAATAAGAGTTCATAAAGTAAAAAAAAGTCAGCCAATTAAATTAAAAACATTAGAAAAGAGCAAATCCACAAATGCTTATTGAGTACAGATTTTGGCTGTACTGCTGATCAGGTTGTACGGCGTGACAACATGCATGTATCACCTTTGGAAGTCCGACTGGCAAATAGTCTTGCAAGAGATAATTAGCCCTCAAAAAAATATTGTTCCATCTGATGTCCTATCTGTGTTTTAATACTTTATGACACAAATAGCATTATGAATGTGTTGGGAAAGCCATCTCCCTTTTGAGTGGCCAAAACTTTTCAAGCTTCATTATTCACCTAGAGGCAACATTTAGTACTCCACAGGTGAGTGACTGAAGTAACTTCTAAGAAAATGGAATGTGGACATTTATTCAGTACTGTTTATATTGTCCGTTTCCTCTATCATGGAACTCGGGGTGGTGCATCTGGGATTCCCAGGCAGCCTTCCATCCAGGCACTTTCCAGATCCAGGCCTGCTTAGCTTCAGCAGCGTGGTTTCATCATGCGCCTTCATAACATGTCATTCAAACTTTCCATGTGTACAGTTTCTCTCCAAGTGGTGCAAGTAAAGACATGGGCTTTTTAAGTTTGTCCATATGTACGAGTTTCAGCATTTTAAAGAATGTTACAATTCATCTACAGTTGCAGATTTTTTTACTACTTTGGAGATCGAAATCTTCAAAATTCTGTAGCCTTGACACGTGTATCAGGTAGCAGTCAATATGAATATATTGCAGAATCAGCATCTTAAATTATAATAATTGTTATTTTGGTTCTTAACAAAAAAAAGTGGATTAAAAATAAATAGTTTTCAGCTCACTTGCACCTTATTTTATAAGAGAGAATGTTTAAAAAGCTACATTTCATGACTAGCACTCAATTATCGTGCATAGTGAAGGAGAACACGAGAAATTGTAGTAGAAGATAAAAGGACATCATGCATAAATTAGCTATTAATATTTTGTAAAAAAATACTTGCTTTTCGCATGCAACAAAACCGTGGCTTAGTGCAGGGTAGACTTTCACATAGAGAAGGGCTGAAGTCCTAGTTGCTCCTGAGCATACAGTTGCAGGGTTATGTGCGTGTACCTGCAATCTGCTGTGCACAAGTTGCTATCCATGAAACACTTGACAACTTTTTCATTTTCTCTTATGTGGGCTTATGCACAGTCATCAGCTACATTCCACTGTTTTCTGGACTGTGTAAAAAGTATGGGGCTAGAAGGTTGGAGTGATGGAACAGATCTGTGCCCATAGTACAGGTTGCGTCTTGAACAAAAGTCCACACTGATGAAAGGGATGGCATAGAAGGCCTTTCTGGCAGTTGTGCTGCCTTTTAAAGGTGCACACTTAGTGCTTTGAAAACCAGAGAAGCCCAGTGAACAGTCATGAAATAGTGGGGGGGGCGGGCTGTACACTGTACCAAAACAGCTGCTGGTCCTCATTTTAATAGTTGCATGTTTCTTTCATATGTAGCTTTAAAAATAAACTATGTGGGTAGCATTTTTCCTCCTCATGATAGGTGTTGAGAAAATAGAATTTGGAGTTATTTATATGGCAAATGAGTAGAAGACTGAGGTAGTACTTGAGGTGGGGACGGAGATCTTCAAAGCTCTCAAATTTCAATTTTGCAGTCATAATTTGCTAAAATCAAATGAGTTGATGCAATTTTTTTTCTAGTTAATCGCTATGTTCGTTGAAAAGCCAGCCAGCAACTTGAGCTATGGCATTCCTAAATCTGAAAATTCAAATTTTCCACCTGCTTGTTAAAGCAATTTTGGGTCATGGTCCTTTTGACATGGTTGATTTTAAGGGGCTTTATTGGCAGTACTTTTCAGCTTCTGACACTTAAATGGGAAGACACTATAGCTCATTGAAAAAGCACGTCCTTTGCATGTTCAGTCCTTATCATCACCAGCTAAAAAGGTCAGATAGTGCTGTGGAATGTGAGCTCCCTTTGACAGGAGAGTGAGTAAGCAAGCTCATGCAACATATTGCATGTTTTGCCAGCTGGGGCAATATGGCTGCCTCTGGGCTGAGCTGCCTTTGTCTTGGTGTTTCTTTCACTGTCTGAAGGAAGCCAGATACTGCAGTGGCCATGCTGCTGCTGTGTTTCCTTCTACTACTGCCAGTCTGGGTGGAGTCTCTCTCATATGCACCACAACCACAGCTGAGGTCTGTGAATGTGCATCTGTCAGAAGAGAAGAGGAAGCTCAGAGAAGGTGATAAGAACCTTGCCCGGAGGCAACTTTTATGCCCCATTTTCAATCAGGGCAAGTATTCTATTACAAGCTTGCTCTGTGCATAGTCAAAAATTTCCAAGCACTTTCTGAATATTAAATACAAGTAAGGGTGAGAGAAGCCACTCTGCTGCGAAATGAATTATTGTGCCTGCAGATGAACATGTTAGTCCATTGTTGGGTCTGTGAAACCACTGAAATGTTAGAATCTCTTATATGTGTCTTTAGAAATGTCTCCAATTCTTCTGCATGATTAACATTTTAAATATATTACCCATTTACCATTTAACACAAATGACAAGTGGTGTAACCCATAGTATTACAGTATAGATAATCAGGTGTTAGTTTGATATCAAAAAGCTCAATGTAATCTGATGAGTGGTACTGAGTGAATAGGTTTTGCTTTAGGGATAGCTCTGAATAAGATATCTTACTTCCAGTTCTCCATTTTCTAAGTGAAAACTGCAAATCTGACTTCTCATTCCCACAGGCTGACATTTTGGCAAGTTTTACTTCAATATCTACTCCTTGTCCTTTTTCTTGAGCTAAATATTTATTTTCTTTATTTGTCTGGGAATCTGTATTTTGCAGTTGCACTAAAGCACTTCACTTGTGCACTTCTAAACAAGTGCTTCCTTTGTTTTGAAGCTTTTCACATCTGCTTCTGTTCATGTGGTTCAACTTGCCTTTGCAAGCCACATTTTCAATATAGCAGATGCAGTGTAAAGAAAAGTGGGGGATGTGGCAGGAGCACAGCTTGCAAGTTGCCAATATTACATGGTCTGTGTTATTGCTGTTTATAAGTTTTTAATTTAGTTCATGTTCTAAGCATGCATTTGTGACTTCAGTATGCAGTGATGAAATGTGCATTTATCTAAAACAGTGCTCCATGATGAAAATGTTATTAGCAACATATAAAGGAAATTCTCTTGCATGTTGTTTGTAGAGAAGTATTGTCGTGCCTAGAAATGACTAGTTGTCTGAGCTGTGAACCAGGAAGTCTTCTGGTTCAAATGTTACCTCTGCCACAAACTCACTTCGGCAAACTAAACCCCTTCTCCCCCAGTAACAGCATCCATCAGTAATAAAGGATATTAATCCTATTTTAGGGCTGATCTAAGGCAGAGGTCCCCAATCTTTTACCCCTATGAGCACATTTGGATTTTTGAGCAAGGATTGTGAGGCGCCACCCGCTCTGGTCACTTCTCACCCCCACCTCCAAGAGTGAGAAAACTATAAAGTGCATGTACACAGACTTCACTTTTCCAAGGGATCTGAGCAAAAACCAGATCCAGTAGCATTAATCTGAGCCTTAAAAAGCAACATAGACTTGAAAGAGGATGTGGGAAAGAGCATTACTCTTCCAGCTTCCTTCTTCAGCTCTGTCTACTGTTCAGGGTAGAAAAAGCTAATCACCCTCACCACCTGATGTTGAAGGGGGAAGTGGGGGGCAGAGCTCAGAGGCTTTGGGTGTGCCAGGGGCAGACCTCAAGGGCACCATTGCGCTCATGGGTGCCACATTGGCGACCCTGCTCTAAGAAGATACATATGTGAAATATACATATATGCAATATAACTGTTAAATGGTGTTCTAACATTATAAGATTAAAACAAGAGCAAGTAATGGTGCCATATCATACTTGTTGGTTTTCGTTCGTTTAGACACCTAGCTGTTGGGCAGAAGAGGTATTAGAAAAGAGATCGCATCAGCGTTCAGCTTCATGGGGGAGCGCTGATCAACTAAAAGAAGTAAGTGTTTAACAGTTTGACAAACAGGAGGCCCTCAAGTCTCACAGGTTCACTGGGTGTAGTTTGTCCATGGGAGCACATTCATGTTCTTCTCCCTTTTACAAACTCCTGATTTAAGGGTTTCTTTAATGTGAGTGAATGGACAGAATGCATTGAGGAGTCAGTAGAGTTCTCTGTGATAATATTGGCATAAAGCTGTACTGCACTGTTTTACGTTATTGTGTGCATTGTTCCAAAGGTAGATAGATGTGTGATAAGAATCAAATCTGTCCCAGATTCAAAAATGTTCCTGTAGTGATGTTTGAAATATAACTTAGTATCCGTGACTCACATATTCTTGTCATTATTTGGCCACAATTAACATGAAAGCCAATTAATACATTTGGGTATTATATGTTAAAATTGAAATAATCATATATTGTCTGTACCAGTAATTCTTATATGCTCAGTTGAAACCATAGAAATGGCATACTGCATATTATTGTAGATATTGTTGCTTGTATCCAATGCAGCACTAAGTAAATGCCTTGTCAGTGCAAGTATTTCAGCTTGCTCAGTTGGATCCCCCTCCCCCGCAAGTCTCTGCTGAAATATGTTAACAGGAGTAAAACGAACAAAATTAACACAGTGAAGAGCAAGAATAGGGCGGTGTTAAACACCTATGCACTGGGAACAATGCTAACATTCTTGATGAGTTTAAGGTTCAAACTGAAAATATATTCAAAAGATGCTAAAAGTGTGATTATTGCTTATAGGAGCAAGATCTTCCTAAATATAATATCACACATTCTTTACATGGCGAAATAAAATGTGCAGTTTATTTTTTTTTTTAATATACGATGCCTTTTTGTGGCATCAAAGCCTAGCTGATTTTTTCTGGTTAGCTAACATTGCCACCTGGCTGTTTGTTTTAAGAGTAACTTTAGAAAGCTATTTTAATTTACATATGCAAAAGAGCAGCAGCCAGCAGTTTTTTTTCTGAGAAAGGTTGCATTCTAATCAATCCCATCATTATTAGGCTTTTGCGTTGGAGGACAGTTGTATTTGGGAGTTTATCATAGACTCTATTAAAACCCACTGTTGTAAGTACAGTACACCATTCTGTCTTAGAAGGCATGTTCAGAGCTCTGTAAACAGGTCAGAATTAGTGTATCTTCTTTCCAAGGCAGATGTGTGAATTACAACATTATGTTTTTATGAACATTTAGATATGGTTGTGATTCTCAAATATACCTCTTTATCTTCTCAGAACAATCATAGAAAGCAACTCTTCATGTTAAGCTAATGGTTAGTATTTGGAAGAGAGCATTCATATCAGGACAACTAAATTCTATGCAAGAAGCAGTAATCGTAACCCATGTTTATCTCTGAAGTGTGATATTGTAGTTTTGTAGTTAGTCTTATTTGTATGGCAGGTGCCTTTCCTCCCCCTTTCAGCTAGACTCAAGATGTGCGCATTGTCAGTTACACGCCTTCTTTTATTTGATTTTGTCTCCTCTTCTTGCTAGATTGCCAAATTGAGACAGCAGCTCCAGCGCAGTAAACAGAGTAGTCGTCACAATAAAGAAAAAGAACGTCAGTCGCCTCTCCATGGCAACCATATAGCAATCAATCAGACTCAGGTAAGCAGACAACTGAGCTTGTTCAGGCAGCCTTCAGAATTAAAAGTGATCATCCTTTCCCACTTTTGAATTTCTGTCTACAGTTTAAAATGGATTCCATAGTTATGAATTAGAAGGACGATTTTATACCAGTTTTAATTCATGCAGGAAAAATTAGTGACAGGTTGTTTAACAAGCCTGGAAAAGTTGGGGAGAAATCTCCTGTTTAAGAATAATAAATTTGCAGCATTGAGTTGACCAGAAACAAGGGTTAGGTTTGAATCCTGACATCCAAATTACTCACTAAAGGCAGTCAAGGAGTGCCATTTTCTCAGCAGCAACAACCATTTATACTATTTATAGTCACAGTTATTTGACCTTGCTGTCCTCCTGTGGACTTGTGATGTTTTAAAAATGCTAATATATCACCACCTGGTTATTCAGTCCCACTGACCAAGGAGGTCCTGTTTATCTTTGTCATTTTACTCCCACTGAAGCAGGATACTTGAACCATCTTATTAGTCACAGCCACCTTGCTAGAAACCCTTGTTTTAAGGATTTAAAAAGTGTTTGCGCACCAAATGACTATATACAGCATTAAGAAAGATTCAGCAATATTTTTAACCAATTGTACCCTTTTTCAGTACTCATTATTCACATTTATCTGCAATCATTTTTAGAACAGGATATAAAACCTCCTGTGCAGTGGTTCCCAAACATCCCCCTCCCCCATGGATCACTTGAAAATTGCTGGGGGGGGGGGGTCCTCAGCAGTCCACTTCAGTATTTCTCTTCAGCACAGGCCCTAGGGCCTTGTTAACCAATTCAGTAATCTGGTGCTGGTCAAAATGCCCTTATTTTCCATTGTCTGGGGGTGGGGGGTAGTAATTAACTGCAGGGTCAAGTACATATAGTCTTGACTGGTGCACAACCATTCTGCAGACCACCTGAATGGAGCTCACAGACCACCAGTAATCAGTGAACCACAGTTTGAGAACCTCTGCTCTAACGAAGACTCCTGATAAGTACCATGTAACTCGTTAGAGGTCTGTGTTTATTCAGCCCTTTCGGATGGGGGGGCGGAAATACCCATTACTACCATACACTCCCATACCTTTGGTGCTGTGGCTGCACATTTAGCTGTTAGCATATACTGCTGGATTTGTTTAATGTGTTTGGTTTTCTGATGTCATGGATGTCACAGTGTTCCTTGCAAGTATTATGTCCTTTTTCTTGATCCAGTACACTGATCACTTTGATAAGCCTAGTACTGAGCATGTAGAGCTCTATAAGAGTAGGGACGTAATCTTTTCTTCCTTTTCATCAGAAATCTATGATGCATAGCTCTTCGGTTTAATATTTCTCTACCTTCAGATGAGTGCACAGCTCAAACTTTCACATCATAAATTCTCCTGCCATAAGTTTAAAGTTAAATTAGACATATCTTTTGTCTTTAAAGGCTTCTATATCGAGATCAGTCCCTATGCCGCTCTCAAACATTTCAGTGCCAAAATCAGCTGTTTCGCGTGTGCCGTGCAATGTAGAAGGAATAAGTCCAGAACTAGAAAAGGTGTTCATCAAAGAGAACAGTGGAAAGGAAGAAATGTCCAAGGTAAGCTGATGCTAAGCATGGTTACTTTAAGCTGCATAATATAGAAATTGTATGTAGAAATGTGTGAATCTGTGCAAAATGACTCTGCATGTATTCATATAAGCAACTAATATAGTTAGTTTCAGTTTTACAAAGAACCTGGTAGTGTAAGGTGGCAAAACCCCCCTAAATATATACTACTACATTTAACTACGATGATGGTGGTGGCAAAGTAATCCAGGCATCTTGTGTGATCGGTATTTTAGAGGTTAGTAATTCGAATAAAACAGTGCAAGAACTGATCTTAAAACACTCAGAGTGGTTACAATTTTAAGTAGGCTGAAATCTCCTAAATACTGCTTTTTACACCATTTCCCCACAATTTATATTAGTGTCATTGTCACTGTGGCAATAATACCTCCCAAAATTAAAGTGAACAATAAAATGGACATACTTGTCCTCTTAACAATTTATTGCTGGCTGTTCAAGGTTTAGGTCTCTGAGCTCCTGAGCCCTTATGTGCAGTACAATGAAGAGGAACTATGTTGATTCCATTAGGACTCCTCAATGTTTTAAGTGATTTGCTGGATTTTTGTCAGGGCTTCTGATGAGAGGTAATACTGAGCTGAAAAGAATCCCCTTTCCAAAGTTACAACTAGATCCAATATTTCTCTTGTTATCTCCAGAATTAAAACAGAGAAGTCACAACTGAAGAAACTAAATTTTAGAAAAGTATGCACATTTACAGGTGGGGGGTGGTGGTAGGCTAGAGTTCATACGTCAATATATTCAGTACTCCATATATGCAAATAATTTCTGTGTTGGATGAAGGCTACTGCCAAGACAGTGCTTACATGTACTATATTGCCTTATATTTCTTCATCAACTACTACATTGCATAATGTGCTTTTTAGACGCTTGAAAATATGCCTGCTGAATAATTGGCACTTAGTATAATTTGATCTGCCCAATAACAGCAATTCATGCCTCATTTTAGGTCATAGGCTTTAATAAGCTCAAAGCTTCGTGTCCCATGCTCTCATGAGAGTTACTGAGAGATCATTAGCTATTGCTGACATCACAGTATGCTCTCTTCACAGGCATAATTGTTATTCCATTAGTAAGCATCCAGCAGAATGCAGAAAAGTCTTGCAGAAAATGCTGAACGGCACAGGTGCTTTTATATAGGTTTCTGGGATTTTGTTACCCTAAATTGAAAGGAGGTTATGAAGTAACTTATATTTTAAGTAGGACAGCAAGCCACAGAACTGCAAAGTAGTTAGTTTCATAGGTGTACGATTTTTTAAATTTTGGTTCTGTTGCTTTTGTTACGCATTGTGATTGAGACAAAGATAGGCATATATGTACAAATATATAAATGTCTGATGGAGACACAAACACAGCAAACCATAACATTAGTTAACTCAGAGCTTTTCTTCTAGCATGCCCTCATAGGTGGCTTGGCTTTGTGTCAGTTTGCCAGCTTGGCAGAAGAAATCACCACCACCTCTGGGATGTATGAAACTTTCCCTGGTACAGCACACTGGTGCCAGCTGGTGCTGATGGAGGAAATGAAAATGAGAGAGCTGTTGCAGCTCCTTTATGTTTGAGTTTTTAAATATTTTTTTTTAAAAAATAATTATTTATTAAATTTGTACACCGCCCTTCACCAGTAGATCGCAGGGTGGTTCACAGCATAAAAATGTAAGATAAGATACAAAATACGTAATAAAAACAACAACAAACCAAACCATTGACCTCCCTCCCCCCCAAACACATTTAAAAGGACATAGACTGTTAATAAGCCAAAGGCCTTGTTGAAGAGGAACTTTTTCATCTGGCACCTGCAGGTGTATAATGAAGGCGCCAGGCAAACCTCCCTGGGGAGAGCATTCCATAAGCAGGGAGCCACTGCAGAAAAGGCCCGTTCTTGTGTTGCTACCCTCCAAACCTCTCATAGAGTCGGCGCATGGTTCTAAAAGCACCTTTTAGAACCATTAGATCGGAAAGACCCCTGAAGCAAATGGTTTGGGGTGGCATGTTGCTACCACCCTGCAGATCCCCTTCTGGCTTGTCTGCTGCTGCAGTTCATGTGCGCTCAGAGGATCAGGCTTTAAGTGTTACAAATGGAAAGCCTTCCTGAAACATTGCTTATTTGACAGCAAGACAAAGCTATTTTTATACATTTGTTGATGCCATTTAAAAGCTTTTGAGGGAAAAGTACTTAGTGGAAAAACTTCAGTCTTTGTTTCTAAATCAGCCGAAAATGAAATGCCTTGAAGAATTGGAAAGCCCAGATAAAAAATGAAGTGAAAATAGTGTTCTGTAACGCTAGAGTAATTTCTCAAACAGTTACAGGATGTTGAACAAGAAGGCATTACTTAAGATAAATCTTACTTTCTGGAACTTAAGCCTTTTGTGTTTCTCTCAAAGGGAGTGCACATCAGTATATTAGAATTTTCTTCATTACAGCTTTCCAGGAAAGCAAAAATTGTTGTGATCTTAAGGCAGAGTCAGTATTTTTGCATCACTCTTCTCTTTTGTCAGCATTTTCTTTGAAGTGTGATGCCTCTAACTTTGCAAATCACAATTTAATCTGTGTACTTTTTTAACAACTTATTTACTGTGTTTGAAAGAATTACTTGCTATGTTAATCAAGGCTGATGAGATGGTAGCTGAACAGTGGTATGAATAGGCTGTCAGTAATTCACTTCTAATGAATGGCATGTCTATGGTGAGACCATCATAAAGTTTGATATTTCTTTTTAGAAAGATTCCCAGTGAAAATGTAAGTTATAAGGAAAAAAAGACCACATATCTGTTTTGTAGAAAACATGGAAGAGCTTCACTGCTTTCTTTCAACACTTTCTACCCTGAAAGCAATAATAAACTCTCCTTAAGAAAAGAGAAACTAGTTCATGGAAAAAATGAAGTCTGAGTTGACCCCTTAAATTGCTGTTGCCTGCCCTTTATGACAAGATCCCAGGGGACTGTGCTTTAAAATTAGTGTTTGTGGGGTTTTTCCTCTCTTGATGTTGTGGGAGGATTTTAATTGTCTTTAATTGTAATAGGGATAGTCCTAAGCTGTGTGACATTTCCTGTCTCTTTTGTAATTGCAAAATGTCTTGTTCTTGTTTCCGTTAATATAAAAAGGGAAAGGGACCCCTGGCCATTAGGTCCAGTCACGTTCCTATTTATCTACTTGCACTTTGACGTGCTTTCAAACTGCTAGGTTGGCAGGAGCAGGGACCGAGCAACTGGAGCTCACCCCATCACGGGGATTCGAACCGCTGACCTTCTGATTGGCAAGCCCTAGGCTCTGTGGTTTAGACCACAGCGCCACCCACGTCCCTTTAATATAGTTACTATTAAATAATGCCAAACTATTTGTTTAGTAAGCATAAATATCAGCATGTGGCCTAATGGCTGAAGTGTATCTAGCCTTGGTGTTTATTTAAGGATATAGCTGCACGTTCAAGTGACTAGAATTTTCATGCAGTCTCTTGCACTAAATGAGTTGATGAACAGCATGCCATTGTGTCACTTGCCTCCTTTTGTAAGAAGCTGACTTCCCTCCCTCTCCCAAGGTCATTTCTGGCTTGAAAGAAATTAGCACAGGTCAAAGTGCCCTCCAGGTCCCAGACTTCACTCTGGGGCAGGAGTTTTCACTGTGCCTTTTAAGAATGTTGTTTTCGCTGCAGCCCTTGGATATTCCTGATGGCCGACGAGCTCCCTTACCTGCTCACTATCGTAGCAGCAGCACGCGTAGCATCGATACACAAACACCTTCTGTGCAAGAGCGCAGCAGCAGCTGCAGCAGCCATTCCCCATGCATTTCTCCTTTTTGTCCTCCTGAGTCTCAGGATGGGAGTCCTTGCTCCACAGAAGACATGCTGTATGACCGTGACAAAGGTGAGAGTCTATTTGAATAATTGGTTCATGGCTTGCTTTTGTTCTGCTGTACAGTCATTGTGCTTAAATCAGATTTTTGATTTCATTTTATTTTGTCCTGTTGGTGTGAACTGAAGACTGCTCATAATTGTTTTTGCTTGTTTACATTTGTTTTCCCTTTTGTTTGTGCAGTTTCACAAACATCTTCCATAAATGTCAGAAGGACACAGCAAATGAGCTTAACTCTTTATGAAAGCTATAGTATGAAAAGTTAAGGAAAAGCATGAAGTGAATAATTTATAAAGTAGTGTGTGAATTATTGGTGAAATAAGTGAATCCAGAGTTTGTGGTTGCGTTATCACTTTTGTCGGTCATTTAAAGGGTAAGTTAGGAAGACAATAATATTATTTGAGTCTAGTGTACAAAATACTATGGCAACAGAATGACTTGTCGGAATGAAATCAATGCTGGTCATGTTTCACTGTATGTATTTAACAGAGTAATCCTATGCATGTCTACTCAAAGTAAGCCCCACTGAGTCCAATAGGAATTGATTCCTAGAAAAGTGAATATAGGATTTTGCAGCCTTAAAAGTCTGGCAGCGTTCTCAGTTTTTGGCAAAGTCAATGGTTTTTTGAATTTTGCAATTTTACTCAAGCATAAGGGTTGGTGGTGAACCCAGAATTCAGCATGATTAGATTCTTGGTTTTTGGTCTCCTTTTTTTTAGATCTACAGTTTTAGCCCTTAATGGCTGCAAACAGAAGCTTAGAAGTGTATGGCCAATGCTTGGTGACAGTGCAGAAACCACAAGGAGTGGGGAGTGGTTTCAGTTTTCTGCAAAGCTGCTTGGTTCACTTTATAACTATCAGGAGTAGGAACAGATTATGCACAATTTGCAAATACATGTGTCTGTTTATCTTATATACCCCTTTTCCTCCATGGAGCTGAAGGACATGTGGGACATTTCCAGCTGGTTTTCCATCTGCACACTGACCAGGCTCCTGGCTGCTTAGTCTCAGCAAAGTTGATGTACCATGTGCTTTCAGACCATGCCTTGGGATCATTATTTTGCTTGGTTTGTGGAATGAATGTAGGTTGTAGGATTGGATACGTGCATGTGTTTTTAACACTAGTTGTAGGCCTCCTGGTCAATGTGAGCTGTTTTAAATTAAGAATAAAATAATGAAGTCTCTCGGTATACAAATTTTTAAAAGAGCAGAAGGGGAGTTCTCCATTTAAGTATTGTAAAAAAACCAAAAAAAACCAAAAACACCTTGTATCTTCTATCCTTTTCCCAATTATTTTTAGAGTGCTCCAGCTCTTTCCTCTTTTCTTTTCCATCTTCCATGCTAATTTCTGTTTCTGTTTTCTTATTGTTAGTGGCCACATCCTACCTTTCTTTTTTTCATATTCGTGCACATTATTTACAATTAAAGCATTTCCTCACATGCCTCATGTTTTTCTTTCTTTAACTTTCTTTCCCATCTGTAGCCCTGCCTGATAATCTCCCCATCCATTCTCTCTCTTTCGTGAGGATTACAATGCATGGACACTTCCTCAACCCCCACATGTGATTTTGCTGTCTTGGCTCTAGTTTCTTTACTCAGTTGGAGCCAGACACAATATTTTTCCATGAAGAGGCAAGACATTCTTGAAATGCAAAAAAAGAAAGAAAAAAAGAAAAAAGCCTGGGAATTGTGACTTACACAAGGTGTCCTCCAGATGTTGGAACTACAATTCCCATTATCCATGACCATTGACTTTTAGTTGGAGCTGATGGAAGTTGAAGTCCAAAAACATCTGGAGGAGAGATTTATAGCCTGGCCTGCCTTTTGGATATATGCTTCATGGTAAACTAAGTAAAGATCATGATCTCACTTTGAATTTTAATTAAAAAAAAAAAAATTCTATTCCACCCTTCATCTTGAGCAACCAATGCTAGGTGCAATAAAATAATGTAAAACTACCAGACATTCACAAATACTCATACAATAAAACAAGGACAGATAAAAAACAAATCAATAGATAAACAGTCTATAATATATAGCTATCTACATTTAAGCACCCACTAACACTAACAACCAGTAAATTTTTGGATGGTCAACCATCCTTTCAACTGGTATTCAAAGGAAACAAGCAAACAAACAAACCTTAGAAGGGAAAGCATTCTAATTCTGATAATAAAATAAATGTAATTATATGATTCTGCAGTTCACAATACATTATAATTAATGAAGAAGAAAGGCACAGCAGTACTAATACTTAGCAGGAAAAAGTAAAGTCCATTATTGTCACTTTCACATACTAGAAATTGGGTTAGCCAACAAGGTATCCTCTCTACGTTTTGGACTACAGCTCCCATCAGCCTCAGCCAGCATGGCCAGTATCAGGGATGATGGCAATTGTAATAAAAAGAAATGTGGAGGGCACCGTGCTGTTTACCACTATATTAGCTCTTTGCCACCACAGATCTTACATACCCCAGCCCTTTTTCCAAATTCGATGTTGCCCTTTGTATAGCTAAAACTGAAGTATTCAGCCCACCAAATCCAGAGGTACTAGGCTAAATCACCTCTAGAAAATTCTGCTAGGTTTCCTTAGTTTCATGCTCACAGACCTCATTCAAATGCTTGTTGAATGATTAACATTTGTTAGTTGGGGAGGGGGATAATATTCTGCAGAACTTTAAGTCCTTGTCTGTGCATTTTGCCTGTAGCCATTAAGATATGTTTCAGCAATGTCAGCATTTGGTTTTACAGAGAGGGCTTCTCTTACTTAATGACGTCTGAAATGGTGAACACAGATAAGAGTTCTTTTGGAGTTGATGTGATAAGTGCATTTGATTGAAGTTCACGGTTCTTTGTGGTATCTACACCTGCACAGATCCAGCTTTGGGAATGCTCTAGAGCAGAATGCCTGAAAATTAGCATTCACGTCTACACTTCCTAAAAGAGAGAGAGAGAGGTCTTGAAGGATTCACAAAACACTCTTTTCAGTAGGCAGAGCTGCCACAATTATCATTATCTTGGGTTATCTGATAATGGCTGACTGCATCAACAGTTTTAAGAACATATGAAGAGCAGTGTTGGATCAGAACAGAAGCCTGTCTAGTCCAGCCTGCTGTTTCTCACAGCAGCCTACCAGATACCTATGGGTAGCCCACAAACACCACATTAACACAATAGCACACTCCTGTTTGTTCCGTAGCAACTGGTATTCAGAGGCAAGATGTTTCTGTTCTTGGAGGTAGCATATAGTCATGATAACTAGTGGTCATCACCTTACCCTCCATGCATTTGTCTTATCTCCTTTTAAAGCTGTGCGTTGGTGGCTATCTCCACATCTTGCAGTAGCAAATTCCATGGTTCAGCTGTGTTATGTGAAAAAGTACTTCTCTTTGTCCTGACAACGGAAAAACTGTAACATTTCCTCGTGTAGAACTGACTCTTGACAATTTTAGTGACCCATTCCCTTTCTCTCCAATATCTTTTCTGAAGTGTGGCGACCAGAATTGTGTAGTAGTAGTAGTAGTAGTAGTAGTAATAATAATAATAATAATAATAATAATAATAATAAATACACCATGAGCTCAAGAACCTTTTCCTGGCCAGTCACCACCAGCTCAAACTGCATCAGGATGTATGTGAAATTAGGATGTTTTGTACAGATGTGCTTCATTTTACACTAACATTCAATTCCATTCACCATTTTTATGCCCAGTCAGCCAGTTTGGAGAGTTCATTTTTGAGCTCTCGGCACCCCTCTTTTGTTCCCCCCACCTTGAATAATTGGTTATTGCCCACTGACTGAGCTACCTACTTCCTCACCTCTCACTCCAGATGATTTGCACTGCTCCCAGTTTAGATCCCTAGGGATCTGTATTTTTGGGTTAGCCAGTCTCTGATGTGGTTACAACTTGAATTGCTGTGCATGCTACCTTAGGATGAATCTGATACTTATTTTCACAGATACCTGTTAGCGGGCACCTCTGGAACAAGGCACAGTTTGATAAAAGGCTGTGCAGATTGCTCACTAGTTCAGTGGTCCCTTAAAAAGTACATTTGCCCCATCAACTGTGTTGTGTGCTTAAGTACAGAAAAATAATGGAGCATTGAATAAAATAATCACTTTGGTTTGTATGCTAGACCATGTGTGATTTCCCCCCAATGCATTGTGATATTGCTAAATGTAGACAAGGTACTGTAGAACACTACATTTTCCAGTTAACTTAAACAGATAATCTATTTTTTCAGAAAAGAAAGTTTATTGATATCAACCCAGACAGTATGCGCTAGCTCCAGGAAGATTTCTGGATGAAGTGTTCTTAAATCTCTGAACAATAGTTAAAGAAGTATGGCCAACTGTACTTTCTGCTTTGTTTTAACTGTTGAAAATCACTGGCTCGGTTTTAATTAAGGTGGTGGGAGGATGTCAATTGTTACACCTTTCCTACCTAACCTATTCTATCAGGCCACCAACACTGGCAATCTTTCAGTTGTGGAAAACAGTTGCCAAGTTTGTTTATTCAGTCATAGGTATTTGTACCACATATGCAGAATTAGCAACTTTATAGAAACATGGGGAAATTAATAAAGTAGATTGATGTAGGTTGGCATTGTACTGTCTGTTAGGAAGCTGCAGAAATGTGTATTGGAGTACACAATCACATTATAATATTGATTATCAGAAATGCATGTTTTAAAATTCTTTTTTATTAGGAAGAAAGCCAGACTAATCATTGTTAGTGATTATAATTTGATCCTGTCCTACTGTACTGGAAAAGCATCTTTGGTACCACATTTAGTGGTAGTTCACAACTTGCTTGCATAACAGAGCTGGCAATTCCTTTTATTGTTGAATATTTCCCCCACTTCGCGTTCTAGAGTTGAAGTTCCCAAACTTCTGATGTGAATCCCACCTTTGGCGGTTTAATCTCTGTTCAAGCCATCTGCCACCTCTTATTTTAGGGCTCTTCTGTGATGGTTCAACCTAAGCAGTTGATTAATGTACTGTATCAGTGTTTTGGAAGGAGACCATTTCAAGTTTGAATGTCTTATGCTAAAAAGGCATTTAAAATAATGCCCAAAGGTTCCGTGCTCTGTTGTTCCCTGTCGTAGGGCTTGTTTTCTTCTCCAGCTAAATTTCCATTATACTTTTCAGTAGTAAATCAGCTTTAAGCTGGACCTGACTGTGTTTCTGAATAAAAAATGGAAGTTAATAATTGATCAAGCATGGGGAGAGCTAACCTGCTGGCCAGACACAGACCTGTTTTACATTTCTAAAGCATCTTTTCTTTTCTGTCTAAGTCTGCGCTTTGACCACAGGCTCCACTGCCGCTCTTTGGATCAGATCAGCTGTTTACTTTACATTTCTATAAAGAGCTGCTTAAATAGGTTGAAATTTTCAAAAGAAAATGAACATAAAGTCTGCAAAGGGAACCCATGGTCTGCTTTGGGATGGGAGAGTGATCTTGCACAGCAGGGGGTGGAGAAAATGTTAATGGCACCTGTTGTGTGTGTGGAGAAGGGGAGGTGAGGAAGGGCCCGGCCCGCCGTGTGATTAGAAGCAGTTTTATTGCATTAGAAGTGCCAGCTCCACAGGGTGCCAGTGATTAGAATTCAGTTTGGTGACCCCATGTGCTATTTACAGCTGGAGGGTTCAGTTTTGAGACTTTGCTCCACAAAGAAAGATACTGGTTTTCAGCCTTTACTTTCTGAATTTTTAAATTAAATTTCACTTCTGATAAGTAAAAATTAAAAAAACAACCAGCCTTTGACACTGTTTGTTAGCTATCTGTTGAGCACAGCGCCTCTCAAGTTACTGAAGACTTTGCTCACTACTCTGTGGTTCCTCCAGGGTTAGTTTTTTTAGGACTAGCTTTATGTGAAAAATTAAATTTTGAATACTTGAAGGGGGGCTCAGGGAACATACAGGGTTGAATACACACAGGGAAGAAAGGAGGGAAGTTTGTGTGCTATATATGGTTAGGGAACTGAAGGATATAGAAATGAGCCCGTAGACATTTCATAGTCTTTACCCAGTGTATCCAGTGTAATTGGTCACTGGATTATGTTAGAATGATTTAATTGAGCTGTATAGGTAAAAAATTATTACCAGCAAATTCCAGTGAACCATCCAATTCTGATATTTTTGTGGGTCTACTCAGAGCAAACTTTGATTTCGAAACCACAGAGGAAGACATTTAAGGGGGGGAAAGGAAAACAGCAAGAAAAATGACACTCAGCTTTTCAAAAAGCAACAACAACAGTTAGAACTTGTATTTATCCTTTTATGGCTTTTACTACTAGCTTTCAGAGAACTTTAGAAAGTTGTTGTTGGCAGTTCCTCACACTCCTACTTGTTTTGGAATACTTACTCATAGGTCCATAGAGGGAATGCAGTACTGTATTCCCCTAGATAGTGTTGATGTTGTTTACGTGGCCATGTATCCTAGGATGAGAAAGAGATCAATCTCTACGGCCCTTTCTCAGCGAGCAGCCGCCATTCCATCAGGATACCTGGAAAGTCCCCATCCCAACTATTATTTATTGAAGAAATTTTATATACTGCTTATCGTAGGAAAAAAGAAACTCTCTCAAAGTGGATTACAACTAGTCATAAGAACTGTACCCTTCTCCCTCTTGTCTTGTGTGTCTCTTTAGATTGTAAGCCTTAGGGCAGGGACTGTCTTAACTGTGGGTTGTTGCAAGCCTCTCTGAGAGCTTTGTTGGCTTAAAGAGGGGATGACAATGTGTTTTAAATAATAAATCATGAGTCCTCAGCTTTATAATGATTTTATATATTATAGTAGGCTAACTACTCCTTCGCAACTCCTTTTTTTAAAATTAAAAAAAAAAGCCCTGTTCCATTACTACAGTGTATGAACAAATTTGAGCTTTTGGTGAGTTCAGGACTTACAACCACAAGATACGGAAAAAAGTGAAAAGGCTCTAAGAGGTGCCTGTTTCAGCCTTTTGATCTTAAAAAGTGTAAATGTTTTAGGCCATTGTCTGAAGAAGAAACATATGCAGGACAGCTTGGAATGTAGGGGTGCTGTCCAGCTTGTCTCATGTAAGTCCAGTGGTGAATTTTAGGAGGTAGAATGGCGCCCGAGCTCTTTGTAGGTTTCTGCTGTTGTGATAAATGGTATTCCAAGGTGAAAGAAGGGTTACCAGGAACAGCTGTACCAATGTGTCAGCCATGAAAAGCAGGGATGCAGAGAATGAATAGCCCTTTCCTGTGTTCCAAAGCTCACATACACAGCAGATTGAAGATCAGCATCTGCATTATATATGCCCTTGGTTTTGTTTCCTTTTTGGTCTTTTCTGTGGGTGACATTACTGTGGACAATATTTCTAATGGCTTCATATTTCAAAAGCTGCTTACGAGCACTTTCCAATTATTGTGTTTATGCTTTGACAAGACACAACGGAACTTTACATTATCATTAACCACTTGCCCTTCTTTGCATATGCTGTACATGTTGCCCTGATCATTTACATTTTTGAAATGCATAATAAAGAACTTATTTGTTTCCAGGATTACAGCTCTGCTTTATTCAGTCTGTAACATTCTGGATAAAAATATCCTCCCATTATGTGCTGCTGTATGGTAGATTACTGCTTCTCTAAAGCTTTTATTCAGGAGAAATGTGCTCTACCAGAGTGTTGGATATAGTCTGCAATAAAAGAAGCTTTGTGACTTGAAACAAACTGGCATTAGTAGTGAAGTTGTGCAAAAGCCATCGTGTTTGGAAATCAAATTTAATTAAAAAGCACTCTCAATCCCTAGTAATACAACTGCTTTAAATTTTCAGACAGTGGGAGTAGCTCACCGTTGCCCAAGTATGCCTCCTCTCCTAAACCCAACAACAGCTACATGTTCAAACGAGAGCCCCCAGAGGGATGTGAGCGAGTGAAGGTCTTTGAGGAAATGTCGTAAGTAATGCCTTTTATATCAGCTGGATCTGCAAATGCAGGAAACCTTTTTACTGGACCTTTTCAACTGCAGATGAATAAACTACTCCAGCTGATGAGGGTTTTCCCCCCTTCTTCTTCTTTCAGGAGCAAACCACTCTTGCCAATTTTGCACAGGCAAGAAGTTGAAGTGTTCCTGTCAGCTTGCCGGGGGGGGGGGGGGGGCGGGGGCGGGAATGCAACCTATTTGTTCTTGACCACATGACCCAGATGTATAAAAGCACAACTGAGGAGGACATGCAAGCAGAGCTATGGTTTCTTCAGTGTTCTAAAAAGTATTTTCCAGCATGAGTAAAGCTGTCTTTATAATGATACCAGTTCAGCTTTATTTTTTTAGCCTTTGAAGCTGTGAATAACAGCCGTGACCAGACTTATTTTGGTAGCATTTGAGTTTTGGTTTTTTTAATTGAGCTATGTGTTTTGGGGAGTGGGGGAGAGAACACAGTATGTAAGTACATACATGCAGGAATATCTTAAAGTTTGGCCAGTTTTTCCTCCTGTTTTGCTGTACAAGGAAATAGCATGGGACTAATTTAGACTAGGACGGCATAGACATATTGCTTGGGAAAATAGCTGAAGCCAGATGCTGGTAAAAAATGCTTCTGGATCATTAATAGAGGATTCTAAAGTGAATGTAGACGCTTTGCTGGACAAAATAGAGATAAAGAAAAAAGGACATTGTGCTATCATTTCATGTGTGTTTGCTACAGTGAGTTTTCTATTGATAAACGGCACATTGATGGATTTCTGATATGGTTTGTGCATCTGAATCCTTTAGGGAAGGGAATTGTGGAAAAGTCTTACCTCTCTGGTTGCTTTTTGCATGTATATTGTGTATTGCTGTGGATCAGTCAGCTGACTACCAATATGGAAGATGTTTGCCCATTTGTCAAATAATCCCATTTCTTGTCACTCACATTCTAGCAACATACAAAACTGCCAACCCATGCTAAGTTATCTGCAAATGTTCAAGTATGTAACTTTAATTTCTTTTTCAACCCCTTTGTTTTAGGACTCGTCAGCCTGTCTCAGCCCCTCTCTTTTCATGTCCTGACAAAAACAAGGTTAATTTCATCCCAACCGGATCAGCTTTCTGTCCTGTAAAACTTCTGGGCCCTTTACTACCTGCTTCTGACCTGATGCTCAAAAGCTCTCCAAACTCTGGTCAAAGCACAGCTTTGAGTACTCTGACTGTTGAGCAGCTTTCATCTCGGGTCTCTTTCTCCTCTCTGTCAGACGACACCAGCACAATGGACCCTACAGAGGTTTTAGTACAACAGCCATCCCAGCAGCAGCCACCACAGCTTTTGCAAGAACTGCAGTCCGAAGAACACTCCTCTCCTCAAAATTACGTGATAATCTAGATGATAATCTAGATGAGCAAAGGCAGAGGGACGGTCTAAAACTCAACTGCATGAGTGGCACTTTTCTGGAACAAAACAAAGCTACTTATCAGCATCTTTCTGCATTTCAGCACTGTTCTTGGCAGGGACAAAAATGCATTCAGCATTTTTGTGTTTGTGTGTGAGTTTGCGGGGGAGGGAGCAGAATGCTTGCAGAATCTGTGTATCATTAAGCATTTTAAGTGGAGACTATGCATTTCATAGAATGTTTGACCAGATTAGTACTTTGTCCTGTGTTCTGTTTCAAATTCTACAGTATAAATAAGCTCTATATCAAACAAAGGTTGCCTGTCTAAATAGAAAATGTCTTGCTGTGTTGTATTCTATGGAAAATACTGTACTTCAGGATTATGTTTACAATTTATCCAGGTATTTATGTTTTGAACTTCTGTAATACATACAATGCAAAAAAGAAAAAAAAAATATATGGCCACAACAGTTGCACAGTGTCCCCACCCTATATGGCCTAGCTTCAGGTACTTCTCTCGAAGTCTAAACTCAGGTAACTTGGAATGTATATCATATTGGGATATAAAATATTTTACAGCTAAAAAGCTAAAGAGGGATCATCACTCTTCTGCCTTTCCTTATTTTATGCATTAATATTTCCTCATTACATTCCACTTTCTTGGAAAAAGTGCATTCAGATCTAGGGGGATACGAACCCTGGACGTGGGTGAACATGAGGAGAACCAGCAAATCTGTGGTGTGCTGCATCCCATTGTCATGTGGTTACAAGTAAAACAAAAAACTAAACTCTTGCATTTGCCATCGTTTCAGCGTGTAAATTGTGGCATTTTAAAGTTTCAGGTGTTTGCACAGTTAATGACTGTTAAGCTGTTGTGAATAAAGTGTTCAGTTTTAGGCTGCACATAAGAAACATTCCATGACGTGTGTGTGAGAGAGGCTCTAAGGCAAGAATGTTTTCGTTTAATTTCAGCAAATTCATTCCCCCCCTCCCCCCAGGTTTCAGAGGGGGTGGGTGGGAATTTCCTCACGCGTTTGCATTGGCAAGTTATAAGGACGTGAAATGCTACTGTTACCATTTTAGGAGTCTTAATTAATGTTTAGTTTCTCTTTTGGAGGAAATGTTCCATTCACATGCTGGTTGCAAAAAAAAAAAAAAAATTATCTCGGGTTTTTGACAAGCAATGATAGGTGAACTTTGTTTTATTTGTACAGTGGGTATTTTGCATCTGAACTTTAAAAAAAAAATCTCTTAAAGCGGCTATGAGGTTTTGTAGAAAAAAAAAAGAAAAACAAAAAAAGAGAAAGAAAGAAAAAGAAAGAAAGAAGCAATAGTTTTTAAGTCATGTATCTAATCGAAGCCTTTCTTAGTACCCTCTGGTTTAGGCCCATTGGCAGGTAAATTTATTGCAGTTTGAAGGTGGGCAGGCAGTGCATTCGCTTGTCTTTCTAGATGCTGCATAGCTTAGAAGCCTCTAGTAGTGTTACATTACAGTAGCCCTGGAACTGTGCGAGTGCTGCTTTCAGAGAGAATGAACCTGCAATACAAAGAGGGACCCCAAAGGCAAGAGACCCACTCAATATTCTTAGCTCTGTGCTTTCAGTTCAGTGGAAGTACCTTTATGCAAGCCTGTTCCTAAGAAAGCCTACTTGCCCCTCTTCAGGAACTGAAAAGATTAAGACTGCAGCTGCTGCAGCAGCAATTTATACTCTCTCCGCTACTACTTTTGTGGAAGAAATTTGGGAAATAATAAAAAAGGCCTCAGTGAAAAGTACCTAAGAAAAGCAATGAAATATACAGCACATGTATGTTGTTGCAAGATGAAGCCCAGTTTCCTTCCTATCATCACCAAAGAGTTTGGTAATAACCTGTTAGGAAGTTAGACCGACAGCCTCTTTTTCAGTCGCTGTGTGACTGTAGGAGCAGGCGGAGAGTGGAAAGCTTAAAAGATCTGTTTTGTCTTTTGTTTTCACAGTATTTTTTTTTAATACAGCAACAGGCATCTTTAATCTTGCTAATCTCAGGCCTTGGTGGAAGCACTATATAGTTTGTATGTTAATAAAGGGTAAGGGAAAAAGCATCCAGTTTCTTGTGACCTAAATGTGTGTTCTTTGAAGTTTTACATTAAAGTTGAATATGACAGTACATCTACCTTCTCACCCTCTCTCTTTTTTCCAAATATAAATACATTGTCACGGTTCTTGATGTTATAGGGTTTTATGAGAAACTATCAGGTGACTTTTTAGATCAAGAGTGAACTCTGGTGAACAATATTTACAGTGATATTACTTGTTCTGTTTTCTCACGAGAAACTAAATATTAATTGTCACACACATTTGCCCTTGGCATATTGGAAGGCTCTGAATCAAATGTGTTTAAAACCTAATGCTTTGCTATGTAAATTTCCCAGCAGTTGTTGATCTCCAATATATCCTACATTCAGCTGTAGAAATTTGTCAAATATTGTTTCAAGAGTTTTGTACATAGTTGTACTGTTATTTCTAGCCACTGTGCTGAACAGTATTTGAATTACCACACAATATTACTTTACACAAGGAAATGTGTGGCTTTTGTTTTGTATTTTTTCAGTATAGACGTCCCTGTGTCTTATTTAAATAAAATTATTAGAACAAAACACCCTACAACCTGTAAAATGTAGTGTGTTGTCTGTCTTTTGAAAGCTGTCTAGAAGCTGAACATTCAGAAAAAGCATCAGCTGTAGTCTTGAACTTTTCCAGAACCGAGGGATTGAGGGATCACAAAAAGTGCTGCCCTGTGTTAAAACTCCCCTTTCTATAAGGAAACTGCAGCAGGAAGAAGAGAAACTAGTTGAGAGGTGGGATTCTCTGCTTACATATATCTGCAGAAAAGGTGGTTGTAAAGTCCAATATTAATCAATAATTGAATCCAAATGGTAGCTTTTCGTAGCTGAACTATTGCTATGCTGCACGCTTAATCATTTATTTCCACTGTAACATGGTGCAAAAACTGCATTCCACTGTACATAGTGGACTAAGGTTAGTGCCAACCTGACTAAATAATTTAGAAAACATTCCCTTCTTCATAGGCCATTCATCTTGTTACGATGATGTAGATTTCATTTCTCATGACTTTAACAAATAGCACGGAACTGGCTCACTTTTTTCGCAACTTGTTCTCTTCAGTCTCAGGACTGGAATAGCATATCAAAATGGACTATTCCAAATGTCTTCTAACATATTAAAGATTCCAAGAACCTCTACTGTTTAGGAGAAGCTACAGAACATAACCTAGTTTGGTTATCATTTTTCAGCAAAGCACATTTTCCCCAGTGCAACAGCTTTTATATACGTGGGAAAGTGTCATCATGCGCTTCAGCACCCTTTAAAACTCTGCTTAACATTGTGACATGTTTTCCAGTAAGCTTTTAGTATTGGCTCATTTGAACACAACACTTCACTTAGTGACCCAAACACCATAAATTTGAGAAAACAAATCAGTAACATTTTCTTGTACTTGTGTTCCTACTATGAGTGCATTTTAGTTTGTGTTTGAAGTGGATAGTTCTTGCCTACTATATATATATAAATATTCCAGTAACATGCTTCAATGGCAGTATAATCATTTTGATTAATCCATGGCTGTGTCTGCATTGTATTTTGCTCTTTGGTGCAATTCTGGGTGCAACTTGTATCTCATTATAGTTTGCTTGCTTTGCATTACCTGTTCCATCTCAACAGCTGTGGGGTTGAACTTGTGAATGCGACTGCAATAAATAAGAAGGGGTGGGGAAAGGCCTGCAACCTAGTTAACACAATGGTGTGTGACCTCCCATCTTCCCTGCATGCACCTGAGAGCAATGATGTCAGAGGAACAGTACCAAATAAGGCAGGTGAAGTTTGCATTCTCTCAAGCTATAGATGTAGCCAATCTTCTCAGCTTTCAGGCTTGTTTTAATAGGAAAGGTCCTCTTCTGGTAGCAGAGTAGGACTTGCCTAGCCAGGCAGGGCTTTGGTTTGACAGAAGGCTGGCCACAAACAATTTCCCCACCCCAACTTCAGAATCCTAGAGAAGCTGAGAAAAAAATAAATTATTAGGGAAGGACCATCACCTTCACATCTGGAAAGTGAAGAGGGCGGAAACCTACTATTCCTTCCCCAAAGGGGGCCTTAAGATAGGGTAGGACTGAACGTGGAGGAACAGAAGGCAGGAAAGGACAGTTGTAAGCTTTCAATGTGAGACCTCCCTTGCGGTAGGCAGCCCAAGAGCACTCGGTGCACCCATAGGAGAGAATTCCTTCCTAAGGAATCCAAATTACAGCAGCCAGGCTTGACTTGTGTGCTCTGATCAGCATGTATCATCTGTCTTTCTCAACTTAGTTGGCTGCCTGTCTCTATATAGTTTAAGGTGCTGGTTTCACCTTTTGAAACTAAATCGGGCATGGGGAACTTTTTTCAGCCCATGAGTCACATGAGCCCATGGGGGCTGCATGCCAGTGGTGGGTGGAGCCAGTGGCAAAAGTGGGTGGAGCAACCCATGTTCCCTGATGGTAAGAGCTGTTTGCCAGTGGGACGGGCTCCCTCGGAAGGTGGTGGACTCCTTCATTGGAGGTTTCTAAGCAGATTGGGTGGCCATCTGTCATGTGTTGGTCTAGTTGAGATTCCTGCATTGCAGGGGGTTGGACTAGTTGACCCTCTGATCCCTTCCAACTATGGTTCTATGAAATTTTAACTCTGTGCATTAGGCTACTCTGTGTGTGTGTGTGTGTGTGTGTGTGTGTGTGTGTGTGTGTGTACACACGCCCTCCCTTCTCTGTGTTCCCCATCCAGACAAGCAAAAGGCATTATCGGAGTTCAAGAACACATTCCATCCAGGAAGAAACGTTTCAGGTGTGGAGCAGGGTTTGACTTGGGGAGAGTCTAGACTGAGGGCCAGATAAACGGGGCTGCTGGGGGCCCACATTTAACCCCAGGCCTGAGGTTCCCCCTTCCCTGCTTTAAATAGTCTAGGATGGTGTTTCCAAAGCTTTATTCAGGTGGCCTGTGCTGTGTTTGTAAAAATAAAATCATACAGCATCTAGCACAACCAACAGAAAAACCAATTTGGTGTTTTGGCAAGACTCTTGGCAATTTTCAAGTGGTCCATAGAGAAAAAGGGTTATGAAGCACTGGCATCTGACATCATTAAGAATTGTTCCATATTGGCCAGTCCAAGTTTTGAGATCAACTTTGGAGATGCTCTCTACCATCCTCTTCACCCGTTAAATAGTGATCATAAGAGCATAAGGTTTCTTAGTGGTGGTCTTATGCCTTTGGAATACTGTACTGGAAGAAACACCCTGTCAGCCTTGCCGTTAGAACTCCTTTCACCATAATTTATTTATTTTTTTAAAAAACGAAACCCTCATTTTTAGTGTTGCCTTTCATTGCCTTTTGGGTGACTGCTCTCATTTTTTAAATGGTTGTTTCAACCTGTGTGCTTTTAAAAAAATATACCCCTTTGTTTAGTGTATGCCCATGTTGAGCCGCTCTGAACAGAGCATAAATAATAAATCGAGTGATTTGAAACTTCACCCTGAACTGGCTTTTGAAAGTGATAGAAGAGGGGAAATTGTTGCAGGGAGACAATGGTGAGAGGACAGAACGAAAAGCTTGCAGCACACTAAGGCCACTTATCCCATCATCTGTCCCAGTGTCCCATCAAAATCCCCCCCCCCCCAAAAAAAATGGCCTGGAAACTGAGCAACTCAGTTAAGCAGTTAAGTTTGGCTCATCCAAGAGGGCAATCTCTTTATTTGAGAATTTAACACCTATGCATATCTCATGGCAGCTTACAGCAGTTAAAGTAACTCTCTAAGTAAAGAATGGACTTTGTCACAGTGTCAAAGAAATGAGCTGTGATAAAAGTTTTATCACAGAAAACATCTGCCTAGCAAGGCACCAGAAACTGTCTTCACCAAACCACAGAAGATGGCAAGGGATGGAGCCAAGCAAACCTCAGACTAGGTAAGCTACAATCTCTTTTTGTGTCCATCAGCTTCAGCCAATTGACACCCTTCAGTTCCCATTATTCTCTGGGAGGAAGTTATGACTGTTTAAAGTGGTATAATGGTGCTTTAAATGGTGTGGATGTGACCTAAGTCATACTCTGATCAGTCCCATTATCTTAAATGTATACATGGATTCCATGTATCTGATTTGGAGAATGTCTTAGTTGGGTATCACCCATCTTGTTCTCATGGTGCCAACCAGCCTGAGTGCAAGTGCCCTCTCCTCACCTGTAATTCCCAGAAATTGACAGTGGAATTACAACTTAGCCTTAGCTGCCATGAATGAGTCTAATCCTATTTTAAAAAAAGCCATTCAATTTGGTGGTCATCACTACATCGTGTGGGAGCAAACCAGTTAACTAGGTCCTTTGTGAAGAAGTATGTTCTCTTGTCTTTCCTGAATCTTCCAACATTCAGCTTCACTGAATGACTCTGAATTCTAGTATACAGGAGGAAACATGACTCCATACCTCTGTAATAATGCTTTTGAACACATTTCCAGTGGCCAACATAATACTGGAATTCTAAATTTTATTATTATTTTTTAAGCATCAACAATTCATGAAGGAAGAATATCAATAGAAAAAGTAATTCAGGAAATATATTTTCATGCCAGAGGAAATTCTTTTGTTTGAAGAGAAAGGGGAGGAATACCCACCCTACCTACATTAAGCTCCAATTATGCTTCTGAGTTGCATTTTCCTTGGCTGTGTGTTTACACCTCCAGAAGAGACTGCAAACAGAAAGCAACTGCCTAAGCTCTCCTCCAGAATTTATTTTGCAGAGTAATTATATATAGCCTGTTATCCTTCAGAGGCCATTCTCAGTTCTTCACATTAACCTTGGCTCTCTGCAGGGTTTCCTGGCATCCAACTTTCTGTGCAGAAAGTATCTCCATGTGCCCAGCTGACTTGAGATGTGGGTACAGCTCTCGTAATCATTAGTACGGAGTGTTCTTGATAGAACTTGCATCAGGACTAGGGTGTACACTAAGGTTTAGTAACCATGGTGGTACTTGCAAGGTTGCAATGAATGTTTCTGTAGCATTACCTAGATGACGTCTTGACTCGCTAATGCACTGTGGAACAGGGAGTGCAGAATATTCAGACAGCACTGATTGGTCTCAAGACGTGGTTCCATAACAAATATGGCAAATTGCTCCCTATTTTCAGCTCAGTTCCCATGCTCAGAATTGAGCTAGATGCTGCTTAGTTCAGGATATTCTTGTCTGCAAAAGGGAAGGGGATTATCCCCAAATAAGAGACTCTAAAAAGCCTTGCAGTTCTTGATCTATTGTTAGACATGCTTGTTTCATCTGGGAATAGTGAATTGGTCAAGGTTTCAGATAAGACTTTTTCAAAGGCTGATATACTCCCTTTCTAGATGGAGATTGGGAACCAGGAACGTTGGCTCTTTTGTGTCACCAGACAGCTCGGGCAGTAATGAACTGGTGCCTACCAAAATGGCGGTATTGGCTGGAGTGAGCTTCTCTGGTCCCAGTCTTCATCACAAGAAGGGATGGAGATGCAGGCACTGGCTAACATCATCCAAACCACCTACTTCACAATTGTAAGTGTACATGGGTATCAGTTGATTAGAGAACAAAGCTGCCAGTTGGGCACCAAAACAGCTCCAATGTGCTTTATTTTGCTGGAGCAATGTATCTTGATAAGCATACATCAAGAAACAGGAGAAATCTTGAACTGTGAAGAACAGCTGTTGAGGCAGGGCACCTGACACTGGTGGAATACCAGATTTCTTTGTGGCACTGTAGAAGCTGAAACCACCTTAATCAGTGCACAGGCTCCCTGATCTCAGGTTGGCCAGGACTTAAAGCACATTCTTGCCAACCTGATTCCACTGCGGAGAATAAAATATCGTTCTGATAATGTTGCACTGTCCTCAAAACATCTTTGCTTCCATGATGTGTCATTAAGAGCCTACGGCAGGACTGCTAGTTCCAGTCCCACCTGCCTCATCAATTCCTGCATACTTAAGCATAATATTTTTTTGCTCTCAAGTTGGCTTTCAAACTAGTCCCCTTTTAAAAGCAGGAACACACGAGCCCCCTTGCGTATAGAATTGCGTCTGTGTGAAATGGGTTACACGCTGCCTGCAGCCATTTCCAAAACAGTGGCAGCTGCAAAAGAGCTTAGTGGTGAAGAAAATAAACTGGGAGCCAGGGAGCCCTTAGTGAAAAATTCACATTGGCTGTGAGTTCACTGGATGGCAAGCACACAATTTCTGACAGAAGAGGATTTATGCCAGTGTAGACTTCCAGGATGTACGTACGTGTGCATGTACAAGCTATTGTGCTGTATGCAAACAAAAGACTGAACCTCTCTGAGGGTTGGTTCATACATGTATTTCCCAAGATCAACTGAAAGTCTATCATATTAAGACCTGCAGCAGCACACAAATCCCCAGCCCTTTTTCTCCCTGCAGAGAGAAATACTTGCCGTCACACACAACTGCTTGCCAGAATTTTAGTAAAACCCATTTGCTGCTATTGATGTTTGATTGCATTGTAAAAATCAGTTTGTTAGTTTATTATTTTACTGCTTCGTTGTAAGCTGCATTTGGAACTGAACAACATTTCTTCACTTCAGACACTTGGTCTTTTCTAGTCCAAGACTGATGGGCAAGCACTTTCTAGGGTCTCAGGAGGAGACATTCCCCCATACCTGAGTCATTTTAACGAGATGCTGAGTGGGGCTGAAACTGGCTCGAAGTTGAAAGGCAAGGTAGAATAAATCTTGTTAGGAGCTTACGTTGGGGCCTGCCCTTACGTTTTAACATAAAAACATAAGAAGTCTCCTGCCCATCTAATCCAACCACCCAGATAATTGTGGGAAACTCACAAGCAGGACTCGGGCACAACAGCACTCTCCTCGTCTGGGGTTTCTAGCAACTGATATTCAGAAGCATATTGCCTTGGACTGTGGAGACAGAGCATAACTTTGATGGCTAGTAACCATTGACAGGTAGCCTTATCCTCCATGAATTTGTCCAATCCTCTTTTAAAGCCATCTAAATTGGTGGCCATCACTGCCTCCTTTGGGACTGAGTTCCATAGTTAAACTATGCACTGCAAGAAGCAGCACTTTCTTTTATCTGCCCTGAAACTTCCAACATAAACTTTTCCACTTCATGCCATGCATAATTTCTTAAAAAATTCTGTCATGTCACTTCTTACTTGCTTTACACACTCTTTGGAAAGCCACTGACTGGCCCATAATGCTTCTGCTCCTGTTATGCTTAAAGGATTATTTAGGCAGATTTAGATAAGAGTCCATAAAAATTACTCAATCTGTTCTCTCAACGACTCCATCCGAGGTCCCCAAAGGCAGCCTCTCTTAACTTAGCAGAAATTCATGCTAGCTGAAATCATTAGGGTTTTTTAAAAAATAAACGTTCCGAGGACAGCAAATCCATCATCGCTGCTTCACCTCCCACCCCATCATAAACTTTCTGCAGCATTTAAAAATATGCTACTTAAAATAACAAAATATGCAACTATGGGGCAGTATCTCAGTATCTGCAAATCAAAAGGAATTCTTAAGCTGGTCTGATAATGGACTTCTAATTGTTAACAGAATGATTAACAGCTTTGCTCTGTTATATAATGGAGACTGTGCATATGGCCAGCATAGCAAAATCTTATAAAAGTATTCTACATACCATGACTTTTTGTTCCATGTAATATATAGCTTTTTAATTACAAGATACTATGAATTATATGTGTCTGGGAACTCAAAGATAGGAGTCTGGTTGCCAAGTTCCTTTTCTAGACTCTCATTACTATAACTTCCATTGTTTAAAGCAAAATACAAAAATATATACATTGCTCATTATGCAACACTAAAGGACAATGCACTCTGCATTAAACGACACAGGGGGGCTTCAACAATATGAAATACAACACATATATCTGAAGGGAAGTTGAATTGCTGCAAATATAGTTCCGGCTTTTCTGTCTCAAATCATGTGTCAGTTCAGCTATTGTATCTGAAGTGTGATGTGAATTGGTGGCAATGCAGACCTTTGTTACACTTGTGCAGTACTCTCTGCACAATACCCTGATTGAGTGGGAGCCATTTGCAGCTCAGATGTCTATGATCTGTGACCTAAAAACAGCTCTAATTAAGTCTGACACAGTAGCGTATTAGCTTGCTTGAAAGCCACTGCAATCTATTCACATTATTAGCACCCCCCCCCCAAAAAAAACATTCTACCTCTATAAACTGGCAAAGTTACAGCTTCAGTTCGTTTGTCTGGCTGTAGATCTAACATAGATTGGGACCAAAATAACAGCTCCAGAGATTTTTAGTGCACTGTAAACAGTACATGGAAATGCAGAAGAATCCTCAATATATTTTGGAATGCACAATCCATTGTTGATAAGACCACCAGCTGCCTCCAGCAAAATTTAGCTTTGCCTTTAAACATATAATTATGAGAGACTCTGAGTCACCGTCTTATGGGGGTTCAACAATATGAAATATAAATTCAAGCGATGTGAGATGCTAGTGTGTACTGGGATTTTTCTTTCCCCCTCCTCCATCCCAATAAGGACAAACAACATTAAGAGGTGATTGTCAGAAGCACTTTAGACATCAGATTTAGTTAAAGTGACGACGACAAAGGACCATTCCACAAATTACACTTTAAACAAGTACACCCAAAAGAATGTGTGTTCCTATGAGCCTCGAACATGTGATCTACTTCAGGAGGCCAAGGTTCAAAACTTCACAGGTATGTGCAGAACTTCTACCTTTGTTGCATTAGCTTAATCCAGGAAAGCCTATCATAAGCCAGGGGTGTGGGTGTGTGTTCTTCTCAGTAAGCCTTTTATGCTGTTTTATGGCACTCTGAATATCCAGGTACCTGAAGGAAGGTTTCCATCAGTTTCAAATTCAGAAATCCTGCATCATGAATTTAAGCTTGCATGAAAACAGTGTCAAAGTAAATATCTGGCTGGCAAAATAAATGTGCGTTTCTTAAGTAGACTGGATCTGCACATGAAGCAGAATGAGGTGGAAGGAGAGGCGGCAGAACGGACTGTAACATTTCAGCAAGTAATCATGTTTCTGAGGCTTCCATATATGAAAACTAACTGGACGGAAACTAAAATAGTTGATATAGAAAAGTTGGGAGAACAACAGGATTTTTTTTTAAAAGCAGGGGAGCCTTCAAAAAGGTTATTCCCATGTGTGATCTGTTGGTCTGCTCTATGACCTCAGAATTATCACCTGATTTTATTTTTTAAAGGCAGTGAATGATATCTTCTGATCAGCCCAGACACTGAGGTCCAGCTCCAAGGGCCTTCTGGCAGTTCCCACACTGTAAGAAGTTACAGGGAACCAGGCAGAGGGCCTTTTCAGTATTCACACCTGCCCTGTGGAAGGCCCTCTCATCAGATTTCAAACAAGCAACTATATGACTTTTTAGAAGACATCTGAAGGCAGCCCTATACCGGTAAGTTTTTAACATCTGATGTTTTATTGTGTTTTTATTATTTTGCGGGGAATCACCCAGAATGGCTGGGGCAACCCAGTCAGATGGGTAGAATGTAAATTAAATAAATAACAATAACAACAATAATAATTTATTATTAAATCATGATTGCATCCATTGAATTGCTCCCATTTCCCAGGACAAAGGTTCAGCTACACTTTTTCTTTTTGTCAAAACCATCTTTATTAAAGGAGAGTGTCGCGACAGAACATGTGTGTATGAAACCAGCTTTGATGAAAAGTGCTTTGTATGGAAACCATGATTACTGTAAATACACATGTTGGCAAAGTCAATACCACCTGGTCTCCAATTGCCGAAACTGCTGGTACAACTGAACAAGCCTGGAGGATGTAGTTTGGGCAGTCGGCTTGGACTTATACAATGCCATTTGCCTAATAATTTAAAATTAGAGAATGAGCACAGTAGATTCATAGATACTCAAATATAATTCTCTAATAATTAGCCCCAGAGTATAGATTTTTTCACTATGGATACTAACAAAAGAAATTATAAATTAACATCACAGCAGTATGTTATATACTACTTTCTAAATGGTAGTATCGAATATACCACTGGGTCATGCAGTCTCCAGTTACATGATTTTGTTTTGATTTACACAAAGAAAAAGATATAAAAAATAGGTTTATTATTTATATTTCACTCTTGAGTTAGCTGTGGCACTCTGCCTGCCAAGAGCCAAGTTACAGCAAGTACACTAATCTATTCAGTAGTCTTCTCTAAATCGTTTGGTACATTCACATACAAAAAAAGAAGTTGCAAACTCTTTGTACAAAACAAGAGCAAATAACTGTTACCTATAGAAAGGGGTTAGGTCAATCCCTTGATTTTATTAGAATGGCACAGAAGTGAGAAGTAAGTCGTACAACAGTAAACTGATCTGGTTTTAAACTCTTCTAAAGCCCCAATAAATGCATTTTTGAATGGTGAAGTGAGAGTTACCACAGGCAGACAACTCATGCATTGAGCAATTCGTGTTCTTTATCTGTTTTCCCAACTGCATCTGGGTTGGACAAGGGGTCCAGATCAGCAAAGAGGCTAAACCAAGCCGTTAGATCTTTAGAGGAACTTGCAGCTTCTGCAAAAAGGAAAAAAAAAAAGACAAACAATCCCCAAGAAGTTAAGATTTTTGCTTGACAGTTGTTGTTTTTTTAAAAAATATACTAATGCTGACATAAGCAAACATGGTATGGACTTAGAATGCACTACTGATGAAAATATATAATATATGCCTGATAGAACCCATATTCATCTATTGCTTTTGACAGAAAATTTAAATATTCTGCAGTTATTATTATTTCATTTCTATATTTTTCTTACATTTTTTAGAAAAATCTCAAAGCGGTTTACAGTTCTCTATTATTTATTTATATAATTTGCAACACACACACACACACACACACACACACTGCCCTTACAGTGTTGACTACAATAGGAAAAAACCCAATATATTGCAGTAAAATATAATGGAAACTAAAGCAGCATAACTGGCAGGTAAAAACGAATATATCACATAACAGCAGTAAAAAATAAATTAAGAGGATCTTAACTGCCATTAAAACATCATTAAGAACACAAACAAGATATTGGGATGGGTTTTTCTTGAAATATAACAATGATGTTGCTCAGAAAACACATTTGAAGACGAAGTTTGATAATTTAGGTGCCATCACAGAGAAGGCCTTTTTAGCAATTAGCTACTTCCCTGGCTCCTAAGCACAGGGACATCGGGAGAAGAGGAGGGTAGCCCACAAACTCCCTCAATTGGTGGATTGGCTCATGGTTTCTCCATTCCCAACCACTTCATAGTATTTTAATGAAATCATCTTCACTTGGATGAGCCTTTTGGAGGTTGTGCAAAAATGGAAAGGGAGATCACCAAAGACCCAACACTGGGAGGGCCCTAAGGGTCCATTCTGCCTGCAGCCAGGAGTACTTGAGTTCCTAGAGCGTCTCTAGAAAGGGATTTTGTCAACACAGAGCGTGACCAAGTGATGACCCAGTGGAGTTTTCGGTGCTGAAACAGGACATCTCCACTCAGGTCTTGGCAACATTTTAACGTCAACCAACAAGCAAGCATTGATAGTCAAGTGCCGATTACTTAAATAACTTGCCAATTAGAGCATAATTAGAAGACAATTCCTGAAAGGAAGCCATTTTATGTAGTTGCAAGACTACACACACACACAGACACACACACACACACACACACACACACACACACACAAAACCAAACACCTGGCAAACTCTAAGCTTTGTATTGCTGTGTTGGTGCACACACAATCAAAGAGTAACGTGTTTGTCACCTTTCATAGGTGTCTTGTTGATGGTCGTGTTCACGCTGTTGGATTTCTGGGCGGTCTGTGGGACAGGCGTAGGGCTAATGCTGCTGGCTGCCCAACCTAAAATTCAATAACAGTTGCATTTCTGTCAATCAGCTATAATTACTTAACGAGCTCACACTGCTCACGACAGTAATAATTGAAGCTTGAAACTCTTCTGTTAAAAACAATTTCTAAAAATCCTGTCCTGATCTGTTGCTTTACAGCTCTGGCTTCATTGCTTTATGTAGGTCTTTACATTTTGTACTTTGTATTATGTTACTTTAATCCTGTTGTAAATTCTTCTTGTGTACTTTGGGATAGAAATTAAACAACTCTCATTTCCTTACCGGTTACTGCAACAGGGTTGTATTTGAGTCTTTTTGTTTGTTTTTTTTTGCATTCACTTTAACTGTCTTGAGTGCTCCATCAAATCCATTCATCTACTGAAACTAACAGTACAGCTTGTTTTGACAACTGATATTTTTGAAGTTGTTAGCAGAGCTCTTGAGCAGATCTATCTGCTGACTGGGAGTGGGGACCTTCAGACTGCCGTTTCAAATAGTGAACAGGAGTCAATCCAGCCTACCGTCTGGAAAAGGCTCCCACAACAAACAGGCTCCAGCCCTTCTGTAATAGATCTGCTAGTATTACTACTAGCAGTTCAGGTGCCTGACACTTGCCCTATGGGTCTGTAAGTTTGGTCCAAAAGGGTGGTTAGGAAAAACTTTTGAATAATGTTACAAAGTAGTGTTCTCCATTGCTAATACAAGCAAAGTTTAGTTTACAGGGGAAATTGGCCTTTGGGGAAAAAATATTGGTGCTTACTAGCTGGCTGCTCAAAGAGCAGCTCATGATATGACTAGACGCAAGATTATCAGTGAGACATTAAGGAAACCAAACCTCCTACTCTTCTGCCAGCAACTGTACAAATGTGGAAAAGGTGAAGCAAGCAGTCATTATCTTGACCTCAATTAAATTTAAAAATGGAAGCAACAGCTAGATTGTTCAGCCACAGAAAAAAGCTCCTGTACACATAAATTAAAAATGATTCCTATAATTATTATTATCAAAATGAAATACAGGTAGGAGTGGAGAAAGGGATTGCCTTTTTGTTAAAGCAGTCTTTGCAGTTAGAAAAGTAGCCAGAGAAGGCAGTGACATAATCAGTGGACTGACTGAAACACACTCAGATCATTTGTTCTTTTTGCCTTCTTTCACCTGCAAAGGGAGCCCTTCAACAATAACAGTTTCTTGCAGTACAATAGTGCCTGGAGGACCAAGTGAAGACTGGGAATAAATGGGTGCAGTAACAATACGGTTTTAAAGGCAGACAAAACAGACTAAAAGACAAAGGCTGTATTTACTGGATAAAAGACTAAGCGGACAGGAAAATATAATTAAGACAATTTCCGGTGGATGTAAAGTGTTCCATATATTCTTATCCCACGTCTGAAGTGAAGCATGCCTGTATGATGCCTGCCTCCTTGCTGGTATGGGGATTAACAGGCATGCTTAGTTGATAAATTGCTGAAATGTTGTGCACAGGCTGAATTCAGAGGCAACACAAAACCACGGAGTACTTGGGTAAACCATGGTTTGTTTCAATGTCTGAACTTGAGCTTCCCCACAAACTGATCTGGTTCAGATGTAACACTGAACACTGGGATCTTCAACTGTGGTGTTAGCGTAATCGTAGTTTTTTATTACATCTGAAACCAGCTTTAAGATGCTTTAATCCCACTAAAGTAAATGAGATGGAAGAAGTCTAACACTCCATTATTATTTTTTTAAAAACAGATAATCAATTTAATTGATCAGCAATAACTAACGACATGAACACAGTTAGGAACCTGACTTAGCAGAAGGTTTTTTCAGTCTGCCAGGATGCTTTTGTATAGCATTGTTTGCTCCAAGGTATTTTATTATTTGTAAATGCTTGGGATTTTACCTGGAACCTTATACAAGCAAAAACATCTGCTCTATTAACATATGATGCCATCAAAGATAATTAATAGCTAGATGGGAAACTGAGACACAAAGCTAGCAACCTGTACATAACTGCTTTGATCACACAACAGTAAGTTCTCTAGTTTACTTAACAGGCATTGTGGAATAAGGCAGTAATTTGCAGTTGAAGAAGACTTGTTTTCTGCCAGTCATACGCTAAACAGATCTCTGAAAAATAATCCTAGCAAAGAGACATTTTCAATTAACAAGCAAAGCCTGTGTACTTTGGAAGAAAACCACTTACATTACTAGGAATGGAAATTCTGAAAAATAGTTGCCACGGTTGGCTCCTCAGCCATGCAAAATGAGAGGTTACTTGCATTTATAATACACCTTCAATTATTTAACAGGGCATAGCTTTTACTGGTTAACTTAGAAGGAAAACAACCTCTCTCCATATTGTGCTGGATGTCATAGATAATAGCATTGCAAACAGTTGTGTTCCTTCTGAAGTGAAGTGTGTTGGCAGTGAACCAAGGAGACACGAACCCCAGCCCTTGCTCCACCCTGATCTCCCTCATTGGCCTTGGGGAAGTCATGCTCTTTCAGCCTGGGGTCCCAGCCTGCACTATGGGTTTCTTAGAAAAGGAATGACATAATTGCATTTGGCAAAAAAGAAAGCGTTCTGCAAATGTCGTAAATAATACATTTCCCCACCAGCCGTTCCTTTAAGTGATCTGTGACTGTGTTGCAGCCCCAACTGCGTAACAACAAATGTACAAGACTGCAGGTTCGAAAGAGTTGGGAAGAGAACAGGCCCGTAGTCCAAACTGGGTGTGGTGGGGTGGGATACAGCCGCCTTCAATTCAGGGCAAAAGCAAGATTCAAACTAGAGACCTCCTGGCTCACTATTCAGTCTTTTAGCACCAAACCGTATGCAATGCGGAAGATTTGTGAACGATAGTTTTCATTTAAAAGTAGCTGATCTACACTGGGGCCACAGTGCTGGGGGAGAAAGGTCTAACCATTCCCCATCTGTGCCATTTCCCGATTTAAATCACACTCATCCAAAAGCAGCTATTTGCCACAACAATATGCAGGTATCACACATCTCTCCCACTCACTGGCTGCTTTTAAATTTAATTGCCCTCCCTACCCTTGGTGATAGTTTGTAATTAAAAAAGCAGCTACCAACAATCATAGGAGATCCTGTTCGCAGATCTGCCCCACTGTGTCTGGTTTGCCTCTTAGTGACTTTCCTACGCCATATCACCTTAAAAATCTGAGTACTTCAGTTCCATTAAGCATCTGCACTACGCTAGACAAAGAGGCCAGATATGCCCCTGTCCACAGGCCTATTAAGCCAAAGTGCTTGGACTGAAGCCACTGAAGCCTCACTGATGACACGCTCCTATTTTAGGCATGCCAGTCTTGACAAGGTCCCTTTAACAACAGCTTTTTTTATTGCTACTCCAGGCTCTACTATTTTCTTCTACCTGAGGAATGTCAGAGGAATAATTTTCCCATCAACAAATGACATGCAAACCAGCCCACGTTAACACCCTGGAGGAGTTAAGAACCCTTCACACACGTCATCCCTTCACTCTAAAAATAATGAGACAATTTTTTCCTTTCACCCTCTACGCCTCCCTCCCACAACCACCATCTGCCCAAGAAACAGCAGAGAGATTAACATAGAATATTGGCAGCAAGGAGGCTGGTCTGCTGTGCACGGAGCACTGAAGCAACAAGAGCTGCAAACTAACAAAGCACTTTCATTCTGAGCCTGTTGTGCAGATGCATCTATTTTACAGCACCAGAGTAGCCAACTGATACTTAAGGCAGGGTAAAAATAGGGAGAGGAAAATGCATAAATGAGCTTAGTGTGAGTAACCCAAGGGAAGGAGCTATTTCCTGGAAGGCACACCTACAAACCTCATGGGAGAGTGTTAGCGTGACTGAGAGAAGAGACCTGATTCAGATGTAATGTTGGCTAAGACCTGGTTCAGCTTTATGTGAACAAGCCTACTTCCCTCCTGTCTGCATGGAGATTGTAAACATTCATTTCCATTTTAAACTAACTGCAATTTGTTGTTTTGTCTGAACTGGGAACTACAGTTAAGTTTCCCTATGCTTATCCAAAGAAGCCAGGATCAGAAGCCATGGCTTGATCCTGGCTTGTTCTGACAAACCACTGTTTATCCTAACCACAGTTTGTCCCAATTTGGACAAAACAACCAACTGGTTAGGTTAAAATTTCATGCTTTGCATGCAAATTGCCCCTGGTTCAATCCCTGGCATCTGTCGGTAGGGCTGGGAGAAACCGTCTGAAACTACTGTCAGTCAGTACTAGAGACAATACTGAGTTCGATGGACCAGTTATTTGATCAAGTATAAGGTAGTATACAAAATTAAATAATAATAATAAATTAATTATCTCCTCATGGTTGTAAAGGGAGAGGGAGAGAGCACTTAAGCCCAAGGTTCATGCACATAACACTATCCTACAGTTTAGTGAAGAGCTTTTCAAACTGTGTGTTGCGACATGTTAGTGTGTTGGCTGCAGTATGCAGGTGTGTCATGCAATCGCTCCCCACGCTCCTCCCGGGGCTGGGGGGGAAATTACTGCTTCGCAAAATGATGCATGTTTAAAAAGTGTGTCACCAACATAAAGTTTGGAAAGCTCTGGTTTAGTGGTTATGGCTATATCCTCCCAAGTAAGTATGTGTCTTAGTTCACATGCATTCATGCATGGCATAGCGCTCGGCATCAGGTTGGTGGACTGAGCCCATCTGTTTGCTAATCAGCCTAAAATAAACCTACCTTGAAGGGAGGACTGCAAGTCATTCATGTTTTGGTCTAAAAGCTGAGAAGGAAGGAAGCCTGACGCTGATGACTTATTGTTCTCCATTTCTCCTGCGGAAGAGCTTGTGGGCATGTCAGCAAGTGGGTCCTCTCCAAATACAGCTGTCCACTCTCTGCTGAATTCGCCGTCGTCCAAAGAAGACGCATTGAGAATCTCGTTCAGTAATACCATATCATCCTTATCAGTAGCCTCAGTCTCCAAAGAATTTGCAAGCGGGTCCATTGATGCTGCTGGGAGAAGCAGGAGTACCAAAGCAGAAAGAAATCAGAAAAAAACACAAGTAAGGGTTGAGGAAGATACTTAAGGAATGCCCATTCAGATCTACCAGTAGTGAAGGAACTATAGCTCCACGGTGCATGCAGAAGGTTCCAGGTTCAATCTCTAGAAGTCCCAGTTAAAAGGAACAGGATAGACCTTTGCTTGAAATTCTTAGGCTTCAGAGTAGACAATAAGGGATTAGCTAAGAGACCTGGTATAGGCCCTAGAGACTGAGGCATAGATAAAATAATTTTATGGGGAGCACCTAAACTAGATGATCTTCCAACTGCACCTCTCATTCCTCACATTCTGGAATTCAGTCTGGACATTTATGATTTCTCACCTCTCAGTTTAACCTCTCTAGATGTCATAGTTCATGCAATAACTCATGTTTTGACAGTTGTTTAAAATGCAGACACCTCCAGTGGCGTACACCCCCACTTTTCCAGATAAAAACCAGATATTTCAACAAAAGAACTACTTTGACCAATGATCCAAAATGATGAAAAACTCCTTTCCTGCAGAAGTCCTTATCCTTGTTGTAATAGAAATGTGATTTAATATGGACAAGAAACAGAAGGTTCATGATGGATTACCTAGAAAAGGAAGAGCTTACTTTACAGTTACACTATTCCTACTGAGCAAAGCATTCCAACCAGGAATTTTGCTGAATGGGGTTGACCTTATGCTGGCTCAGATGTCTACAAGATGAAAAATGAAGGAAATACATAATGGAGAAGCATAGAATGCCCCGTCTTCCAGATGACAAGTAAACAGGAAGGGAATATGACTTGGCTGCTTTACCAGTGTGGAAGGCAAAGAGATACAGTGATTCATTGTACTGTACATTGATTATGTGCCCATGCACTGGAGGGGCAAGAATGGATGCTCAGGGATAACAAACAGTGTCCAATCAACCACTGTTGGGCAAAAGGAGTTAAATTTTAGCATGTAGAAAATTCTAGGTAATAATAATACTTCTTCAGAAATGGCAAAGTCAGCTATGGAATTTGCTGCCACAATTTGTGGTGATGGCCACCAGCTTGGACAGCATTAAAAGGGAATTAGAGAAAATTATGCAGGATAAAGCTATCAGGGGCTGCTTGTCATGACAGCTACAGGTAGTAGACCTCTGAATTTCAGTCACTGTTGAAGGGGAAGGGAGCTCTTGTGTTCATTTCCTGGTTATGGGATTCCATAGGCATCCCGTTGGCCACGGTAGGAGAAAGCATGCTAGACTAGCTTAAGTTTTGGTTTTATCCCACAGGGCTCTTCTTATGGTCTTAGGAAAACTCAATGAACCAGCAAATGAGTCACTAAAGCCTACTGCTAGCCTATCGTTTTACTTTCCACCTCCCTCTCAAGGAGACAATGGAAAGAATGGTGGAAACTTCAGAGCTCTCCATTACCATGTTCCCCTAGCCTCTTTGAAATACGGACCAGCTTTCAAAAGCGAGCCTCACCATATGGGAAGTTTTAAAATAGCACCTCCATGGGAAATGGACATGTGATTCTACCCTGAGAATCTCTCCAGCCACAATGTTTCTTCCCCTTCCCTAGAGAGCATGTTTGTGGGAAGAACTGTGTGGCAGAAATAACCCTGACCACCTTTACCAAGACATCTACTCTGTTCCGGACTGATGGTTTAGTTTTAACTTGTTTGATTGTACAGTGGTACCTCGGGTTAAGAACTTAATTCGTTCTGGAGGTCTGTTCTTAACCTGAAACTGTTCTTAACCTGAGGCACCACTTTAGCTAATGGGGCCTCCTGCTGCCACTGCACGATTTCTGTTCTCATCCTGAAGCAAAGTTCTTAACTCAAGGTAATATTTCTGGGTTAGCGGAGTCTGTAACCTGGAGGTACCACTGTATTGTATCAGTTATATTCAGATGTTAATCCACCCTGGGACATTATGATGAAGGGTGGGCAAGAAATATAGTAGACAATGAACAACAAGGTTACCCGTAAGACCTCCTGTCCCTGTAAAGACCTGCAAGATCTGTAGAACATCTGGGGAAAGTTTATTCAGAATATAACAGGGTGGTAACTCAGCAAAGGGCCCCTTTCTGCCATTGCCCCTGCATTCCAGAATGTATTTTCCTCTGCCATACGTGAAGCATTATCCATCCTTTGCTTCAGACATCTTGCAAAGATGTATTCTTTTTGCCCAAGCTTTCCCTGACCAAAAGAATACACCCTGTTATTACTGTATTCCTGCTTTTATCTGTTTTCATAATATATTTTCCCTAGTTATTATAATCCCTTTTTACTGTTTTTATTACATTTTAAATTTTTATATTTCTGTACAGTTTGTTTACATATTAAGCAGTTCAGAAATGCTTTTAAATCTATCAATATTTATTCACACATCCCAGGGGTGTTCCAAAACAATTTGCAATAATAAAAATACACAATCCACAATAAATTTAATAAGTCAATACAAATATGATATGCTTAAAAAAAAGGTCATCCAAAAGGGCGGGGGGGGGGGGGAAAGGATCATCAAAAACAACACAAATTATCGATTCACTCCGTACAAGGTGAGCATCAGTTGCTGCCAAAAGCCCAAGCTGTCCAAGTGCCTGGGAGAATAAAAATGTGTTTGATGCTAGAATTTGTCTGATGCCATCCTTGCCACAACTTCGGGTTCACAACAGTTGGCAATGCCAGTCTGGCCAACTTCATTTCAACCTACTCATAAGGAAGCATACTCCAGGGGGCTGTCACAGCTGAATTATTTCAGAGAATGAATTCCATCTACTATTGGAACATTTTTCTACAGTGAATTTGAAGACTGAACACTGACCTCATTAGAAACTGAATTTAGTATAACCAGCAACATACTTCTCCATTTTTCCGCAAACATGATCTCTTTCAGAATGTGAGCTTTGGAACTGTACATGCTTTTCATTTCAGTGCAACTACCTGAGGCCCCAGTAGGTCCTTTATCTGGCATTGCTGCTTTTCGTCTTCTCCAGAAATTGACTTTTGAAAAGAAGAGTTTATTTGGGAGGTGTGATGGGACAGCAGATGATCAAAACTCCCAAAACATTGCTGTTGGAGGCAACCTGGTACCCATCAGATCTTTTGGACAGCAATTCCCATCAACCCCACCCAGCTTAGTCAATGATGAAGCTGTAGTTGAAAACATCTGGAGGGAACCATGGTAGAAAAGGCTAGTGTCTCCAAATAGGCATGAAAGTGCTTGAAGCTTTGCTCCAAAACTGCAGCAATGTGTATGATGCTGGGTGTTTTTTGAAATCTTCCTGTCATTTGAAATCTTCCTGTCATTGCTTCATCACTGTGGAGCTCAGTAGGTTACCTAAAGTAAGTGGTAGCATGTACAAGAGGCAGCTTTCTCTAATAAAAGCCTCAGCTGGCCAAGTAACCTTCTCTGCACTTAAATTATCCACACATAACACAGCAAAGATAAATACTTTCTTGTAATGAGTTGGGCATATTAGAAATGTATAGATGAAAGAATCTTTCATCTATACATTAAGTAGGTCTTACTCAAAAGTGACTGAGTCTTCTTTCAAACACATAGAGTGAAGTTATTGGAGGCGTGAAAAGAGGAGAAGTTAGGGGACAGAGTTGACTTTAAAAAATGCCTATGAGTCAACACCACTTGGGAGAATAAAAAAACACCCACACACCATGAATAAAACCAACTTGGATGAAAGAAAACAGCAGCTTTAACCTGCACGATGGCTGACAATTTTGAGGGCTGAATGTTCTGTTTACATCTTCAATCCTCTTTGCAGTTACACACTTACTTGTCAAGAAAGGCCAATATTATAAGTAGTCAATTACACTGGTATAATCCAGTGTGAGTTTCCAGCTGCATCAAAGATGGCAGTCAAAAGTTGCATCCTAGCATACCAAATTTGGAATTAATTAGGTATTAAAAAAATTAGAACCACCCTCCTCTCTCTCAAAGAAAAGAGGATTTGTGGTTAGCAGTTCACTACAGCCAGAAAGTCACAATACAGGAAATATAAGCAGTCTTCAGTCATGGTAAAGCTCATGTTACAAGTGGGTGACATCACTGATGTTTCACTTCACAAGCCACAGCTGACCCATGTGGCTCAAATGAAAAGCAATTGTGCCAAAAGACTCTCTTATTGGTCTAGATGTGGCAAAACATTCTTGATAAATGTGACATAAAACACTGCAACTCTTGTCTCCTTGGTGTAAGGCACATCTTATGTTGTAAGACTCCTCTTTATTTTGACTTCTCTGCCCTGATATATTACATAGTGTTTTAATGTGTTTGAGAGAGCCTGTTTTGCTTCCTGGAATTTCCAGATCTAGCAGGGAATCATGAAGTTACAACATATATTGAAGACATGGTTTTAATAGTAACATTTCACCATTCCTCTGCTATGCTAGAAATTACATCTACCACAATAGCAAATAATAATGATGATAGATAATAATGATAGTAATTATTATTATTACTAAAAAATCTAACAGAATTATAGCAAAGAACAAGGCTATTTGATGCAGTCATCATATACTGCTGGTATTTCACAAATAAGTCATGTATAATAGACATAAACAATTTCTCTGTGTTCTAAAAACTGTAGCTATGTACTCACTAAGAACAGAGTTCTTATTAAAGAAGGGCCAACATGACTTTTATCAATAAACTATTTGCACTGCTGTTACTTCTCCCTTCTCTTCCCTTTTGTTCTTTGCCTTGTGTTCAGCATTTCCTTGCCGCTTCCTTTTTCCAACAGTAAATCTATCCCTTCTTTTCATAAACTGTCCTTTGCCATCACAGTATTGAAGAAAGAAAATTCTACAGAACACAGTCTGCTTTTTACCTTCCATTGATATAGATTTACTCCTTCATGTGGCATACTATGAGATTGCTGTATGTTTAGCACTTTAGTGGTTAGCCAAGCCAAGCTTAATTCACAGTCACTTCTAATGTGGTTGCAAGTGTCAGTACAAGATGGTTCTGCTTCATACATTACACACAGTGTTTTTTTTTAATGAATAAGTATCTGTGTAAAGGCAGCTACTGCTGGGGAAAACTTGTGAGCTAATAGGTTCCCTTACACAGTAAATACTAGCCACCCCCATGTGTGGGAGTTGTGCTGAAACAATCAGAAGTGATGTGATAACTTCAGCATGCCGCAACCAAATGTGGGAATCTAGCTTCAGAGGCAAAAAAAAGAAAGAAGGGGGGAGGGATAGGTACAAGAAGAGGTATGTTTTACCCAGAGCAAACCTGTTGAAATTAATGGATTTAGTCATGTTACTTTTTACTCTGAGTAAAACCTAGCTGAATACCACCCATAGAATTATTGCCAGGATGAATGTACTATGGCGCACACACCTGTCCCCCCAAAAAACACAGTTGCTATGGACCACTGAAGCATAGCTGGCAAATTTTGCCTGGCTGAAAAATTCAGTGGAAGAATAATTGTTGCTTACAACAGCATTTCAAGTCAAGGAAACTGACAGACACTATTACTATTACTATCACTATCAGTTCAGAAGGAGATACTTTTCTACATCAATATCATACTAAAAGGTTCACAAATTGAGGTGAATGTTCTTCTGCAACCCTTAAGCGCCCAAAGTGGATGATCACATCGAGACACAGCTAGCTTTTATATTAGTAAAGATTAAATAATGCAATTGTTTAAAAGATTAAATTATCCAATTGGAGACCAGCCTCTACCAAAGGTGTCATGGACTTTGAAGATGCTTGAACTCAGGCCGAAAGGGAGAAATGTGCTAAGAGGAAGGCACGCTTGGCAAACCCGCACTGTAATGAACTCTCGTCCGGAAACTTATGTCCCCACTGTGGAAGGATGTGTGGATCCAGAATTGGCCTCCATAGTCACTTACGGACTCACTGTTAAGACCATGTTTATGGAAGACAATCTTACTCGGCTACGAGTGATCGCCAAAGAAAAAGAAGAAAATACTATGTTTGGTGCCCCTTTGCAGAATTGATAAAACAGTCAGACAAAAAGATTACATACCATTTTCCTCAGGTTTCAAGTCTAATAAGTCATCTATGGCTCCTAAAAATGGCAAAACATAAGGGAAAGTTATTGAGCTGTAGGCTCTTATATGTACATTTCATACTTGCAGTTATACCATTTTCTTTAGGCAGCAATCATATGCAACTTGTCTGTCTGTAAGTCCCACTGAACTCAATGCAACTTACTTCTGAGCAGGCATGTATAGGGCTGCACTGCATGTCTAGGAGACATACCTGAATTCTCTCTGTGGTTGAAGCTCTCCCCAAAAGTACTCAGGATGTCCTTAGTTTCTTCTGCTGTAACCAAAATATTTTCTAGGTCAGAACCTAAAGTGCTTTAAACATGGAATGTGCTTCAAAGGTTTTCTAGTATGACACTCTTTGCACTGTTAACTTGCAGTTAGGATTTCACATTTAACCTGAAACTATCCCAGATAAATTATTTACCGGTGGTGTCTTAAAAGTCTCCAGAACCACACACACACACATTCTATATATTTATACTCTCTTACACACACACACACACTCTCTCTTTTCAGTACTTTGTAGCCTGCTACTGGGCACTCACAAAAACTATTTGTGGTTCTTAAAGGGTCTCCTTTAATTCAGTAGGTTGTATTAAACAGTAGTTATGCTTAGAATGAACCCATTGAAATCAGTTGACTTAAGTAGCTTGAGTTCATTCATTTCAATGGGTCAACTCTGAGCATGACTACCACTGAATATTACACAATGTCTTTCCAAAGCAAAACTCGTTTCACAAAAACACCATGATCTAGGTCTAGTGTACCTAATGGGTGCCACTTTAGGAAAGGCCACTGAATCAGTTCCAAATATGGTCGACCATTTACCAAGTTTAATCATTTAAGGAAGTGATAAATATCAGCATTCTAATCTTCCTTATTTGGCCATCCTCCCAGCTAAGCTAATCACCAGCACAAGACAGAATGTTGTGCAATTAAGAACATACTGCCAATAACAGAGAAAGGGTTGGGTTCCTACTTCTGTTACCTACAGATAAAATCCCATTTTGCTCTTCAAAGTATATTTGATGATGTCAAAGTCTCCCCTCAATCTGCAGCTGCAGTGTGATTTTGATAGTGAGGTGCATCTGTTCCAGGTTAGGTAATTGGTTTACAATGAAATTATTTCAAAAATGCAGATCCCCCCCCCCCCGGCCAGGCTGCCTACAATTAGAAATAGATTATGTTTTTGCTCCAGTTAATTATCCATAAATCCAGCTGAATTAAAATACTTTTGACAATGTTTGGTAACTTTGCTCTTAGGCCCTCACCTGGAACAAGTTAAAACCTCAACCAAGCCCAGCTCCACCACACAAAAAGCATGCAGGGGACGCAGGGAAGGTAAAAAAGTCTGGTGTGTTTGGAGAAGCACAGCAGGGCAATGCATCTAATTTAGCAGTGGCCCCAATCTATTTTTTTCTGGAAAGAGGTGAGGTGTGATGGTACCACAATACAGGAAATAGCTCTAGCACAGTGAGTGCTGTGTTATAGAGAACAGGCTGGAGGTCACTCAAAGTTATGGCAGCAAGTAGAAGGATATGGAGGCCTACACTCCATGATATTTATTTTCCAAGGTGCCTTTAGAGTTGTTAAATAAAATCTCTATTCTTAGATCTCTGCTCTTAATTGATTTCATGTGCTTTGGATTTTTAGAGCTAGGAGAAGAAAACCCTGACGGAGACAATGCTATATACACTAAAGTAGTTTGCAGGAACAAACTGGCACATAGCATCTATTAGGATGAATGAGAGACTTTTAAGCAGGCTCAACGTTTGAAAGGCATAATAAAATAAATACCTGAGCTGGTTGATTCCTTGGTGTGATTGTCCTCATCTAACGAAATCAACCTTAAATTGGAAGGTAAAAAAACAAGAACTTAGTTTATGCTGTGGTGTAGCATGCTACTGGTGAAAATAATGGCAAAAAGTTACAACTGTCTCTGCCCCCTTTCAGTTTTTACGGACCATGTCGCGATACACTTAAATTCCAAGGTGATTTCAGAAAACAAAAATATGTTGGTATTTCAGGCAGTAAAGGTACAGTGACAGGAGGATAATCCTTCTAAATGTAATGGTCAGTGCAGTGACTGAATCAAAATGAGTTGGGGACCCTGTCTAAATTACAATCTTCCCATCTCCCCTAGCTCTCTTTGTTGCCCTGGTGATTTCACTACAGCCGTATTCACTTCTTCTTCATTTTCTAACTAATGCAAAACAGCATTTTAAAGCAGTCTCACTGGAGACTCTCACAAGCAAGGGAAGTCAGTGTGGTACCTTCCAGATGTTGGACTCCAAATCAGGCTCAGCAGGCACAGCCAATGGTTAGGAACAATGGATGCTGCTAACAACATCCAGGGGGCGCCATGTTGGCTATCCTTGCTTTTGAGATTTAGAACTTGGTTTATTTTGTTTTCTTCTAAAGATTTAAAGAGAGCAGAAGATACTCAATGTTCCGTCTGGGGGACAAGAGGAACTACTCTCCCCGATACGGTGTGGAGGGGCCAGCAGAACCACTGAATAAGCAAGAGGACTGATTACATGGCAACTGACGTATACTGGCTTGGCAGGGATCATTGCTATTACTCTGCCTGCTGTCACTCTGTGATTTTATCTGAACCATGAGCCCAGAGCTGAGGACATATCAGTTGCGTCTTTAGATGTGCAAGAACACTACAGGCCAAGTCGAGTAGCAGAAGCTTTTAGAAATAAAGCTCTGGTGCAAAGCAGGACAGAACAGGGAAGAAGAAAAAGGAAGAACACAACATGAATTTCTGAGCCACTTATGCAGTCAGGCTGAAAAGGAAGTTAACATCCGTCAACTTATTTATGTGTTCTTTTTGATGTTCCTCATGCCTGTTAGAAGTGCTTTGCTGACGTGAAGTCTCTATATCTAGGAAGAGGCTCCATGTGGGAATTTTCTTCACAGCGGCCTTTCAGAATTCCTCGTATACTGTTACATAAGACATTTACATGAACTGTGAAGAAGAGTCTTAACCTGCTTCCCTTGGAACACAATAGGTGGAGTGAAAATGGCTATCTAGAAAAGTGACTCAGCAGTAGGTGTTCTCAAGCTTCCAAACCAGTAATGTAGAATCTGATGCCCTCCCTCCAGATGTTGTCAGACTCCCAACTTCCATCAGCCCAGGTCGGTGTGACGAAAGGTCAGGAACAGTGGAAGCTGTGGTCCAAAAACATATGGAAGGTCACAGGTTCCCACCCCTCATTTAAATATCCAAAATTAGAAAGACACAAAGCAAAATTATCTAATCGATGTCACACTGCTACTTAAAAACATTTCCCCCACAAACAAAAAACATTTTGGAGAAACTAAAAAGCCAACGAAATGAGGTCTAATGACAAACACTGAAAGCTGCTCTTCAATGAATCAACAACTAGCCTTCCCTTAACCTTGAATATTCTAAACAGCTGGCCGTGTGATTACAGCAAGGCTCATACCCTCCTTGCTGATTCTGGATGTTTCCATAGGAGGAGGATCACATCTCTTTCTCCTTTTCACATGTCCCCATCAGCCAAACTACCAAAGATTAAGATACAGCCTATCTGTATAGTGCCTCTTGACACCAGTAACTAGAATACCACCAGGCTTAGTTCTCAGGGTATACTCTTACAGCGTACTTGCCGCTGTACTGGATCACTTGCCAAACCCTGTATAGATTACAAAAGCTAATCAGTGCTCAAAGTGAGCAATGGATATGTTCCAATTCATGTATGCAATAGGAGCAGTGATGAGGAGGCAAAGTATAGAGAGAAATGTGCTTATATCCTCTGTATGATATACCTAAGATGCTTATTGCTTTGTCAGTGAGGAGGAGCAAAAAAGGGAAAGGGGCAGCATTCGGGAGCAAAGCCCAGGCACAGCAGATAGATGGACTAATGTAATGTAATTAATATCTATGCAATGTAACACTTTCCCTATGCAAAAGGGCATCTGTAGGAAAACTCATGAAACATGTGCATGGAAGGCAAAAGTCAATGCGTATTTTGCATGCCTGCAAAATATTTTTCAAATGTGTTGTCTGCAGGGGAAAATATTACAAGGGGAAAGAAGAAAATAAGAAAGAGATTCAGCTAGGGGAACAAAAAGATCATAAAAAGGAATGGGTGTAGAAAGGTTCTTCCATTCACTTCAACCAGTTTTTTTGTTTTAAAATGAGAAGGTGATTTCCAGGCAAACTCAGAGAAGCTTCCACCTCCTTCCCACTGTCTTCTTTTTAGGATACTCATACACTTTGGGATTGGGGGGAAATATGCATTTTCCTAACTGTAGAGCTAAAAATAACCTGAAAGCCCATTGTCATCCACAGTATTATTTTCTTCCAACAGATTCTTATCATATGGCTTACTGATTCTGCTGATCATCTTCTAATCTGGCGTTCTCTAGCCGCAATTCCTCCTCTTTTTCTTCACTCTCCGTTAGTTTATTTACAGGCTCTTGTAAGCTCTGGGTGACCCACCAATCAATGTATGAAAAAGAATATAGAAAGACAACAAGAAGGAATGCTGAAAACTTATCCAAAGTTGCATTAAAACAGTTTCATAGTGATGGAAATTACTTTTATCTAAACAGGAAAAATGAGAGCTCCTGAAACATTAAGAGGCCAGCAATTAAAATTCAATGAAAAATAACTTTGATGGAAACAGAATGGAAAACAGGCAGGTAGTTCGATAAATTTGATTCAAATGTAAGAGAGATGATTTTCAAAAGAAAAGCTAAATATACACTGTGGCAAATAGGCAGAGATGACCCATCCTGCCTCATATGCATTAAAAAAATACTGTTAATATTAGGCAACAGAGGCAAAGGGCAGCTTTGATATACAAGGTTCTTACGAATAATCGGTAAAATACCACAACAAGCTTTTTCTTGTCTTGTTCCCATCTGTGATTCAACTATGCTACACATGAGAAGACTACTATGTAGGAACATCAATGGTTTTCACTTGGGTATCATGTATTTTGGGGGATCTTTGGGAAAATTAATAAATAAAGGGGAGGAAGAAAAGAAATGGGCTCGACAACCTGGACAAAATGCTCTATGGGAGCCCACCTCCCAGACTGTGCATGTTCTCTCCCTCTCACACACATCCCTCCTCCTCCAACCTCCTTCCTTTCTGCCGCCTGATAAGTGAGCGAAAGAAGGGGCTCAAGGAACAAGATCCCCTTTCTTTACTTTGTAAATAAAGAAAAAAGGACCCATTTGTCCCCTTCCTGGAGAGAGTTTGCGGACAAACTGGCCAATTTTCCCTTCTTTAGTTAAGTACGAGATAAAGAGACCTGGCTTACCATGCGGAAGGAAGGAAGGAAGGAAGGAAGGAAGGAAGGAAGGAAAGAGAGGGTTGCTGTTGCTTTCTTCAAAACATTTTATGGAGGTTGTTGAGTTCCAGCATACCCACCAACCTTTGTGAAATAAAGCTGAAGAAAGCAACAGTGGCTTGTTCTTTTCCACCTGCTCATGCAATCTTCCATTTGGTTTTCTCCTTTTCTCCTCCTTTCAGATCATGTGACAGTGGCAATAGTGACTCCTATGTCTTTCCTTTTCCAAAGGCAGAACAAAGCTCCAGACAGTTGTGCCCATCACCTTAAATTCTCACAGTCCCTCATTAGCCCAGAGGCTCAGCACTTTGAGAAACCAAGGTGGTTCGGAAGGGTTGTTCCACATCATGCCCACTATTTTAAAAAATGGTGTGTGGGTGTGAAGGAATGAAAGGAGGTGAAGAAAAGATGTTTTGGGCAACTGTTGCTGATGGGCTGCAGTCATCTCCCCACCCTGGGGACATCAGGGCCATGGAGCTATGATGCATCGTTCAGTTCTAGTACCACCACTGAGTGAATTTTATTAAAGTGCATGCCACAATTAGTTTGTTAGGCAGGAAATTCCTTTGGTGGCCTTGTGCTCATAAGAAGCACTTTTGATCCAGCAGAGGTCTCCGTTAATGGAAGAAGAGGGGAGGGTGGGGTGTTTTTTGTTTGCCAGTTCATCCTTCCTTCTGAAGCATCTAGATGTTCTGAAGGGTCCCCCACTATCTGGATTCATTTTTTGTGACATTGGATTCTACAGGGGTAAATTGGCAAAAATCCCCTCCCCTTTTCATCCATTAGTAGAGGCATTCACAGGATCAAAAGCTCTTCCATGAGTGCAATGGCTCTAGCAGGATTCCTCCCATAGTCTTTAAGGCAGAGCTTTCCAAACTGTGTGTTGCAATACGTTAGCGTGTCAGCTGCAGTGTGTACATGTGTTGCGCGATAAGTGTCTGTATCTCTTATAAGGGGTTAGTTTAATCTCTGGTTTGCTAGTAAAACTGAAAAACTGTGTTGCAGATGATGCATGTCTAAAAAGTGTGTCACCAACATGAAAAGTTTGGAAAGCACTGCTTTAAGGAGTCACAAGACTGCTGCAACAGACTAGCACAAGTTAATCTATTTGAAAAGAAAGAAGCATGTTGCGTAGTTTTGCAAGTTGTGGGATTTATAATAGAAGATATAATAAAATGTTGTTCCAAGAATCAGACTCCTAACCTGATTATTACCATGCATTTTTCAGGCTGCCAAAAGATTGAACATTCCACTTTACAGCTACATTTTCAGTATTCTGCCCACTTAAGATTATTTTTGTTTTAAAAAAGTTTTCTATTTCATGCTATTTGCTGTTGCATGGTCTGCATTCTGAGATAGGGGATGCATCGGGCTGATAACTGGAATGTTGGTGGTTCAAACCCACCCAGAGACACCTGTGGGCAGGATTCCTGCATTGCAAGGGATTGGACTAGAGGACCCTCGAGATCCCTTCCAACTCTGTGATTCTATGATTTGATGAGTCCGATAATAGTACTTTAAAGATGTTTGACTAACATGTTATCACCCTACTATGCACGAAGAATGTTATTTTATGCAAATACAAGTTACAAACAGCAAAAACAAGATTTTTTAAATTAAATTATCTATCCATCTTTTGAAATACTAGGGCACACAATAAACCAGGTGGGGCACAATCAGATTTTCTTCACACATTCTCAGATGATCTACCACAAGGTTCTTAATTCCAAACAGGGTGCCAAGTGGAGAATATTCCGTCTTATCTCCATTAGCTCCTGTGTTGGTCCCAAAGCTAAACAAACTGATTCACTAGTGGAGGCGTTGCAAAGTCCTGCCAATGTAATGCTGATCCAAAAACAGCTGTTTGTACTTAAGTTACCTCTGGTATTTTTAAGTGTTTTTAGTTAACAAACAGGCAATTTCATTTCTTCCTCCCGTCACAATAAGCTTTTCTATAAATATTTACATGAATTAGAAGCCCAGGAGATGCATATATTCCTCAAGCAGGTGAATTAACAGAAGAGGCAACAGCAAAACACTTATTAAGGAACATTATTGCCTGGTTGAACCTTGATTTAAGCTTGCAAAAAAAGCAATTTATAGAAGATGAATATTTTTTACACAATAATTATTTATACATAGTCTAGGCCTGGTCACCTTTAGAGACTAAGAAATTGCCTCCAGATGATTTATGAGAGTTGGTATAGGGTTTTTTTATGTGACAATGAGTAACAATGAGTGTGTAAAAGCAGGGTAGGAAACATTTATGCGAGCTACTAATTTTGTATATTTGCACATCTGAAACAGTCACTTGATCAAGATCGCCGACTGATTTTGAAAGAATATATTTCATTAAGGAATTTCTATGCTTTTCTTATATCTGGGGGTAGTGGCGTCACTGTGGTCTCCATCCAAGGCACTGAGTGTAGCAGAATATCCAAATGAACACAACCATAGTGTGACCTTATAACCCTTGATAGCTTCACCCTTGTCTTTTTAATTATTCCAGTTACCTGAAATGTTTTATACTGTGATGCCAATAAAGGTATTTGATTGATTGACACAGATACCAGTTACACCACTTAGATCAGTAACAGCAGCAGCATAGTTCAGGACTAAATAATATCACCCTATAACCTTGTGCTCTTACATCAATCTAACATCACCCAAATGAAACCATCTTTAAGAAAACATATGAATGGACATAAAACCCAGAAATAGATTCACAAGTTTTAATGTTTCTGTTTTCTTAGACACCTTAGAACAATATTCAGAAGGGCCATTTTCAAGGGCATAGATTCTGGTTGCTAAAATGCTAGTTGAGGTAGCAAAACAGGAGTTCAAGTAGGAACACAGGAAGCAGCCTTAATACTGAGTCAGACTGGCCCACCTAGCTCAGTTCCTGTCTACACTGACAGGAGTCTCACCAAGCCTTCATGGACATGATTGAACCTGTGACCTTTTTGCAGGCAAAGCAGGTACTCTACCACTGAATTATAGTTAGCATCCCTTTGAAAAAAGAGGAGTACTGCAGGTAAACACTCCATTAACTGTCTTGACCTACTTCTGGTCATTCCATCTTCGCAGCTGAAGTGGATTGTAACCAATGAAAGCTTATGCAATATTAACAACTACATAATTGGTCAGAAAAAGCTGCCGCCGAATTCAAACTTTGAATAAGTTAACCAAAGGCCTACATGATAATCCTAAGCATACAGACAAAAGGGAACATGGAAAGAAATTGCAAAGAAAGCAGCACACTCACAATAACTGCGTTCTGGATTAGGAAAATGAACACAGTACAAGTACTAAAGCCAAACTTTGAAATTTATGCCAAGCAGAAAATTAAAACAAAATACATGTTAAATGAATATGTTATGGCAGTTTCAGTAGCATTCTGGTACAAAGTTATACAAATTGTTTTTCTTTTTAACTACTACTGACAAGAAGAACTAGGTACTTGTAAATAAGGTTTATTTTTTAAATAAATAAGGTTGAGTAATAGCAACGACGTATCTTCTGGCGATGATAATGTTAAAATACAGAATACATGAAAGCAGCAGATAGAAGCTGCTGCTGAAACTGTAAAGACATTAATTTATCTCACAGGCTTTGTAGCTGCCTCTGTGTCTAATCAAACTCATTTAAAATTAGGAATGGACTCCCCCCTCCCTTTTGCAAGATACATGGCAACCATATAATACAATTTGTAATGTAACAGATAACAGATACAACCCCATCAAATCCTATTCGCCTTTTCATGAGAAATGGTGAGGCTCACAGCAGTAGTTATGATTACTAGGTCTTCAGACTCTACTGCAACATTTAAGAATTTTAGCCTCCTTCTCAGGGTTGTGGAGATGACAAGGAACCTAGTTATATTTTCCTGAGCTCATCTTCAACATTTCTTCAATAATATTTTCTAAATCATAAAATAGTGATGCTTCACTACTGACCATTGAGAAAAGGGAAATTGAGAAAACACTGAAGGTCCCCTAATACAAGGTTACTGCAATTTATCCTTCCACCATTTCCTTCCTCACATATTACCATTCTTCTTTGTTCCTATGTCCTCTTTTCTTTCTCTGCTTTCAATATTAAAGCAGTTATAATAAATTTATTTATCTAACAAAATTTATATACTGCTTGACTGTAAATAGAACCTCTAAGCAGTTTACAAAGCTAAGTGGTTTACAAAATATCCAAGTTTAATAATACCATATGAATGGTGCGTCCATGTTCTCTATTCAGCATATTTCAAAACTTAAAATGTTAATCTTTAACAAAAAAAGGAGTCAAGAGGAATCAACACTCTCCTAACAATAAAAAGAATGAATCCTAAAAGCTTGAACAAACTCCCCTGGTTACCCCCAAGCAAAAAAATTCTTGGACTTGTTAGTGCATTAAAAATATTCTCTTAAACACAAATACAACTATCAGGAAACACAGCTGCAATTACATTACTTCCACAATATACCCTGAAGCTAAGAAAACAATTTTTATCAGATTGTTCATTACCAGAGTTTAGCGAAGAGAGAAGAACTCCCACTGCTAAAGCAATGTATTATTTCCAGACACGTTCCCAAGGGCAGAGTCTCTCTTTCTGGAGATAACACTTTAGCATGAATAAATGATCACTTCATAAAATTGTTGATTTATTAATTATATTATTAACTAAAATAGAAAACTGAAAAGTAAACCTGTTGAACTTAAAAAGCCTAACCTTCACCAAGTTGTACTCAGATGCTAGAAAACTGACACACTTCCTTAATTTGGACAGCTGCAGTGTGGTCTGTGCAAATAATTATTTAACAAAACTAAGAACATGCTTATTCTGCATTAGGAAGGCAAGGCATTCCAAAAGATAATTTTCCCGTATGCTCATTTCTGATAACAGGAGAGCACACTTATAAGCAAGCTTCACTACTAGGAGTATGCTGTAGTGACTATTGTGTTGGACTTACTGACCAAACTTACGTACCTGCTTAGCTTCAAATTCAAATATCTGCTTTGTAACAAAGTTCAAGGCCAAACTAGATGTGATATGGATTGTGCAGCTGGTTTATTTAACTAACCACTGTTTGTTTTAAACCAAAATTCCTGGTTTGCATATAGCACTGAGCAGTGATTCTTCTGAACTTGACAGAATTCCTCGCCAGGCCACGCAGGGGTGGGGAGAGGGGGTGAGGCAGATGCTTTGCTCTAGGCGACTGAAGACTGTCTGCAGAGCACCAAACCATGGTTTAGAATTACATGCATACCAACCCAACATTATGGGTTACATACATGGGTTGACCCAAATGTATGGGATTACAACATACATTTTAACATTCTTCTTAATACATGTTAGAAGTGCCTGCTAGCATAGTGTGTGTGGACTAGCTGCACTTACGATATATAGAAATTGATGAACACTCCTAAATGTAAAAAAGTTCTACAAAAAGGAAGCTTGATACCCCTCTTTCATTTATCCAAATTACTTTGCCAGGTAGGCTAGAAATGAACAAACTACTATATATGCCTTACCTTTAGCATCATGAATTCATATGGCTGATACCCTTTGAAACTTTCATGAATAGCTGCCATGGTATGAGATGTTTTTTCCCAAAAGTGAAGTAGGGTTGTCTGTAATGGAAAGAACCAATGAAAGTTAACACTTGCATGTTGACTGACACTTAAGATTTCCTGCTCATATACCCAACCTTAGCCTTATGGGGAGGAAAACTTGATTGGACTGCTACATAAAGGCAGGTGGGTATCATTATTAAGCAGAAGTTCTGGTTTAGTGGATACTTTCTTTTCCGATACCTGGTATGTTGTGAGCACATGAGACAGAAGATTGCATCGGCTTGCTCCGAGAAGATCCACTTTTTGACAAACGTCAGTTTTCAGTTTGTCAAAGTTCAGTTTTGCATGGCGGACTTGTGCTTGGACCTATAAATATAGAGAGTTTCAGAGAGTAAGAGCTTCTTCAGATACCAGGACATCCCAGAAAACACCACTCATCAGGATGTCTGTCGTATTTCCAAATAATTATTCAGCAGAGTCATTATTTGTTTTATTTAATGGATTTATAGACCACACTTCAATTAATAAGTTCTTGGAAGTACTAGCGAATAAATTTGATTCTCCAGAGGTAAGCAATATCCACAGAAGCAAATAAATTTTCATGCTTGAAAAAGGCAGATTACACACACACACACACACACACACACAAACTTACAGTGCAGTCTCAACAAAATTTATGTTAGGACAAAACAACAAAACCCCAAGTTTGTTGCAGACGTAGCTGCTACCTCTCTCACTCTTGACAAAGACAGACAATGAATACCAGTGACTAATGGTAGGTCCAGCTCTCAAACATGCCTATTCTTCCATCAATATATTAAGGTCATGTTTCTCAGGTGACCCACTCTTTCTTAGACCACATTTTTGTCAATAGAAGAATTTTCAAACATTACCCTGGAACCTAATCCAGACACTTCCAGAGCTCAAGCCACCTGGGACGTCTTCTGACAATGTTCCTGCCCTATTCTATAATATATTGACTGTCTACATTTTAATCCTACCATGTTCACACATTAACTTAGACACAAAGGTTTCTGTGCTTAAACTGGCAAAAGATACATGACACAAACGATGCATGTACTTCTGAATTATCTCACTCAGGCAACAGTGGCTGGGGGATGGGAACAGAATCATACTTCACCTTTTTTATTTATTGCAGGTGAACTCATTCACTTAAACACACAACATACGCTTTTTCACCTGATTATTACTAATTGCATTTATTAGTCTCTCTTTTTTTTACAAGGAGTGACCCAAAGCAAAATGAAACAAACATTAAAATGAAATATAATAAGCAGGAAAAATTAACTTAAACCATTCAAATCTGAGTATAATTTTTTTGCATGTAAGCTTTTGTTCAAAATGCAAATACTGTGGATTGGCTCGACTTCACTTTGTTGCAAGTGGTATTAGAGTATTGGACTTAAAAATACAGCAGGGTTGAAAAGACAACAGAAATGGTATCTATGTAAACTGATCTTTCTATTCCCACTCCCATCCTGTAAGGTTGCAAAGGATTGCAGTTGTGATCCTACCATTTCATTTTCAAAATATACTGTCTAACCTAGCGACTGGTTTAATAATAATAAAAAAATCTAATATGCTTTACCCATATGTCAATGCACCCAGGATTCATTACTCAAACAGCTTAGTCAGTAGCAGTCCTGAGCACTTCAAAATGGGCATTAACTGTAGCAGAACGGGCATTAGCTTCCAAGTATCTGTCTTTGGGAAAAGTATGATTAAATCAACATCCCATAATCTAGAATCCTGTCTCACAACATACTGTAATATCCACCCAAAAACTCATACATGCGGTCTTTGTTTATTACAACTGTTGTTTCTTAAGAGAAATAGTTTTTTTCTTATGCAACACCACAATTATTTTCTTTTTTAAGGGATGGATAACTTATAAACAGGAAAGGATGACTAACATTAGATGTACTTGACCCAATATGTAACATAAGGCCATATGCTTTCTGTGTCAATACCGGTTATTATAATACTTAGAGCACTGTGGTGTTACCAAATGCTACATGTTTTCCTCTGCCAAGACAGGAAATGTTCCAGTATCAAGTTTTATTAACACGGATGGATTCTATTTTATACTTGGAAGGTACAAGAGGTTCCAACACAGCAGTGCAGGGCACTGAGTACAGAATTCAGAACAGTAGAATATAGAATTGTAGAGTTGGAAGGGACTCTACGGGTCATTTAGTTGCAACCCCCTGCTATGCAACTAAAGCACCCATGACAGATGGCCACACAACCCCTTTTTGAAGATGGGGACAGTTCCCTGCCTCCCATCTGCAGGGAGCTCACCTGTTCTCCAAGAATTCTCAAAGATTATAGACAGAGGCTCTGAGATTACATCCACAAGCTCCTTTACTACCACTGAATGCAACACATAAGGCCCTGGAGATTTAAATTCATTTAAGGTAGCTAGTTGTTTCCTTACCACCTCTTTTCCTATCTTGGGCTGTAGCTCCCTCCTTGCATCTTTTATTCTATTATCATCATGCTGAGAATTGCTTTCCTTTTCAGTGAAGACAGAGGCAAAGTAGGTGCTAAGCAGGTGGAGAAAAGAACTGCTTCTCTCTACAGGAATGGTGAAGAAGGAGCTATAGATGGACTCAAGGGCAGGCTTGATGGCAGCCCTTGAAAAAGCAGCCCTTCTTAGAATCATGGTCAGAAATAGGTTGACAAACTCTTGTTTGGAGCTAGCTAAATTTATCATTAATACTGGAAGTCACATTGGCAAACCACAGTTAGCTTTGGGAAGGGAGGGGTAATTCACAAGAGAAGGAAATATGAGGAAAAGAGTGTGAGATTTGTGAGGTAGTCACGGTCTTCTAGGAGAATGAGAATACTGTATCTATTAGGCCAAGGTTTGAAAGCTCCAAATTACCGGTATATATAGTCTTTAAAATGAGCTCATTCCACACAGGCTAATCCTTTCCTACCAATCATTTCCAAGGCAACTGCAGATGTTTTCAAGTTGTGTGACTGAACCCAGAGCCCCATGACTTAGCTATCAATTTAAATGAATGGGAAAGCTATTACATAACTTGCATCTGGGCATGCACTAGAATCCACCACCCACAAGAAATAATGGAACTGGAGTACAGGATTCACTCACGTGAGGGAAACAATGCATTACAGTTCTCTGAGTAAATAGGGATTGGATCTACTCTTAGAGAGAAATTCCAGAAAGCGATAAATTGCAATGAAATATTTTCCACAAATGTCTTTCTCCATATTACCCCCTTATTACTTCTGTGAATCTTCCCATGAGTGTTTTCCAGGAATTTTTCCTCAGACATTACCTCAGATACAGGTCACAGAAAAGTCTTTGCCTTATTAATGTTGGGACATTATCTACGTACTCAGTGCAGTATCCGAGTACTGAGAGGTAACAGAAGTATCTGTTAATTCATAGGACCTGACGCCTCCCTCTCCACTCTCCATTCTCAGATGACAATACTCCTAATGCTGGATCAGGATCTATAGGAGAACACATGCAGCTTTTTTGCTGTAAAGGAGATGAGATATGGTTTTCTAACCACAAACACTGGGAATTTCCTAACTGAAGGGGATGCACTATGATGTCCAGCAGTAATATTAAGTTTATTAAACTTATTTTGTTTTCCCCCCTGTAAGAATGTCAGTGCACATTTAGCTCTTCCCTGTCCTCAAAACTGATATAGAGAACTGAACAAGGGAGGGCAAGATATTTTACTGGATATTTGCTGGTGAAACAGAAATTGAGCTTTGAGATTTACAAAATGGAGTAAAATGTGGCTGAATGGGATGGTTCTGGCAAAACAATTCTGGATATATAAACTGGTTTATTAAGCCAAAAACAAGTGTCATGCTCAAACATTTCCCTTTACTCTCCCCCATTCCCTTGACATGCTGGCTCCAATCGTGATTTGCTTAAACTTGTTTCCCATGACATCTGAATGAACATCTTCAAGTTAACTCAAGTATTCAAGTTGCCAGGAGAGTGTCTACTTTTGCAGAACACAGAAAGGGTTCAGGGGCAATAATGCTATGAGCTGTGTAGGAGATATTTTAGATTTACAATGTAAATGGTATTTTGGTCCTGCCAAATTGTACCATTGTATTGTTATACTGAATGTATTTTTAGCGCATTCCTATGCATGTTTATGCAGAAGAAAGTCCTACTGAATTCAAAAGGGCTTACTCCCCAATACGACCGCACAGGATTGCAGCCTTAGTTAACTAAGTTATGTATGTTTTTTCTGTTGGCACTGCATTGTGTTCTATTGGATGAGGTGATTTAGCAGTGCACACACAACTGAATTATGGAACTTGCTCCTACAGTAGGCAGTGATGACCGCCAACCTAGATGGCTTTAAAAGAAGATTAGACAAATTCATGGAGAGGGCTATTGAAGGCTACTAACCATGATGGCTATCCTTTGCCTCCACAGTTGGAGGTAGTGATGTTTCTGAATACTAGTTGCTGGAAACATGGTAGGAAGTGCAATTGTGCTTGAATCCTGGCTTGCAGGTTTCCCCACAGACATCTGATATGGCACTGTGAGAGCAGGATGCTGGACTAGATGGGTCATTGAGCTGATCCAGCGGGCTCTTCCTATGTTCTTACAAACAATCTTACCCCACCAAGCAGGCATAACTAGAGGATAGGATTGCTCTATTAATTGCTTTTTGTAGTTTCTGATATTTGAAGGAAAACTGCTTTGTTTTCTAAGACTGATCATTTCAAATGCTGAGGTTTTAGAAAGACCCCAAACAGGTTCTATTTAGGCCACTAAAGCTGGAGAAAACAACAGGCACCCATGAGGTTAGAATACTAGAATGCTTTTGCTTTTAAACTGTCATATCTGTTTGCTGCCCTGGGCTGCTTGGAGACAAAGGGCGGGGTATAAATTCCCTCAATGATAGTGTAGCTATTATTTCAATTTCTAACCTGGCTTCTGAAATCAGTTTCTAATGGGTGAAACCACCATTAAACATGTGTGTCAACACAAACTTAAAGTATTTTGGCATATTGATTGTTCATTCATAGCCAGCCCAAACAAGGCCTCTAGAAAATAATTCTGCTCAGATTTTGCAAAGGACAGAAACCAAAAGGGAGCAAAAAGCTTCTACATTTCCATAATGTGTACAGTTAGTGGGTCATCTGCAGAACTATGTGATAAAAATGATTTACAGCTGGACTGAAATGGAGAAATAAGAGTAAAGAAATAGGGGATGAATGGAAAAGTAAACAGGAAGGAAACACAGCTGCTGGGCGGATGTTTTTTACAGAACAGATTTGCTATGATTGCCACTCTCGCTTTCAAGACTTGGTAGAGGGTTGGGATTATACCTAATGTGGTCCATCTGCTTTACTTTTGCTACATAAATTAATTGCAAGCATAGAATGCAGCTTACTTTTCATCTCTTTTTCTCCGTTCAAGACTCAAACACAAATATTGACTGAACTGAATTAAAGGAAAAACACACAGCTGACTGCGCTAGCATGCCATTTCTCCCTTCGGATTTTAACTGTTCTTGTCTCAGTGTTCAGTGTTCAACACTGAAAGCAAGTAAAACCTGAGCAGGGTGGCAGACAGGAGAGTCTAAATGGCACCCGGCAGGAAAGCGTTTCTAACAGGCATCCTTTGCAAAATGATCACCAGTTGATTTTCAAGGAAACTGAAACTATTATTGTTCCATTAAGAAGCAATGCAGAAACACATCACTTTTACTAAGAAAAAGAGAATTTTAGTTTGGTAATAATTGGGTTTTTTAGGATCTAAGTTGTGTTTATCATCTCTTAGAAGGGATGGTTGGGATGGTTACATTTTAGTCTTCTTACCTGAATACTCCCATCCACATGTAAGCACTGTGGAGCACTACAAGACTTATCTTTGTGTAAGCACACACAGTTCATGATGCAACCCCTTTTTGTTTTCTCAAACTACTGCTCAACATTATCTAGTTTTGACAATAACAGAATACAAATCACAGACTGCCCTACAACACCAGGTTCTGTGGCTAGTTGACAAAATTTCACAGGAGCAATAAAGGAACAGTCTATAACGTTATAATTTTTTGACAGAATTGGGTGAAGTTTGTAGGCATGGTAGCCCCTTTTAAGGGGATGCATACTGCCAGGTTACAGAGTAGCTGCAGTGGTTTTTTGTGAGGACAATCTTTACAGTTTTGGGGGATTCCTCTAATCTCCCCTAACATTTAGCGGGTGATTTGTAGGGGGTGGGAAGCACACACCAGCTTCGAGGTAAGAAATCTACTGAATTCCAGTAGGATAGATACAGGGTCAGTCACCTTTAACATTGATTTAGATCAGGCATGGCCAAAATTGGCCCTCCAGCTGTTTTGGGACTACAATCATCCCTGACCACTGGTCCTGTTAGCTAGGGATAATGGGAGTTGTAATCCCAAAACAGCTGGAGGGCCAAGTTTGGCCATGCTTGATTTAGATAGCGGTCTAAAAGGAATGCAGTTTTGTAGAAAATGGTTTTCAGTTTGAAAATGTCATACATCATAGAATGGGTGGGTGCAGGTGATAGAGATGGCTGTAGGGGATAGAGAATTATGACAAATGGAAAAAACAGTTTTGGGCTTGATTTCTGCTCAATTGGCACCATAAATCTCAGAAACCGAATGCAAAGCAGAACTGGCAGGAATGAATGTGGCAGAGGCAGAAGGAACTGACCATCCCACATTTTCCAAACAAGCACCATTAACAGAACTAGAAAAGAATGGAGAACAGACAATGACAATGTATCTGAAGAAGTGTGCATACACACGAAAGCTCATACCAATAACAAACTTAGTTGGTCTCTAAGGTGCTACTGGAAGGAATTTTTGTTGTTGTTGTTTAGACAATGACAAGGTGATGCATTACTTTAACTTCCTGCCCCCAAGGCACTGTGATTGAAGAGCCCTGGGGAAATCATTCCAATCAGATTTTCAGTCAGGGAAGAGCTCTCCTTGCCTCCTCTCTCCACATTAGCATTTTCCTTGTACAGCAAGCTTCAAAGTCTGAACAGACCTAGAACCTAGGTAGAGTATATATTTTATGATGGTTCGTATTCACATTCAATCTGTTACAATGTATCTTCAACCAATCCGCAGCAAAAAAGACTGAAGGAAAATGGTTCTCTCTTTCCAGAACAATATGCCCAATATGGACCATGCCACTATAAGGCTGCCACTCCCAACTGCAATATGTAAAAAAAAGAATTATGAGTGCTTTTGATTGTCTATATTGCAATGTACTTGTGGCTGGTGACATAAACAAGGCACACACCAGGGAAGGAGAGGAGAGAGAGAGAGAGGTGGAAGAGATCCGCAGTCCTCTGATGGCTAGCCATGAAGGGGGGAGGAAAGGAGAAGAGAAATGGTGACACCATTTTGAAAGCCCCTTCTCTCACCTCAGCTGCTTTCCTGCCCAAAGAGCCAGGTTGCTTTATTTGCCTGAGGGAGGAAAGTTCCTACCAAGCCAGTTCTATCCTTCTCCAGAAGTTGACTATTGTCTTTGGAAGGACTCCATAAGTGTGGCTGGAAAAATGAAGAGAGAGAGACTGGGAACTGATGTGTGTGTGTAAGAAAACGAGACAATTTCTGGCCTAAGTTCTAGTGTTAGAAACTTGACTTCTTTCCTTCATGGATGCAGTAACTAACTTCTTTATTCCACTTCCCTGCTTTTTTGTGAGGAGGGAAGGAAACAGACAGTTGTTGCACTGGAAGAGTCTTTTTTTTTTATATAGCCACAGGAAAGGGGATAGGAGGAAAACAAGGAGTGGATTTTTATGGAAATAATTGGGTTCTACAACTGCATATTGTTTACTTGTATTTACAGTCCACCTTTCTTCCACCAGGAAACTCCACACTGTCACCTATCCCAGCACTGACCAGACCCAGATGTGCTTAGATTCAGCAAGGTGGCAGCCTCATGTGGTGGGAGCCATGCTCAATAGCTAAAAAGGGAGGCTACCACTCAGTTATGTGTGCTAGCCATTCCATATGCCCTGTAACCCTGCACCTTTAATTGTGAGGGCGTGTGCAAATAATCTGTAGTTCTTCAGAAATAAGGAAAAACCTGCTCGCCACATGCTGAGGGGCATATTCCAAGACTCTTCCCTGATACTGAAAACAGATTCCAGGCTTTATCTATGGTGACTCATAGCACAAAGGAAACATTGGGCATGGTACCTTTTTCTCTGTGTGCTTGGTCTGATTCATATGTACACAAGAAACTGTGTGTGCGGATTCCAGTCCCTTGCTTCCTGAGAAGCAGAGGCTGGGGGATATTCGAATTGAAGAAGAAAAACACCAAGACGTGAGGAACAAGCTGAAGACCTATGAAAAAATGGTTTCGAGGAAGGATGCCAACATTGGGATATAGGTTCTGTGACCTGGCATCAGTGGAGTGAAATGGAGTGGGCATGCAAAGGAAACTCTGAAGTATATGGGTTAGCAAACTCCAAAAAAGGTGACTAAGAGTTTGGAAAGATGTGTGAGAGGGAGGAAAAAGAGAAGGAGAGGCAGAGAGAATGAGAATAAATTTACCCACCAAAAATTGGCTACCAGACCACTAGGATCATTTCCGCTGTAAACAAGGGGTGGGGCACATTCCTTTCCTGGTAAACTTCCAGCGCCACATGCCAGTGGTAGGTAGAACCAGAGGCAAAATTGGATGGAGCAATGTTTGTAAAATTTTATTTTTTGTACAATAGACTAGCATCTGCATATGCTCACTCACCCTCCTCTGTCCTTCATCTAGACAAGTGAAGGGCTTTATTACAGTTCAAGGGCACATTCCGTTCAGGCGAAAAGGCTCAGCAAGGGTGTGGAGCTGGGCTGAGTGAGGGGTGCTGCCTGGAGGCTGAGAAAAGTCCGGTTATTTAGCCAGTAACATTAGTTTTCATGTAATATAGGGAATCAGCCTTTTATATTAACCTGGCCTGCATTATGAAGATTTCTTTTTCTACTTAACAAATTATTCATTCATTAAGATCAAGCATAGATAGCTTTCCTCTCACAGAAGAAAACAGGAGACATCCTGCAGCAACAGAACTCTAAAATGCAACCACTCACTTACTCCAGGGCTGATAAAATATTTAAAAAGTGGGAACAGCATCTCTGCTGCAGCAACCCCCCCCAAAAAAAAGAAGTAGAGGTGGCCAATGCATCTGATGTAGAGAATTCAACAGGTTCACTCAACAAGCCACATGCTTAAAAGTACAAAACAGTGTGCAAAGATATTAAAAAACATAGGAGCTGTTCTTTATAAAAAATAAATAAAAACCTTTTGATTTATGGCTGTGGGAAAAAAGTCAAAGAGAAAAAAAATGTAAACAGGAGATTCCATTGATTTTTTTTTTTAACAAGAACCTCTGGGACAGACGAGGGGAAAAAATGCCTTGTGGGCCATCTGTGAACAGTCTCACTGCTATCGTTTTGCTAAAGGCATCTATGTTTGCCAGGTGCTGCTGCAGCTTTGCTTGAAAGAAACAAATCTTGCTCAGACACATCATCGTTAAAGAGTAAAAAAAAAATGTTTATGGTAGCGCTTCAGATTCCATACTCTTCTGTCAAGAGAGGGAGGATAAAAAACAACCACCATGAACTGTTCTTTTAATAAAACAACAACAACTCAATTGCATCATGCCTCTAGTAACCTAGATCATTAATTCAAGTTATATACTTTGTTTTTCTTGATCATAATATCTCTACTTAACCTTAGTATAAAAAAACCAAAAACCATGGGGGAAAATATTGAATCTAATTATTGAGGCAAATCTATTCAGGGGCTAACAATGTCACTAAAACACAGTAAGAGCAAATGTAAGTCATATTTACTGGATGTCTCTTAAGTTTTTAAACAATGAAATTAATTCCTATCTATATAGAAAAATTTCTCATTATTGTCTTCCTTCAGATCCCCTAATTTTATTGTTTAGCTATGTAAGTTCCAACAGAGGATCAGGAGATTATTATACACCCCCTTGCCATATCTAGAATGTCTTATGAGGAACAGGAAACATAATGCAACCTTCTTAGAACTGTTATGGAGAATTTGGAATATTGTCTATATGATCAAATTGATACATTTTCTTACAGCAAGAAAAGCGTAGACAAATTTATGTTTTGTGAAAAGTGCAGTATTTTTGTTATGTATGAGAATTTGAAGGTATAGGACTCTGTACAACCATGTGCATTATTAAGTGCAAATTAAGAATTTTATGAAATGTAGCGTTTGATACATACTTTCTAGGCTTTGAGTACATGAATGATATTGTTATGTAATGTTACCCCTCCCCACCCTTTATTAAGGAAATATATAAAAAACTATGAGCAGAATTAGTTATTTAAAATTATGTAAGCTTATTTATGTATTATGACTATATATATGTGTGTGTGTGTGTGTGTGTGTGTGTATGGCATGATTAGTGATGTATTGCACTTATTATTGCGGGCTTCTAACTGAACCTATGCTCCCACAACTGCCAATATGTAGGACAGGGATGGGAAACTTTAGGTCCAGCAACACGTGGAAGGTAAGAACTACCATCATCCCTGACCATCAGCCATGATGGCGATGGCTGGGGCTGTTAGCAGTTGGATTCCAACAACATCTAGAAGGTCAGAGGTTTCCCACTTGTGATTTAGGAGATGTCATCATCCATATCATCAGAATCATCTGCGGGGCCCACATGGCTACATTCCAGTTTTATGCACCCCAAGTACCTGAACAGCACAATGTGTTCACTTCTCAAATTATGAATATTTATTGCTCTACCAAGCAGATAGGACAGTCTTCCCATCTCATGGAGAAACACTACTTATACCCTCCAACTACCAGTTATTGCTTTATAGAAAGTTTTGAGTGCTTACATTCTATCCTATGAATCTTTATGCAGAAATAGCTTTCACTGTGTTATGTGAGACTTGCTTCTAAATAACTCTGCTTGGATTGTAGCATGCGCCACCAGAGCAACTGCATCCTTCTCAGCTGGAGGGATGCAGCAGCTCCATGCACCAGCCCCTCTCTGCTTTTGCAGGCAGTGCAGGACCTGCAGGGAGGCTGAGCTGCCACAACCCTTCTGGGCGCCCTCACAGCCCTGAATCATCCTAGCATCGGACAGAGGGGCAGCGCCGTCTCTCCAGTGCTTGGGGGCCATGCTACACCGTCTGTCTGGCTGCCCCTCATGCCGCCCTGCAAGCCCAGCATCACTTTGGGAGACTCGCAAAAATGGCGTTGAGCTCGCAGGATGTCTGAACTGTTGCGCCCTTCTCAGGCGCCCACCAAGCTCCAGCTGGAGGGCAGCTGAGAAGGAGGTAACAGGCAAGCGCCAGCCCAACACTCCTTTTGCGAGCAGCACAGGGCTTTCAGGATGCCTAAGCTGTTGCCGCCTCCTCAGGCTCCCTCCTGCTGGAGGGTGTCTGAGAAGGATGCGATGGCTCATGACGGGCAGAAAGGCGCCTACCTTGAAACCGCACCGGGGGGGGCACCCCCAGCACCCCTCACACTATGCCTCTGACACTGAAGCAAAGTCAAGAAGAAGAATGAGCAATTATTGCTTCCCAGAGCTAGCAAGCAGCTTACATTTATAAATATTCATATTATAATGTAATCAGATATTACATCAATAGTTTAATATGAAGTCAACAGTCAGATAGCAAAAAAAAGGGGGAAAAAAGTCTAAACTATAATTTCATGATTAAGGTTGAGAAAGCAACCTAAGGGGATTCTGTAAATCTACAGTATAGCTCTCTTGGATCCGGCTCCAATATTTATATTGTCCACACTGGCTATGGTACAACATCAAGTATAGCCATAATAGTAATGATGATGATAAACCTTTAACATAGTGCATTAACACATTGTTTTCTTTATTGGTATAGTGAAGATCTGAAATACAGTGACTGTTTAATATCAACAGAAAATCTTTAGAGGTTGTGAACAACCCCAAAGCAGATATTTTCCCTTTGAGATGTAACAGTGAGCTGGTTTGAATTCATCTTAAGGAGCTGAGATATGGCCAAGCGTTGTGCCAATGTATGCAGCCCCTTCACAAGCATGTGCCAGGAAGTCTTTAACTAACAATGGTTTTGCATTTCTTCAAAAAACACTACAACAACAACCAGTACACAATAAACAGTCATTAAAAAAATAATCCAGGAAAATACAAGCTTTGGAACAATTCAGGATATTAAGCCACTGTTTGAAGTTAGTTTAACACCCTGGCTTACTCCAGGTTCCTGGTTTGGACAAAATGGGAAACTATGTTTAATAATGAGCTGTCCAATTTTATTGATTGCACCTCAGAGGAGTGAAGGGCTTGTGCACACTAGCAAAGGGCTCCTTTATATCCCCATTTATTAAGCCAAAATATGATTATCCAAGCATTCCCAGTGACTCATTCAGGTCTCTGTTTGGGGGGAACATTGATACAGAAACTGTATTATTCACTGTAATACATACATTGAATTCTGCTGGATTCTGCATGTGCCCAAGGGTTTTAAAAAGAGCCCGTTACCCTAGTTTCACTTGCATCACAAAGCAAGTGGGAATAACTGGAAGAGCTGTGTATCTACAATACCACTTTTATTTTAATTCCATTCATTAATTTAAAAGCACTTCTCCTAGAACATCATTTCAGTTTTTTATTTCTTAAGACTAAAATGGAGCAGATGGGGAAGGAAATCACTCAAGGGCATTCAGTCTACAGTTACTACAACATTCTACAAGCAATACATCTTAAGATGATGTAATATGTTCCCAGAAGCTTGCTTCTATTTTTAAAGAGCAGTTTTCATTATGGATTTGAAGGGCATCTCTATCACACATTATTACACTGCTTTTAACCTATGAACAGCAATGATGTAGTCCTCCCAGCCATTTAATACATACTAAGTGACTGCAGGTAGACAGTTATTGATCATAGAGTAACTACAATGCTTTAACCAGTAGCCCTGCTATGGCAATTAAAATTCATGAAGTATATATGTTTGCTTTAAAAAGATTCTTGGAGCATCCCTCTAAAGTGAATTTTCCTTTCCATTCCTCCTTCTCTTCCTCTGAGTAATCAGAGAGTGAAAAGATCACAAGCTGGCCAGACACAATCCAGTTAAAGAAGAAATTCACTGTCTCCTGTTCCAAAGCAACTCTCTGGAATGGAAAGGAGTTTGAAAAATGACACTGACCGAGGATGAGTTTGCACTAGGGGTGCTCAGCGGCATCAGACCCCCACAGCTTTATATCATCTTTCATATAAGGAAAATATGTGTGTGTGAGAGAGAAAGGAGTGATAGGAAGAGCAAATGCCAGGGTGGAGAGAGGGAAAGCTCTGTTGTGACTGACACGTCAGGTTTGTAAGTGGAGGAAATTATTTTACCCTGACTCACATCCCTTTTAGTTCCGCACATACACACACCCAAAATCAACTTTAAAAGGTGCCTAGCACAAAAACCTCTGGGTCAATTTGCCTGAAATTTGACAGTTTCTTATCTAGGAGCACCTTTCTCAAGTCTGACATTTCCAGACTATTTCTCCAAGAAACCCAAAGGAACATTAAGTGGTATCATTTTGACCACCCCTAAAATTGAAAAGGTTGCCCTTGCTGGAAAACAACTGCAGCTATCAAATTGGCAGGATTCACCTCCTCTGAAGGGGTAGCAATTGCTTCAGCTTTGGTCCAATTCTACAATGAAATAAAGAAAAGTTATAGATGGCTCCTTTAAAAAAAACACCTCAAACCTTAAGAGGAGACCAGCACAAATAACTCTGGAACTGTTTGCTTGTAATTTGTCCTGCTTAATCCACTCTGAAAAGGCTACAAATTGCACTCACTTCTATCAAAAGGGGGGAAACGTTACAGTTGTATTTTCTCTCCCAATAGTGAATTAGGGCATTGTGTAATTTCCCCCCCAATGCAGACTGCCTCAAAAGGCTGTGGCTCTGCATGCAAGGGACCCCAGGTTCAATCCTTGGCATCTCTAGGTTAGGCAAGGGGGAAACCTTGCCTGAAACTGAAACCCTGGTGGGGCTCTGCCAGTCAGTGTAGCCAGTACAGTGGTACCTTGGTTCTCAAACGCCTTCGTACTCAAACGTCTTGGTTCCCAAATGCCAAAAACCTGGAAGTAAGTGTTCCGGTTATCAAACGTTTTTCGGAAGCTGAACATCCGATGCGGTTATCAGCTATTGTTTCCGTGCTGCCTGCACCAATCAGAAGCTGCACCTTGGTTTTTGAACATTTCGGAAGTCAAACAGACTTCCAGAATGGATTAAGATTGGTGCTTTTGTTTTTGCTATTTATTTTACGTTTTTGTTTTCGAGGCTTTTTCAGTTAATTTGTTTTTGTGACTGTGTGGAACCCACTTCAGCTACTGATTGATTGATTGTGTGACTGCAGAAATGGATAAAAGCCCCCCATCCAAACAATGACTATCATCAGTGCAGGTAAGAAAAAAAAGTAGTTTTAATTTTTATCATCTACAATACTGTCTTATTTATTTTATAGTACAGTACATTGATTATTGCTTTCATTTTATGGATCAATGGTCTCGTTAGATAGTAAAATTCATGTTAAATTGCTGTTTTAGGGGTTGTTTCTAAAAGTCTGGAACAGATTAATCTGTTTTGCATTACTTTCTATGGGAAAGCGCGCCTTGGTTTTGGAATGCTTTGGTTTTGGAACAGACTTCTGGAACGGATTAAGTTTGAGAACCAAGGTAGCACTGTACTGAGCTAGATGGAACAATGGTCTAACTTGATATTTCCTATATTTCCTATGTTTTCAACAGAGGACCCTGATAGTGCTAGGTTGAGGGCCCCAACCATGTAGCATTGTAACTTATTGCCATGCACACTATGTGAAACACCTCCTCCAAATTCTGCACAGAGCAAAATGTACATTTTGCAAATTGATTGAATTTGCATGGTTGCATGTGTGAGTTTCTCAGGATACTGACTTATGTGTACAAATGCAGAATGGTGGAAGACGCACAGCTCTGGGTTTTTACTATCAGCTGAAATCCATAAAATGGCATCCACTGCTACACGGAGCCTGAACACTTTATAAACCTACTAGCAAAATGGCTGCCTGACATAAATAAGCAAAAGAGGAGAACATTTGCAGGTAGGAAAAATCAGCAAAAGCCCTGCTTTTGCTCTGTAAACATGACTGATGGCAGCTCTGTTGGACTGACAAATTTCCATCTGCCAGCTTTTTTCAACCGACAGGTAACTCACCAGTCTGTACTGATGAAGGTCCTAAGAATAGAAATAGTAAAAACAAAGGTCAATAGAGTAAAGCATTTCCCTCACCCAGCTTGAATGCAGAAAAAGAGAGAAGACAATATGCTTCAAGAAATGCAGCTCCTTTCCCAGTAAGTTTTCATTGTAGTGCAAAGAGCATGAAAAGTGTCATACTGAAAGTCGCCATCCAGTAATGCTTAGATTTAAGTTGGTGGAATGCTACTGAGTAACTATATAGATTCTCTTTGTACCTCCTACCATACACAGGTTAGCTGTAATGTTCAGATAGGCAGATCCTTCCCATTGTTCCATGTAATTTATGGAAAGAACAACAAAAACCCCCACACAAAGAAGGCAAAGAGGTGCCTAAAATGTATGAAATTGTATGTTGCAATTGAGGGCAGGAAGAGAAAGAGGAGAAATGAATGGCTGGCATTTCTCTTGGCTTGGCATAATTGAGGAACAAAACAAAAAAGGCCACTTGAAGCAAAATACCCTGTATTTTGAAACTGCTCATCATTCAAAGCAAGTCTTGAATGCAATTCTGTAAAAGCTTTAATAAAGCCCAAACATTAGGTGCACATTCCTGATAAGTCCTTAATGGGATACCAGGTCCCATATCCTGTTTCAGATAAAACACCTTAATCACAAGGATATATAATCACAATATGTTTATACGCATATATAAACATCTAAAGTAGACCTAAGCATGCAGTGTGGCAACTTCCCTGTAGCACAGTACAGAACTGAGCATTCTTGATCTCAGTAACAATACCAAAAGGTATTTGGGGCTATCTAATTGGAGTGGTGGATAACCCAACAAAGCAGCTGGACCCCTTAAACACAGGGATATTGCTTGCCCGACATTCAGTAGTTGGAATGCCAATGTGTGCACAGCAAGGATAAAACCATCACAGAAGTCACTCCCGAGGAATTATGAAAAAGACTACTGCTCCCTTGCCAACTTCGTATGGAATGTACTCAGGTGTTTTGCAATAGGTACCTTAACTAACAGATTTGTTACATACAGTGGTACCTCAGGTTACATACGCTTCAGGTTACAGACTCCGCTAACCCAGAAATAGTGCTTCAGGTTAAGAACTTTTCTTCAGGATGAGAACAGAAATTGTGCTCTAGCGGTGCGGCGGCAGCAGGAGGCCCCATTAGCTAAAGTGGTGCTTCAGGTTAAGAACCGTTTCAGGTTAAGAACGGACCTCTGGAACGAATTAAGTACTTAACCCGAGGTACCACTGTACTTAGGAACTTTACTCACCTTTCCCCAGTGTTTTTTTTCTTAAAAAAATGTTTAGATGTTTAGGGGTACTCTCATTTTCCTACTCATATTGAAATACTGCCCGCAATGAGGCCAAACTTAGATTCACAAAATGTTTAGGGGTATGCGTACCCCTGCGTCCCCCCTAGAAAAAAAGCGCTGCCTTTCCCCCAACACACCAAAAATGAATAAAAATCCCATCTGCTCCGGGGCACTCAGTGCTACCTTCACTTTTCTAAAAACAAACATTATTCAGCAATGAGGTCTCATCCACACTTCCACTTGTCTTGGCAGTTTCTCCTGTAAAAACCCGCTCTTTACCTCTGATTTGGAATAAATGTTAACTGTTTTTTCTGTGGATTGATGTTTGCTCCAATTCAGTGCTAAATAGTAGCTTTTTCCTGGGGAAAGCTGTGGGGCAAATGGAAAACCACTCAGACCCATGTCTAGAAAGCATAGAAACCCTCTTGGACCTGTGGGACAAGCAAAGTGTGGACGAGCCCCAAGTCAGGTATGCTGAAGCTCAATGACATTACTGAACATAATCTTTCATATTTGCAATTATGCATGTATTGCACATGGGAAAAGACAATAAATGAAAAGTAACTTTATTCTGACCATGTTCCCTACTGCAACAAATGACTTCACTTGAAAACTGAAATTGTCCCAAATATGCCAGTAATAAAAATGTTCTAATAATATAGTAACACACAACTTCCATTCACCCAATCATAATAAAAAATTGCCACATCACCTGCATTGTCAACTGCATTCATCATGATTAGGAAAAGAATTTACAGCTTTTTCTTTTCCTAGCACATCTACAACCTCCTGAACAAAGACATACAGTGTAGTCCCCCTTGTTATGATACAAATCCTCAAATAACTTGAAAGATCTAGTAAAATACTGCCACCCAATGGCACAAATCAGAGTTGCACACTAAAAGATAAGGCAGCTCCACTGTCCCCAGAACAGCAGACCCTAAACACAGAAGTAGTTCTGTGTTAATTCTCATCAAGGAAACATAAGACATTTGCTTATCAAATTTTCAACTGTGAAGCAATGCAGATGTCCACTGCTGTTACAGGATGTGCTATGTAAAACCTGGTGTCCAGAAGAGGAAGTTAGCTTCTTCAAAGTTACAGGGTGTTTTTGCCTGATGTTTTGTATTATAAACAATTCTAAAAGGCAAGTTCAGTAAGAGTGGGAAAAGGTTCAGAAAAGGGCAAGCCAAATGACCAAGGGGATAGAGCGACTATGAAGAAAGGTCATGGTGGTTGAGTCTTTTGAGTTTAAAGAAAAGGAGAGTAAGAGGCAATATGATACAAGTTTATAAAATTATGCATGGCATGGAGAGAGTTGATTGAGAAACGTTTTTCTCCCTCTCTTAGAACAACTCCATATTGACAAGGGTAGGGATTTGCAGGCCTTCAAATGCAGGCCTGAATTCTTGACAAACCAAGTCTCCGAAATGATGGCAGGGCATGTAGTACATTCTGTAGATCTGTGGCTCAGATTTGCCCCAATCAACCAAACATCTTGCAAAAATTTTCAGCAGAATCTGGTTACACAAAATGTCCTCTGCCCATCTCCAGAGACCACTTAGCCAGTTTTTAAAATATATATAGCTATAGATGCCTTCACTGGATTGTGAGCTGAGAAGCAACTTGTAGCTCTGGAGGACTGGACCCACTGGGGACTCAGCTAAGGTAAAGGGACCCCTGACCATTAGATCCAGTTATGGACGACTCTGGGGTTGCGGCACTCATCTTGCTTTATTGGCTGAGGGAGCCGGCATACAGCTTCCGGGTCATGTGGCCAGCATGACTAAGCCGCTTCTGGCGAACCAGAGTAGTGCACGGAAATGCCGTTTACCTTCCCGCCGAAGCGGTACCTATTTATCTACTTGCACTTCGTGCTTTCGAACTGCTAGGTTGGCTGGAGCAGGGACTGAGCAACAGGAGCTCACCCCGTCACGGGGATTCGAACCGCCGACCTTCTGATCGGACTCAGCTACACAGCTGCAAATAAAACATTTTGAATGTCTTGTAAAGTGCAATATGCAATTGTGACACTAGTTGGTGACTGTGAGCTATGGTAAATTCAATGCATTTTTCAAAATGATTCTTAACAAAAGCATTTTCAAAACGTTTTAAACATTTGTGTAGATTCCACCTGGGTATAGAGGCAGACTCAACAAAGAAAGCTAGCAATCAATAGTCTTCATGGAAAAGCACAGGCTGCATGCATCTTCTATATATTGCAATCTATTATATGTTTACCTGAGAGTAAGTGCAATTGAATTCCTCTCAGGCATAGAATTGCCCAGACATTTACCTAAAACATTTATATCTGTCCTTCCTCAAAACCCTAAAGAGATGCCTACTATGGTAATATCTGATCCATTTTGTGTAATATATTATATATGTTTACATATAATCAACTGTAATACAGTTACTTATAGAGCATTCTGTATCTACTCTTAAGTAAGTCCCATTAAATGCAATGGGACTCACACCCATGTAAATATGTATAGGGTTACACTCTTAGGAAAACATTTCTGGTAGTTGCATCTTTCAACGATGGAAAATATATTCACTATCAAATGAACTGTATCCTGCCACATGGGAAAGATCAATTTATGATTAATTTCACCCTCAGTGCTAGATGTTGAACTATATTTCTCTTACTGGGATAAAACCCATGCTCCATTACCATTTCTCAAGCATTGCTCTCTAGCAAATGGTGGGAATTTTCATACCTTCCTAAACTTCTCCATCTGTTTGTAAAGATCAGGATCCAGCTCTTGAGACACATCTTTCATCCACAATAAAGCTCCTCGGTATTCAGTTCGGCACTGCTCCATTCGATTGACCGTCAACCACGTATCGGAAATAGCTCTGTACCTAAATGTCTCCACTTCTTGGTATAGCCTGCACAAAGGAGTGCGCAATGCCAACCTGTGACCAAAAAAGCAAAGACAAAAATGGCAAGTGTAGGGACTCCTGAAACCAAACCAAAAGAGACTTTTTAGGCTTTATTTTGATTACAAACCAGAGTGACAAAGGGTTGCTAGAAAGGAAATGCCAACGGAAGGAATGCCAACAAGCAAATTAGAATGGACCACAAGGTTCAGTTTGGATGGTACCATTTGGGACAATTTTTTCACAAGTACACAGCAAATCCATTTTTTCCTGGTTGCTTCTGGTGTATTAAAAAAATATTTAAGAAAGCCTGTTCCCACTAACAGTTCATTAATTTCCACATTCTCAAAGACTGAAGCTTTCCTTCAGAATCCTTAAAATGGCACTTTCAGAGAAGCTTTATAACCTGTTGAAAAGTAACCAATTAATTAACAAGGCAATCCTATGCCCATCTACTCAGAAGTAAGTCCCACTGGGTACAATGGGCCTTACTTCCAGGAAAGTGAATGTCCCATTGCAGCCTAAACAGAATATTTATTATATCAGTGAGTAGCCCTAGTTAATTTGCACAGTATGCTGGTGCTGTGGTGAAACAGCTAATATTTAATATGCAGACACAAGGTAAAAGTTATTGGCCATGTGGATAACAGGCTAAGCATTCAAAGTATGGAGCCAGTCTGGGCGACAGATGAAAGTTCCCTCTTGCAGTTTCTAGAATATGGTTCCTATTCCATCCTGAGATCAAGAGAAGCCTTCCCTCCAAATCACACACCTTGACAATTCTCGGAATACAGCACACACTACCTTTTTCTGCTATCACTTATCTGGAGATACAATAGCCTACTCACACATAGGTTCACTCTCCATTTAAACTGGAGCAAAGCTAGTTTAAACAACAAATAATTCCGGTTTGGTGCATGCATGGGTGACCTAGCCATCAAACTCCTGAATATCTCAAACTACTCATAATGGTATACGGTATCTCTCTAAGCATTAGGAGACACAAAGGACTCTTCCTTGATTGGGCGTTCCATTCTGATGTTCCTGGTTCACATATCATTTATACTAAATTATACAAGATAGCACTGGTATTGGAGCGAACTTTTTGTACGCTGTCCTAGGCTATCAACTTCTGGCAATGCGACACCATCCACCATCCAAACAGGCTTGCATCTCTTGTGAGATACATGCCTCACAAGATTGCTCTGGTGGGTCCACACCAGTCCAGGATTTCCTGGCCTCTGAAAGTATCCTGACCTGGCCAATGATCTTGTGTGCAATCTGGAGCTGGGGTGGGGGGTGGGGGACAACAATAGCTAGTGAGATTGTATGGAACAAAGCCTTGTCAAAGCATGCTATCAGGAAGATATCACAAACTCTTAAGGTGTTTCCAGCTGATAGGTTTCTCGGACAAGGATGGCTTCTCCCTGGCTTGTGTCCAGCAAGGCTGAATACCACAAACCAAGGAATGATAGCTGTTCCATCCTCCTGACAATGAAGCTGTGATACTTTTGACACTGGAAGGTGCAATAATGTCCTGGTGTACCCTGTCTCTAGATACCAACCTGATCACAAGGATACAGATGAACTCTTTGATGAAAAGAAAACACCATTTTCTAGTTAGTGGTGCATCATACTAAACCAGAGGATGGACATACACATTTGAAACTGATGCCAAGGAGTGTAGGTATATGATCATACTGGAGCTAAAATGAAAAGCGGAAAGTGTGTATATGGTTAGCTCCTGGGTCAAGAGGAAATACTTGTAGAGGGCTGTCCTGTAGAGGCGAGTGGGGGAAGGAAGTGAGTGTGGGTCCCTGCCTGCTGTACTTAAATATAGCTGTTGGTGTTTGAGTGAAGGCTGCTAAGAAGTCATACTTCTCGGCCTCCATTGCATCCGCTAGCTCTCGCCCAGCGCAATTATTTAGTATAATCAGGTCTTTAACGTCCCTTGAGGGACAGCCAAATTTAAATAACAATTTGACACTTAGCTGTGAGGCATTTGCGAGCTTTTTTGTGGAGAAGGTCTAGTTGCTCCGCCATGACCTCCCTGCCAATTTGGATACAATAAAGGAATTGGAGGCCCCTCGACTGTCCTCGGGTCCAGTATTGGACCACTTCGACCGGATATCCCCAGCCGATGTGGACAGACTCCTCCGAGCTGGAAAGCCCACCACCTGTCCTCTCGACCCGTGCCCGTCTTGGCTGATTAGAGCGTGTCCAGACGAGGTGCGGGCCCTCCTGGGGATATCATCAATTTGTCCCTTGGCACGGGGACATTCCCAGGGGAACTGAAGGAGGCAGTGGTGCGCCCACTCTTAAAGAAAACATCATTAGATCCTTTAGATCTATCCAATTACCGCCCGGTTTCGAATCTTCCGTTCCTGGGTAAGGTGATTGAGAGAGCGGTTGCTGAACAGCTTGGTGGGTTTCTGGATGAAACATCGGCTCTGGATCCATTCCAGTCCGGCTTCCGCGCTGGTCATGGGACCGAGATGGCTCTGGTCGCCCTAACAGATGATCTTCGTAGACAGCTGGATCGAGGCGGGTCGGGGCTGCTGATTCTTCTAGATCTGTCAGCAGCTTTCGACATGGTCGATCACGAACTTCTGGACCACCGCCTTGCCGACGTGGGAATCCAGGGCACAGCCCTTCAATGGCTGCGCTCGTTTCTCTCTGGTCGGGGACAGAGGGTGGCGCTTGGGGGGGAATTGTCATCGCGCCACTCCTTGGTGTGTGGAGTACCTCAGGGTGCGATACTCTCCCCGATGCTTTTCAACATCTTTATGCGCCCCCTCGCCCAGCTTGTTCGGAGTTTTAGGCTGGGTTGCCATCAGTATGCCGATGACACCCAACTCTATCTGTTGATGGATGGCCATCCTGACTCGGCCCCAGACACACTGACCAGATGTTTGGAAGAGCTGTGGCTGGATGGTTACGTGGGAGCCGGTTGAAGCTAAATCCTTCGAAGACAGAGGTCCGGTGGCTGGGACGGGGCGATATGGGATTGGGGGGGCAACTCCCATCTCTTGCAGGGGCGCAATTAGTGCCAGCACCGTCCGTTAAGAGTTTGGGTGTAATCTTCGACACCTCCCTTTCCATGGAGGCGCAGATTGCAGCTATAACAAAGGCGGCATTTTTCCATCTCCGCCAAGCTAAGCAGTTGGCTCCTTACCTCTCTCGCCCTGACCTAGCCACTGTGATCCACGCGACGGTCACCTCCAGACTGGATTATTGTAACTCGCTCTACGTGGGGCTGCCCTTGAGACTGACCCAGAAACTCCAGCGGGTGCAGAATGCACGAGGTCTTCGCTGCGAGATCACATTCACCCGGTGCTACACCAGCTGCACTGGCTCCCGGTGGAGTACAGGATCAGGTTTAAGGTGCTGGTTTTAACCTTTAAAGCCCTATACGGCCTAGGACCCTCGTACCTACGGGACCGCCTCTCCTGGTATGCCCCACAGAGAAACTTACGGTCTTCAAATAAAAACATCTTGAAGGTCCCAGGCCACAGAGAAGTTAGGCTGGCCTCAACTAGAGCCAGGGCTTTTTCGGCTGTGGCTCCGATCTGGTGGAACACTCTGTCACAAGAGACCAGGGCCCTGCGGGACTTGACATCTTTCCGCAGGGCCTGCAAGACAGAGTTGTTCCACCAGGCCTTTGGCCAGGGCACAGCCTGACTCCCTCCCTCGGCAATCTTCGTGGAGCTCTGGCCCAATGGTTGCCAGTGGCCTGAATTAATTAATTTTATAATGAATGATTTTAGAGTGTTGTTTATGCTATACTTTTATACTGTAATAATAATAAATAAAATTTATTATTATTATTATTATTTACCTGAAGTGCCTGGAGTCTTTTTTTCTGAGAAAGGGAGCCCTCTTAGCGACAACACATTTGGCAAAGACTCCTGGCTTTAACAAACCAGAGGTCAAGATGTGTGGCCCTCTTTGTCAGAAGGCTGAGCTGGAAACTGAGAGGGATCCTCTCTGCAGAAGGGGATGCACGTTTCATTAGCTCTTCAAATCAGAGAAGGAATTAATCTTTTAATTTCCTGCCTATTCTCCTGTGTCTGAATGAGAAGCTCAGGGAGGACAGGCAGGGAACAAGTAAAAAGTCTCGGGAGGATTCAGAGAGGAGGCAGAAAAAAATCCTGTGTAAGGACCTGGGAGACTGAGGTTCAAAACCCCATTTAGCTATGAGGCTCCCACTGGGTGATATTAGGCTGAGACAGAGTTACTGGCCAAACTCACAAGGTTGTCATGAAAATAAAACATGAGGTGGGGAAGAGAAAGAGAATTGTAGATGCTGCCTTGAACTCACTGGAACAAGGACAGGATAGAAATGTAATATATAAGTGACATTGAGGAAGAAAGACACCCCCCTCAAAAAAAAAACCAGACAAAAGATACAGCCAGAGAGCTTTCTTGACCTCAAGCTACCAGCAGTCCTTTCCTGCTTTTTATTGGGGCTGCTGGGAGGCAGGAGACAGGAAAATCTTGAAACCTCACGTGGGCTTCTTGTGCAGGCCTGCTTCAGAAGGCAGGGCAAGGATGGTAAGCTATTTCATACATGAAGTCTCTCAAGTCAAACATACCTTTGTTGAGAGGAAAAGCAGAGGGCCTTTCCTGTAGCTTGCATCATCTTGCCCGCTCTGGTTTTATCTTGAGAACCTTGGGATCGGAGAAATTTCCCCAATTCATTTTCTTCTTGAGACAGAACTGAGATTAAAAAAAAGAGAGAGAGAAAGTGGTGATGCACCACTAAGTTTAAAGAAGGGAAATGTTGCATTGCCCCCATTATTCAGGTCACAGAATAACCCTCCAACATAACCCTGCAATTTCTAATTAACCTTCATGAATCCCATGCACTTACGAAACAGACGATCGGGTTCACTTCAGCACATCCCTTCATGGGCTCAGTGTAATGTAACAAGAACTGCAAAATGACCTCTACGCTGAAAAGGCAACAGGAGAACGTGCTATTTTTTGCTTGAATAGAGCTATAAGCTTGGTGGGATCAGATGAAGTAGACTGCTGTGACCTGACTACAATACCTAGAATTTCCCTTGATTGTTTTACACTCTCTTTCAACTCCTTGAGCCTGATGCTCAAGTGACAGAAGTTCACAGGGGCTCGTCAAATGGATGCTGATTGAAACAACTTGGGCATCATACACCCTTCAGTTCTATTCCCTCTGTATATTTGGATTTTTTTTCATTTAGAAGATTTGGTTTCAGAGAGTTTGCATTTAAATTAAGAAAATGTTTTTAAATATTAATCTATTTTTAAAAAAGCAAATTAAGGCAGGGCAAAGCATGTACTACAGGTCCATACACAATAGCAAATGTGAGGACCAAATTAAAAGGTATCAAGTTATGCAATCTCTCAATGGATGATTTTTACTTTTTTCTATTTCCTTACATTTATATCCTACCTTTCTTCCATCATGTAACTCAAGAAGTTACTCAAGAAGTTCAAGTGGTTCCCAGGTAGTCACTTATCCACTCACTGATGATGATGATGATGATGATGATAACACCACCAACACCACCACCACCAGGCTGGCTTATTTTCAGCAGGTGAGTGGCCTCCTTCAGACCATACTCTGGAACCATTGTTTTGCTTGAACAGCTAACACTGAAAAACAGGTACAGGAGGGTGCTGCTTCAAGCAGAGGGACAGGGGATACCCCAAATTGCTATATTCAAGTTGCTTTGGTTCTCTGCAGGACAAAATATACAGTCCCCTTTCTGCCATAAAAAGCAGCTTGGAGGGGGGCGCACGCTTTGACAGGACAAACAACAGGAGAAAAAGTTAAGCAGCTCCCTCACACTCTCTACCACAGCCTCTGATACTGCATTTCCTTTTTTATATATATAAGAACATGCTAGAGAGACATTTCTCATGTTTTCTGTGTAACACAAAGATTGGACCAGTTTATCAATCTTGGGGCTGTCCCTACTATCAGAAAGAGTGGGGTAGCTGCCTTAGGCAGCAGTTGGGGTGAGGAGCAGCAGTGCTGGACCCTTGTCATCTGTCCTAAGGCACACACCATTGCTGGTCATTTCCCTTTGCCAGCAGACAGAGCTCTGTGTGTGATGTGGTCTGCTCTGCACCTAATAAGCTAGCCCACACCCCTTAGGTGTGGTGGAGGATGCTGTCTTGTCATCAACGTTGAAGTAAGATTTAATTGCAAGCATGATTTGCATATGGAATGGGGAGAGGAATCTTATCTTTGGCCTCAGACAGCAAAATCGCTTGGACTGGATCTGATCAAGTTCGATGTAATATCATATTTTTCTTTGTCATAGTATTTGTTTCCGCCAAATGTACAAAGCTATCTTTAAAGCCTAGACTGATAAATAATTTTAGTATCAACTTGAACTCGGATTAATGCTGCAGAATACCTCACAATTATCTTCATTTTACCACTGATTGTTAGCCTGAAAAGGCAAGGCTAACTACAGCTAAAATACTTACAACAAATCCTTTTTTGATATAGTTCAATTGCTTTAAGTAAATCCATACACGTCCTCTGAATTGAATGGAAGAGCTGAAATGAAACATAAAATACAAACTATTGTTGAGACAGGAGACACAGAAAAAACACTTTCCTTAAAACTATATTTCCCTTCAAAACAGTATGTTGCTTCTGAAACCTTATCAGCTTTCCTTGCCTATGAATTCATAGTGTTTTCCTCCAATGTACAACATCACATGTGCAGCAATTTTCTAATACAATTCCTATATAAATACAAAGCATGTAAGATGGTCTGAGCAAATCAGTTTGTCTCACGGGCATTTATGCTCTGTGATATGTTCTCTGCCAATGAAATGCAACCATGTTTACAGTATAGCAGGAAGGCCATTCTGTGCAAGGAATGTGACGGCACAGATTTTAAGAGGTATAATTAAGGTCACAGGCAGAAAGTAAATATGTAAAATGTAATTTGCAAGCTGGAACCACTCCAAGAAGTAAACACTCAAACTATCCAATATTTCCAGAGATGAGGTTTAATTATTTTAGTTTTAGAATTTCTCAGGAAATAAATAGTTACCAAAAAAAAAAAAAAAAGTCCAAATCAGACATCAACATTTGCTTATTTAAAGAGAGACCAGAGAGGGATTAACAGGTTCTCTGTTAACTATGCTAATTCTATAACACTGCTATGCTTGTTTTAATTCTACCATTAGGTAACGAATATCCTTTAAAATCAGACTCATAGAACTGTAGAGTTGAAAGGGACTCCAAGGGTCATCTAGTCCAACCCCCTGTAATACATGAATATTGACTCAATCATACATGACATATGGCTATCCAACCTCTGCTTAAAAACCTGCATGGAAGGAGAGTCCACCACCTCTCGTGGGAGTCTGTTCCACTTTCAAACAGCTCTTACTGTCAGAAAGTTCTTTCTGATGTTTAGTTGTTTCTTGTAACTTGAACCCATTGGTTTGGGACCTAGCCTCTGGAGCAGCAGAAAACAGCTTGCTCCATCTTACAGCCCTTTAGATCAGGCTTACTCAACCTCAGCCCCCAAGATGTTTTTGGCCTACAACTCTCATGATCCCTAACTAGCAGGACCAGTGGTCAGGGATGATGGGAATTGTAGTCTCAAAACATCTGGAGGACCGAGGTTGAGGAAGCCTGCTTTAGATACTGGAATATGGCTATCTATCTCTTCTCAGTCTCTTCTTTACCAGGCTAAACATATCCAATTCCCTCAACCTTGCTAATAAAATGGAAAAAACATCAGCAATTGCACACCAAAAGAAGGAAAGGAAATGGTTGAAAACAGACTTCTATGGCATAACACTGATTTATTTGCTACATTTGTATCCCATTCTTCCAAGAGGTTGGGGACACTTTTTTATCTTTACAACTAAATCAGGTACATGAGCCAGAGGACAGTGATTTCAATTAGGTGCATGTAGCTTCTTCTTGATTTCTCCCAATGTAGCTTCTCCTGCAGTGGTGCAGCTAAGATATCCAGGCCTAAGTCCAGGGACTTGCAGCTCAGGGGGCCCTCAAATTACCACCCAAAGAAAAGGAAATGGTGGAGGCAGAGGCAAACATCAGGCCCAGCACCAGCATCTAGGCTGGCATGGGCAATCTGAAGTTCACACTAGTTGCCACAGTATCCTTTCTTTCTACTTGTTTTGGTTTTTTTTTAAAAAAAAATGCCAGTGGGAGGCCAGCCAGACACATAAGGGATTACAGATGCTCATTTTACTATTAAAAGAATATTGTCCTTTTCTACAACAAAATCTGTTTATCATCTGGGAAGCAGAAGCATACTCCATTTTATTCCTGTATTCATGATGGTGCTATGCTTTAAGCGAGTCTTAAAATGAGATTTTGCAAGTGCTCTGTATATTTTTCTCATTTATCGAGGTTGGTAAATGTGTTGGGTTTCTTTTCTTTCTTTCTTTTTTGGTGCGGGGAGGTCTGCTCTAACTTATCAGGAAAGAAAAAGCAGTTGGAAAGTACAGAATGGTGCTGGGAGGAGATAAATGTTAACAGCTGCACCACTGTTTTCATGCCTCATGAAATGCCATATCCAAGGGTCCCTCTAACTTTAGGGTGCATTTGAGGGGTAGAGTGGCAAGGGGAGCTGCAACAGGGAAGGTAGGGTTGAAAAGCCGCAGGGCATGAATGGCTTTTTGGAACCTGGCCCAATTTTTGTGACCTCCCAACATAGGATTTTCCCCCTTTGTGAGGAAATATCTGGGCTGCCATGCCTACCTCCAGTTTTGCATCCAGATCTGCATCTGAGGCCACCACATGTTCATCCTCCTTCTTTCCTGTGACTTTGATAAGAGTTTGTTTTGTCTTCCAGTATTTCTGCTGCATTTTATTGACCACAGACTTCTCTTGGCCTTGGGCATACCGATCATAAAATTCCCTTGAATAACTGCTAGGAAGCAAGATGCTAGTTTATTTACAAGAGATTTAAGAGGCAATTTGAAATCATGTAAGATATCATATAAGCAGCTGTAATGCTTCTAGGGGTTGCTTGTGCGTAAATCGGCGCCACACCTGGCTGGGTTGCCTGAGTGAACCCTTTCTGTCCGGACAGCCACTCGCCCGTGGCTGTCTCAATCGCTGGCAGAATCCGTCAGTGGGCGTTTCTTGAACTTCTTCCAGCAAAGAAGTTCTCTGACGCCTAGTCTCCGCCTACTCTCCCTGCGCGGAAGCCTTCTGCTCAGGGAGGGTGTGGGCAGCGGAGGACCCGTGCTCTCCCCGCTGGTCCCCGGCGAGGAGTCATGGAGCCACCTCGCCGATTCCCCCATCTGCCCCCCTTCTCCACTGGTGCTACGCTGATTTCCTTCCCCAGAAGATGTGCTGCTTTTCTCCCTCCCGGGACACTCTCCGGAATCCATCTGGAGCCCTCCCTCTCCCCCTGGCTCCGATGGCAGTTCCCTGACAGCAGCATTTGATGCAATATCTCTGTCTGTATTTACATTCCTTGTACAGTTCTACACTGACTTGCATTTTCCCAACCTTAGCTCCTACTACAACCACCCCAGTTTTCCTGGCTTCTTCATACTTAGGGGTATGGATGAACTATTCTGCAGCTAATGCATTATAGCTTGAAATTTTTTTTGTCAGTTTTAAGAAAGGCCGTGCCTTAACTTTGTTACTGCTACAGATACAGATACAAACACAGAGAAATCTACTTACTATTTGTGGTCGTCCATCTTTTGTTATTTTCTTCAAACACTATGAAATAAGGGGAGAAAAGCACAGCAAAATGATTGATGTGATTATGCATCCCAAACCTTTGTCGTGTTTATACTGTTTACTTTGAAAAATATAATGCATAAAGCAGTTTGAAATTATAGAGGGTATTTCCAAAACCCCTCTGTGTTGCAATATTATCCATTTCTCAGAGAAGATAAATTCTTGTATCCTCAGTGAATCCCAAGGATTCAGCTAAGTTCACGTAGGATAATGAAGTTCTCCTTAGTAAATGTTATTGCAGAATCATCACATTTTCTTTTGCATCAGTGGATGAGATCATTTCAGTTATGGTAGCCCTAAACCATGGCACAGACAACATTTAGCTGACAGATACCAATTATGCACTATATAGAGATATATATCACAGGATATACAAGGTATAGATATTCAGCAGTTTCACTATAATAAACAAACAAGAAAAATAAACTCTTTTAGGGCCATTTTTGCCCCCTTTTGTGCCACTTCCAGGTTCATGGTGATGCACATGTGTGCCATCACACATGCCTTGAATGCATGGGAATGGGGAGTTGCCTGTACTGCCCCTGGTACTGCTGAATATATACTTCATTTAATGTTGAAAAAGAGGGCAGCTGGAACACATCTAACAACTCACATAAACTTTCAGAATGAAGATATAAACCCAGTAAAGGTACAACACTAGATTCTTGCAAATCATTAGGTGCAAATATGGAACCTATCTTAGAACACATGCCACACCCACCTTTCTATGGAGAAATTTTATTCCCTCCTTCTTTCCAGTTAACCATGATGCTACATAACAATTACACCAACACAAACTATCATCAACATAAATCAGGTTCCCTCATAAGCCACCTCAAACCATGGTTATATTTTGGGCTAGTAAAGCACTAGGGGTAGTGTTCATCAACCATGCTAAACATGGCTGACACAAGGAATAAAGCTAGCAAGTATTATTTTTTAATATATATTTAAATGTCAGTAAGAGATAAGGAAAATTATCTTTTCCATTTATACTTTGGGGCTTTCAAACTGTCAGAAAACATTTACCTTTGGAAACAGCATTTTACATGAAAATAGGTTTTTTCAACTATATAGCAATGATTCACAGGATTGCGTAATAGGCTAAACATCAATTTAAGCCCAGCTATGCTGATGGTATGTTTTGTATGGCAGCCAATTACCAATGATATTAGTTTCATACCAATCATGATATTTACATTTACATGTACTCCCACTGCAGTAATGGAAATACTCTAAAAAGGAATGAATATATGTAAGATTGGCAATAACTAAGACTATAACATGCTTTATTTCCTTCATCCTTGGGCTACCTTCTGTTCATTTCTTAATCATAAGGGTAGATGGATGTCTTAATCACATATTCTGGACTGTGACTTCTTTATGGATATCCCTCAGCTTCTCACAAAACAAGACGGCAGCTGCTATCTTGAATAAAGGCCAAGGGGGGGAAAACTGTTGCTGCCTTAGAGCTATTTCATTTCTTCAACTCTTGAGTAAAATTAGTGGAGGATAAGTGCAAAAAAATGTTGCTAAACAAAGTACGGTAACTTCATTTTCTAACTGCTTTTGATGCAGGTTTGTTTTTATAACAATCCACTATGCTGTTAAGGTATCATTTGAAGAACCCTTAGATTCCAATAGCCTAAAAGGAATACTCCTAATGGAAGAGGCAGGATTTGGGTTTTGCAGACACAATTACTTGTTTATGCAACCAGACAGGTAACAAATATGAAAACAAAAAGCCTTTCATTGTGACCTGACTAACCTGTAGCTTGTCAGTGGCAGCTATTTTGTTTTTTGTGTTTTTAAGATCCTAAATCTATCACCAACTAAAAAGCAAAAACAAATACCCTCTTGCAAAGTATTCAAGTTGATGGCTGCAATTTTGCATCAAAACAGTTGTTTGGGAATCTGTAGCTTTTATAATGAATATTCCTCCAGCTGTAGTAAAAACCTAGTTAGCAACTAATATCTAGCAAAAAATCCTCAATGAATTTAGAAACTTCTTTCTGCAATACAAAATTCTCAGTTATAAAATGTGAAATGTTTTTTGCTCCTCTTACTCAGCTTTTAAATTTCAGGAAGAACAGACCATGCTTCCAATGCTGTTCATTGCAGCTGCAGCAGTTTCTTGAACCGCCAGTACTGGGCCCCGACCCAACAGCTGAAGACCTATGCCAGGGGTAGTCAACCTTTTTATACCTACCGCCCACTAATGCATCTTTCTTGATGGTAAAATTTCCTTACTGCCCACCAGTGCTTGATGGAAGGAGAATTCAGCTTGTGCCATAGAACCCCCTACCACCCACCTAGAATCCTGAAACGCCCACTAGTGGTCAGTAGGGACCAGGTTGACAACCTCTGACCTATGCACTAGAGACATTTCCCCCCCTTTTTCCTCTAAAATACCAGAATCACCCCCATATACCTTGAGGCTCCTTTCAGTTGCAAAAGTGGTTTATCACACAGCACAAAGGCTGTAGGATGTCCAAAAATCCTTGAGGTGCACAGACCTAGCTTCAATTGTTCTTTAATCCTATACCTGAACTACTTATAGCCCAATTCTAAACTCATTTAACTAGACTTGTGAAAAATATGTTTACCTTGCTCCTGGAAGATTAAATGCAGAAGTCATCCAACCCTTCTACACTGGAGCACATGGGGGAGAATACATTCTTCTGTACAGCCAACATACTCTTGATTAACTATATGTAACCTTTTAGATCCCTCAGTACCATTTTGCGTTTCTGTTTCACTACCTTGTGTTCAACACCCTTAGCCAACACAGGGTGTGGCTGATAGAAGGTTCGGCTTTTATTTAACTGATGTGCCTTAAACTTATTTCTACCCAGGTCACTACCCAAGTGGTTCTTTTCCCTGTATAATCAGCCACTCTTGTAAGCTCTACCCACCCCACAAAATATTCCCTTCCCCATTCTTTCTGCTTTCAGGCTCCCAGTGCACCCTCTCCTTCAGCACTTAACTTCAGAAAACATGCAGAGAGTTTCTAGCTGTCCCTAATTTTGCACAAAGGTTAAAGTAAAATTAGATGTCAGGGGTCTTACAGGGGTAAAAGAAGCATTGCTGGACCAGGTGCTTTTAGCAGGATGGATAATAAAGAAAACTGAAGGCTGAGGAAAGGTAACAAATGGGCAGGCCAAGAAGCAAGAGGAACAAAGGAATAAATACAGACAGGCTAAGGTGAAGAGTGGGGGGGGTAGGGGGGTGAGTTACAGCCAAAGATCTCCAAGCATGGACTGTTGGCTGTTCCACACAGCAGCCTCATCCTGCTTCTTGTCAAATATAGGTCAGCTTTGCAAATAACCCAATTCCAGCAACTGTTGGGACCAATGGGAAGGAAAATATGAAGGAAACCACAGTGGACAGAAAGAAAAACTAAAGATACCCACCCACCTTTTGCATTGAGTGCAGCAGGCCTTGTGATTTCATGATTCCTCTGCCTTGGATTCTCCCACTCCTACCCACCCCTTTTGGACTGCTCGGTCCAACAGTGACCTTTGCTACTGAGGTGGTCTAGTCAGGAGAAACCTGCGGTTACAAGGGGTGACCACAAAGAGAAGGTTTGTTATGCTGCTACATTTTCCCGTATTTACTGCAGGTTTAACCAGCCTTAAGCTCTTGCTCCTGCCCTTTACAGTAAACAATGCTATCAATAAATAGGCAAAGTTAAGCTGCTACCAAGAATTTCATAAAGCATTATTGGCTTCATGAAAGGTTTTGACTGCAGAAAAGGATAGGCAGTCAATTGACTGGCAAGCATATATGGTAAAAAAAAGAGGGTGAAAATAGATTTCAATTAAACAAAATTACCTCTCAGTAGCTTGCTTGTTCACACATTTCCATGTCAACCATTTGTGGCCTAGAAGCTTTCCTGCCTAGATTCCCAGTAACAATTCGACTGCCATATGCAATCCAGGTGTGCAGTTATTTATAAATTTGGTCTGAACGTTGGCAAGGCATATGTGTGTGTGTGATTGCTGACATTAGTATTATCAGAGATGGAAAGTACAACATTTCAAGGACCTTAGCTGTTTGCGATGCTTTAAACCATACTCTGAAGGATTTAATCTAGAAAAGTGCTTTCAAGGTTATACCATTGCAAAGTACTAGCCACCTGCCTTAACAACGGAACTCATATATAATGACTGGAGGCACAGCAAACCAGTTTTTAAAATAAACACAAAGAACAAGTAGAAATGCTACTCTTGACCTGTAAAAACAAAAACCAGGATTTACCTGCCAATTTAAACAGCTGCTTAAAATATTCATGTAAGAAAAATACCGGGGGGGGGGGAGATTAACATGGTATCCAAGGTAAAATTTACACACTCTTGGAAAGTACTATACAAAGATGTGGGGTATTTTGATGCTATATTATAAGCTACCATGACAAGGAAACATAAAAAGCTAAATATATAAAGCTGAAGCAAATAGTCATTGACCTAGTAGGAATATCTATTGGGAAAAACGCTGCACTACACAAAACCAGACCTTCCCCTCAGTATGAACTGAATATGGAAATGACATTCTCAGCCTTCCAAATGAACTGTCAGTTTTAAAAAAGGACATTGTAGCCCTATTTGGGTTTTTTGTTCACACATATGTAAGCGCATGGAGAGGGATAGGAGAGCTGTGCCCACTGATCCTGCCTTCATTTCCCCATCACCACAAACAGGAGCAGAGAGTCTGTAAAGGGAAGAATGATGTGTTTACATTTCCCCCACAGCTGGGAACCTAAGTGATCATGCGCAGGGCACACTCCACTCCCAACCCTGATATTGCTCTTGCCTTGACTGCCCTGGAGGCAGGAAAGCACCTTTAACTCAAAGGGTAGTTTCCTGGACTGTGAAGGAAAGAGTTGCCAAGGATGATCAATGCAACGGAAGTGATGGTGACAGAGAATGGTGGGAAGCGTCTACCGGGGACATTCAATACAACCTGGTCCTAGAAATAATGAGACTTGTCATGGAAACAACTGTACATTTTCAGGCCTCATGCAGTCTTGTTGCCAGGTAATTCAGCCTGCAGCTACAATGAATAGCCACCTGGCATCTCTCAACCCCCATTGCAGTTTAATGCACCTTATTCTGTTGCTATGAAAAGGCACCTGAACATATAAGTTCAGAAGCAAGCAGCTTCCAAGTATAAAACATTGGCTATCCCTGCTTCTGAGTTACACCAAAGTTTTCAAAGGCCAATGAAACTACCTTAGTGACCAAGTCAGAAAAAGATCCTGAAGCTATTAGCATGAAAGTGAAATTATAACCCAACGTAACAGATATGGGGGTGAATCTTAAAACAAGTGAATGGAATAAATTTCACAGAAATTTCCCATGCACCAATCCCCAAAGTTACTCTGGAGGATTAGGTGGGGGGCTTCTAAATAATGTAGGATATAGCACACAGGCTGCTGGAAAGGGAAGAACAGCCCACAATCAGGCAGAGGCCTGCTCCTAATTTTGGACACACACACATCCTTCTCTGTGCTGTTCGTTAGGAATCCTCATCCTACAAAGAGGCTATCCATGGGAAAAGGTGTCTGAAGGAGTGAGGTGGGTGAGTACCTTTCATTTCCCCCCCCCTTCCATTCACTCCTTTTAGAATCCAAGCCATAGTAAATAGCCAAGGACACACTGGTTGTTCAGCAAGTTAGCTTCTTTTTCTTTTAAAATGAGCAAGTTAATTGTTTCATCTTAAAAATAAATAAATCCCTTACTTGGGATTGGACACCTTATTCAACTATACTGGACCCAACTTCTAGATATTATATAAGCAAAGTTTTAAAGTATGATACATCTAAAGGACATACACAGATTCAGTTCTTACAGAACCTAGTTGAACTTACTGCAAGTTAACCATGTGAAAAAAGAGAAAATGTGGAAAAATAGGGTTGTAATGTTTTCTCCAACAAAATTCGTTGTGCAATGAAGGGCAGTGATTCGTGGAGCAGCAATGATAACTTGCACTTGTTGAATTTTCACTCCAAAGGATTAACTTGCAAGGGTTTGAGATTTAATTAGCTACATTTGCACCCCATCCTTCTTCCAAAGAAGTCAGGGTGGCATACACAAGGTCAAACCATTTTATCACAACTGTGTAAGAAAGGTTAAGCAAGTTTCATGGCCACATAGGAATACAAAGCCAAGTCTCACCAGACTGAGTCCAACATTTATTCAGCATTCCACACTAGCAATTAGCAGCATATATTGCTTTTAGCATAGCCATCTGTTAGTTTTAAAATGGTAACCCACATCTAAAAACAAAATTGGTGACATCAGTCCTAATGAGCATTTGTTGGCTGGGGATGACGGGAGTAGTAGTCCAAATCATCTGAAAGGTACCAGGTTGATGAAGGCTGAAATACTTCTGCCTCCCCACCCCCTACCAGAATGAGGGACAGAGTCCTGTCTGGTCTGGCAATGTGGTATTCTAAAGGATATATGGGTCCACTGAGCGATCCAGTGTAATTTAATGCATTAAGCATTATCTAGATTCAGTGGAACTAAAATGTTAACTTCCAGCCTGATCATGCACCAAGTTTGGCAGAAGAATGCAATTATGAGCGGCTTTCTTGCTTTTATGCTGACACACAGGTATTTTCAACTTCTATTTTTGCATCATTTTTCACACATGATAAACTACTTGACTGGGATAATATTAAGTGTTCTTCAAATTTTCTTCAAGAGAAACAATTCTTGGGATCCTGGGCCCAATGAACATTAAAAACTCACATAACCATACCCATTCGTTCAGGTTGCTTTTGTCTGTAAGAGTCTTTATGTTTAAGAGCCAAACTTCATATTCAGAAACTTCATGTGGCTATACTCTTCCAAGGATGCTGCAAGTCAGCAATCACATGCTCAAATGTTTCCTGTCACATGCTTATATGTTTCCCATTGTTCTTATATATGCAATTGCTTTAACTGTTTTAATATTTGTGACTTCTTTTATATTATATTATATTGTATATTGCTTCTGCATGCTTCATTGGGAAGTGATTCATAAATTAATCAAATGAATAAATACGAAGCTGCATGTGGAAATCTTCCATTGATTTGCTAGTTTCTATGTTTAAAAGATTTTATCTGGTTAACACTGGAAAGCATTCAGTTATGTTATTTACCGTATTTTTTGCTCTATAGGACGCACTTTTCCCCCTCCAAAAACGAAGGGTCGGGCAGATATCCGCAAGCCTGGGAAGCCCGGTGGGAGTTCCCGCCAGGCTCCCAAGGCTTGCGGATAGCAGCCTCCAAACCCGACCTGGTTTGGAGGCTGGCGGTGGGGAAAGCAGCGCTTCTCCCCACCGCCAGCCCCACAAGCTCGGGGGACAGCGGGGAGGCGGAGCGCCGCCTTCCCGCTGTTCCCTGAACTGGTTTGGAGGGTGGTGGTGGGGAGAAGCGCTGCTTTACCCACCGCCACCCCCACAAGCAGGGGGACAGTGGGGAGGCAGAGCGCCACCTTCCCGCTGTCCCCCGACCTGGTCTTTGGGGCTGGCGGTGGGGGAAAGCAGCGCTCCCCCCCGCCAGCCCCAAAGAGCAGGTCAAAAGGAATCCAAAGCCTCCGGAGCCCAGCGGGAACTCCCGCTGGGCTCCGGAGGCTTCAGGTGAACGCACCTTGAATGCACAGAACACACCTTGACTTAGAGGGGGAGAACAATAAAAAATTTTTTTTTCCTGTTCTCCCCCTCCTATGGTCCGGTGCATCCTATGGTCCGGTGCGTCCAATAGAGCAAAAAATACGGTACATCATCTGCTTTTGAAGTTGTTTAGACCAGGGAATATACACCATTTTTGAACTGCATGGAGGAAAGAGACAACATATGTTGTGAACTGCCCTGAGATCTATGGGTATACAAATTTAATAAATAAATATATGTACATTTGACAAATAAAATTAGCATTCTTAGTAGAACAAAATATTCATTAAGCTGCTCTCTTCGGTATACAGCACAATTTATGTACTGAATGATTTACAACTTTATTTTGGTTTGTTCTTCCAACAACTCTCTATTTCCATTTTCCACTTGTGGAACCATTATGATGAACAATATTTTTTCAGATAGAAAACTGATGCTGGTGGCATGCCTAGAACCAGATAGTGACTGAAGAGGGCTTAAACAAATGCCTCCTTGACACCCTAGTATATTAAAGTGCTGGGATCTATGAAATGGGCTAGGAAAGAACTTGAGCACCAGTGGAGAAAGACCCAAGCAAAAAAAATGACTGCATATCCCAGGGAGTCTATATCCAGGCCTATGAAGTGGCAGTGATGGGTAGTTTGCTACCTTGTGACAACAGAACCTTTCCAGCTGGTGAATGAGTTGTCTGCCTGGAAGGCAAACTATCATTTATTTGTATATTTGTGACCCGCACTTTCGCAACAAATATCAAGGCAGCTTACAACATAAATACAATGAAATCAATAAATAACTACAGTATCTGCAAAACGTAATTAGAAACATCAACAAAACCACAATACTCATTGTTTAGTTTGATTCTTTGTTGATAAAAAGTTGCTCAAATACAGTCTGGCATGAATGCCACACTTCCTGTGAGTCTACTTCAGAGATGTCAGAAATTCTCACTTGGATTAGTTTGAAAGGGTTTCCCTAAAGTTTGTTGTCAGAGCCATTTCCTGAAAGTTTTGCATGGACTTGTCAAACTCAGGTGAAAACCCTGTTCGGCTATGAAGGTCACAGGATGACTTTGGACAAGTCCTCATCTCACAGTGCCCTTGGAGACTAGGTGGGATATACAATGTGAAGCAATGCATGGAGAACACTGGCAACATGTAAAATACATACAGAGAAGTATGGCTTAGGGAAGGTAGGGTCCTGACAGACTCCAACTACAAAGCTGCTGCTGAAGGGGTCAGAGATTATCTTGCTCTTAAGCCCAAAGAGACTTCCTGCTCAGGATGCCTAGAAACTACCGGGGTGGTGGTGTGTTTGGGGGTTTCTGTTGGGTTGAGAGTTTATTTTGGAGAAGCATTTTTACTGATACTGCAACTGTTTTTGTATTTTTCTTGTCAATACTTTATGATGAATTAGGTAGGGATTGTCTGATTTTATTGCATATTTAATGATGTTTTCATATCGATATTGTAAGCACGGTTTAACTATGGAAAGACAGCATACAATGATGATGAGGTCTAAATAAGCCCCCAGGGAGCTTTCCATCCACCTGTTCTCCCTGTCCTCCTGTTAACCTGCCACTATTTCTAGGACAGGAGTGCAATACAGTTGCCATCATGATCCTAAACATTTCAGATGGTGCAAGTTATAAGCTATAATTCATGATTTCTGCTTTCAGATGATCATATATTGAATACTTAATGGGTCAAGCTACAAATGAGCCTTTCCCCTATGCATGCAGCCCCACCACTCCTTGCAATCAAACCAGTAAGTCTCCAATTAACCATCATTTCCTGTATCATCCAAACCATGAATCTATGGTTACAAACTAGGATATTAAAACAACTTCAAACCATGGTTTAACATACTGGCTTGTTCCGCAGCTGATAACCATAGTTTCCTGGTTTGGATAAGACTGGAAACTTCCCCATTCATAGGAGCCAACTCCTAGGGGGCAAGGTCCCTTTGCACCACCAAATAATATATTTGAGGGGGCTGGTTCCCCTCCCCCAAAGTTGATAGGCATTGCCATTCAAATGGTGTGCATGTACCACATATTGTGATCAATTATGTGGGGTGCTGCTTACATGCCCCCCAATATGTTATTCAAGTTGGCACCCCCTCCTGATTTGTCTGCTGAATCAGCCGGGAAAGAAGCAAAGGGGCTGCACGCATGTGTGGGCAAAAGGCTCATTCATATTCCAGTTTACGAAGCTGAGACATGACCACCCCAACACAGCCTTTATCACTGGATAATGCAATCTCTAAAACACAGATCAAGACCATACAATTCAGGGCTTGTGCAGTGCCTAGCAGGCACCCAAAGTACCAGTCCTCGGAGCCAACTCTCAGGGGCCGGGGTCCCTTTGCCCCCCCAAAAAACATTTGAGGGGGCTTAGCGCCCACCCCAAGTTAATGGACGTTGCCATTCAAATAGTGGGTGGGTGCTGCATCTTGTGATTATGTGGGACCGGGCTTATGTGCCGCCACCCCCCAATATTTCATTCAAGTTGGCCCCTCTGGTACCAGTGCTGTAGATTTAATCAGTGCTTTTTTTTCCTTTAAAAAAAATGTTTAGGGGTCCTCTCATTTTCCTACTCATATTGAAATATTGCCCCTCAATGAGGCCAAACTTAGATTCACAAAATGTTTAGGGGTATGCATACCCCCAGGAAAAAAAGCACTGGGTTTAATAATAATAATACCCATTATTATTCCTTATCCGCTTGAATGGTAACACTGTGCTGCTGACCTCAAAAAGTGTCAGTAGCAGCTTCTCTGGCCTGCGAACAGCAGGCGCCCAAGTTAACGACTGAAAGCAAATAATGCAGCAAATTACGAAAGAAAAAAAAGAAAAAGACCAAACCGGGGAGGAGGAAGCAAATGCACCTGCTGGTTGTCATATCTGCTAAAAGGATGAGAAGGGAGGGCGGGGGATACCGAGCAAGCGAAGGGTGAGGCGTTGGGGGGTGGGGGGGGAGAGATGCCATTTTGGAACCGGGGGAATTGTGGTTACCCAGGCGAAGCGATTGGGGAGGGGGTTTGAATCCTGACCCCCCCCATTGCAGCTCCCTTCTCCCTCTGCCAGGGACGCGCCCCACCCTCGCACCCCGACCCACCTCCTGCTTCCAGGCATCCCCGAGCTATTCGCCTCTCCTCCTCCTCCTCCTCCGTGAGAGACACGCCGCCTGCCGCCTGCCGAGGTGGTTGGTGCTCCCTGCCCGGCATGCGCGGCTCCGCCCTGCGGCGGCGGCTACCGCTGCCTCAGGAGGAAGAACCTGCTTTTCCAGCTGGGCCGAAGCGGCGCTCCTTCCCCACTTACCTTGCCCGCGGCTCTGAGGGAAGAGGGCGGAGGGCGGCTGCGTGCGTCGCCCCCCCCCCCAACTCCCTCGAAGGGCTCCGCGGCCTCGCGCCCCTCCTCACAGGGGGAGTCTCATGGCGGCCGCTGCCTGGCCAGGGACTCCCCTCCCCTTTCCTCCGCCCGAGAATGGTTTGCTTTTGTTTTTACCTCACGTCGCCCGCGGCCGCCGTGGCTCCAGGTGTTCCAGCGCCGCCAGCGTCACAATGTTCCTCCGCCCGGGAAGGGAACGGCCCCGAGCAGGGGAGGAGCTTTGGCCGCCACCGCCGCTGCCGTTGTTACCTCCGCCTGCCCCCCAGTCCCGACCGCCCGGTTCCCCTCCTTTGCCTCAGGCGGGCGAAAGACCCGGGCGGCCTGACGGGCTTGTTTGTTCTTCGGGGCCCGGAGGCGCCTGGCGCGGCTGTGGCTTCCTGCGATTGTTCTCCCTATCTCGCCACCAAAGCGCCGAGACGGCACTGCAGCTTGGAAGTGTTCCCGCTGCTGCCTCCCGCCTCTCCCAACAAATAAAATAGGGCCCCTGTGCTTTTTTTTTTTTTTTTTGGACATTCAACAGGTGAAGCTCGTCCCACTTCACCTGATGGAATTTGTTGCAGACCCTCCAACAAGGGCGTCCTATTCCATGATGATGATATATATTGCCTCAGACACTGGGCGGCTTCCAACATACAGCTGTACCTTTAATACGTTCTGGAAGTCTGTTCCAAAACCAAAGCGTTCCAAAACCAAGGTGCGCTTTCCCATAGAAAGGAATGCAAAAAGGATTAATCCGTTCCAGACGTTTAAAAACAACCCCCCAAACAGCAATTTAACATGAATTTTACTATCTAACGAGACCACTGATCCATAAAATGAAAGCAATAAACATTGTACTGTCCTCACATAATCAATCAATCAGTAGCTGAACTGGGTTCCACACAGTCACAAAAACAAAACAAAGAAGCCACAAAAACAAAAATGCAAAATAAATAGCAAAAACAGACAGACCTCAGCGTAACACTCAAAATGGAAGTGTGGCACTCAAATTGGAAGCGTAACACTCAAAACGGAGCATGTTCGGTTTCCCCCCAAAAAGTTCGCAAACTAGAACACTTACTTCCAGGTTTGCAGTGTTTGGGTTCCAAGTTGTTTGAGTACCAAGGCATTTGAGAACCAAGGTACCACTGTATCTAAAAACATAAGTTGAGAGAATATGCACAACTCGCAGACTTAGCATATAGAATAAGAACAAGAAGAACGTAATGTTTAAAGAAGATTGGTAAAACGTTTTATTGAATATATGGGAAATAATTGTATGCATCTGAAAACGCTGGCAGCATTAAGATAAATTCAACAGTGTAAACAAGTTTAGATGGATGCAATAATGGAAGACTGAATAGTATAGTTTTTTTGTAAAATGTGCAGGGATGATATGTAAAATGAACCATGGAAAGAGAAGAAGGGAAGTCATTGATATCTTAAGGATGCAAAACAAGTATTTTAAATTGTAAAACAGAAAATTTAATAAAAATTATATAAGAAAAACATAAAGCATTTTTTAAAAAACCTTCCCTATCCAGGGCTTCCTTCAGATGGCTCAGATAAGTCCATACCCTCCAATGGAAATAGGGAAGGAAAAGCGGGACATTTTGGGGTCAAAACAGAAATCAGGATGGCTTCTGCAAATCCGGGACTGTCCCTGGAAATTAGGGATACTGGGAGAGTCCGTTGCAGGAGAAAAAGCGTAGTAACCCTCTTCCCGCTTTATTTATACATCTATATACCACCTTTAATCCTCTTAAGGGTCTCAAGGTGGTGTGTGCATGGTTATCTCCTCCCCATTCATCCTCACAACTTCCCTATGAAACACGTTAGGCTAAGACATAGTGACTGGCCCAAGGTGAGCTTCATTGTGGCCAGGGGGTGCCAACTTGAATAAAAGGGGAGGTAAGCCCTGCCTTGCATAATTGATCACATCACGCGGTGCACACACACCATTTGAATGGTGTTGCCCATCAATTTTAGGAGGTCCAATATTTTATTGGGGGGCCGAAGGGCCCTCAGGAGTTGGCTCCTATTGTTCATGGCTGAGTAGGGATTCCAACAGCTTCCCTATGCAAGAAACAGATTTGAAACATTGGTGTATTTAGATATGTGCCTAGAGACCAATCTTTTCCAAACATGGCGCCCTCTGGATGTTTCATACTATGACTCCCTTGAGCCCCAGTCAGCGTGGCCAATGGTGTGGTGGGAGTTGTAGTCCAACATTTCTGGGTGCCAGGCTGGCCTAACCTCTCCTCTGATTTACACTCATTCTAATTAGCAGGCACTGCAGAATAGTTGTTTTCTGGGCGGCACCCAAAAATAGCAAAAAACAGTTTACACTCGCATATTGGAAGGAAGGATGTGGGGGATATAAATTTAATAAATAAATAAATATATCCTGCCATTGGTTTGTCTCTGGGTAGCATGATCCATCTGGAAAAGAAAAGAGAAGAGAAGAGAAGAGAAGAGAAGAGAAGAGAAGAGAAGAACCTATAGAGAATATAAGATGGTTTACAGTGGGGGCTGCTCCATTAGGTATATGGGGCACTATCCAACCATCCTCATATTGCCCTCAGCTAGCCCTCACCTGCCTGCCTGCCTATGTACAACCAGTCTAGAGAATGGCACTGCGTGTCGGTTTCCTGCTCAGACTCAGCTTACCCTTTGTAAAACTTAACAGGAAAGCTGAGGTCAAAACTATAACTGGCACTTCCAATGAACACGAACCACCGCTGTCTCATTTCATTTATTTGTATGCCGCGTTGCCACACACCCAAAATTATGCTCAAGGCAACTTGCACAAAGAAAGCAATATATATCTAAACAAAATGGTACAAAAAGTTTCCTAATAACATAGCCAAGCAACACAATAGCAAACATAATAACTTACAAAAAACAACATTTCAGAAGTATAAATATAACATGATTACATAAACAACATCCAGGATCCAATAACAAAAATAACAAGGGAACTTTGCAGTTTCTGCTTGGTCCTAGAAACACCCCTCTCATGATGTTGCTCTCAATCCTTCTCCTGTAGCAACTGTCTGTTTAACTCCCCACTCCACTTTACTTCTAAAGATCACAAAAACTCAACTACACAAGCAGCAGCACTGAGCATGTAACATCTTTTGATTCTTGTTTTGAATGCCTAAGTTTCAAATAACAATTATGTGTAACTGAACAGCAGCTGGTCCAATAAGTATGTGTAGGTTTTTGGCATTAGAATCACAAACCTAAGTTCTCCTCTTAAAAAAAGTGAAAGTTTGAAGATGGACGTTAACAGTTCAAGAGGTAAAATATAATTATGAATATGTTACTTTTAAAAAAAAAATCCAACATCACTTCTCTGCTATCTCTGCCCATGTCCAGAATTTTCAGTTATAAATGTCTGTTGTTATATGTTGCAATTGTACTGTTTTGCAATTGTACTGCAGATGGCTCATGGAATGTGAATGCTATCGTTTTAAGAACAGTTTCCTTTTGTTCCTGCTGGGGTTTAGTATAGTGGTTTACTTTTGCAATATTCTCATTATTTCAACTTCCACTCTCTTCCATATCTTTATATAGTGCACTGTAGTGCACGCTGTTCACCTTCCATTTAATTTTCTGTCACTGATAGCCTTATTCATTTGCCAATATTTTGGTATGCAATGTAGATGCAGACAACAAAGGAACCGTGGGCTGCTTTTAATTTGAATAGCAAGAATGAAACATCTGGAGTGAAAATCTAGTGGATATTCTGTGGAAATCTAACTTACACAAGATAGGAATATTCCTTTCTTTCACTGAAATGGAACAACATAGTGGGAGGATAAGACATCGTGAGTTCTCACTTTAAAAGAACAAAATCTGCCGTTTATGCATCCACTTGAAGTGTTAATTTGTTCATGCATTTATTACATAAATAAAATTTAAACTTATTTTCATCCTTGATTTCATTAAGCAGCACAACTGCTTTGATTAGTCATAATTCAAAATGAACTTTATAAATCTATTCCTAATGCAGGAGAGATTTTGTTCACATTAAGGATACTCAGTTTAAATGCACTTTATGATTGTCACACTACTTATGATTATATTACTCAAACTGTTGTGTACAGGCATTCATCATTTGCAGGGTGAGAAACAATCACATTTATATGTTACTGTTCTTCCAAGGACCTTAGAGTGGCACCTATGAGATTATTTCATTCTTTTGTCATAATAACCCTGAGTTCTACTACTCACTCACTCTCTCTCTCCCTCTCTCTCTCTCTCTCTCTCAAGCAATTAATAACAATTGTAATATTACCTCAGGGAACAATGTGAATGAGCCTGCACATACCTCAAGCTCATACTTTGCCTTCTTTTTTTGCACCACAAAAGTCTAAATTCAAGGAACTGTGGTTTGTTTGAATTATGACTAATGATAACAATCCAGGATCAAAAGCATGTTTTCAGATCTTGACTTGTTCCAAAACTGATAGTGAATACAAACCACAGTTTACTGGGCTTGGAGGTCACATGGAAGAGCAGTTAACTTAAAAGTGAACTCCTTCCACATAGTGGGAAATGATAGCTTTCCACAAAATCTGAACATATACATATACACATACATATGTACCTTGGTTCTCAAACTTTTTTTTTCTAAAAAAATAATTTTTATTAACCGGCCAATCAAATCAAATTAAATCACATCACATAAATTCCGAATTACAAAGCCGAATTTTAAATTTTGTTGGGGGGACCCATATTTCAAGATCCGAAGGGGGATTCTGATCATCTTCTTGCTACTGCGTTAATATCCAAATCAGTCCAAATCAGTCCAAACAGAGTTCATAATTCTATCCAGTCTTATCTTGCTGTTTCCACATCACATCTTGTTTATATATTTTCTCTTTTTTCTTTATGATCTCTTCTGATAGTCTCCTTAAGCCGATAAACACCAATAATAATAATAATCCTGTGTGAATTTTCCGTTCTTCCATTCCTCAAATCAAGATGGTTTCCATATATCATCGCCTTCATAGATAACATCGCTCTTTCCATCTCGCCAAACTGTCGCTCTTAAGTCCCTCTGAGGAGTTTCACCCACAATATATAAACAGCTCTATTTCTCTCTTTCTCCTCCCAGACTCAAGACCTCCGACAGAACTTCCCAATATGGCGACGGCATTTTTAACTGCGTCATTCCCAAGCTCTTATACATTCCTCGCTCTTCTTAAAACATGCTTTGGTTCGAAAGTTTATCTCCACACAGCCTTAAATCCACAGCTTAAGTCCTTAAAACGACATTTCTGACTCGTGACTCGTGAGGGGAGGGGATTCTTGTTAATCACATAAGAAAAGAAAGGAAAGTTTTTTTCCCCTCCCCCATCAGTCATTTGCCATACCGTGTCTTGGCGTATCTTCTCATGTTTATTCTTGTCTTGTTTTATCAGAGATCTCTTCTATAGCAGTCTTTACTCCCGTCCTTCCTTGAAATATGTGCATTCCTTCATCCAAATTGTTTTCTTTTGAAGTTCTAGCAGCTAGTGGGATGGCGTCCAGGAGTGCCAGAATCCCACAGGAGGGCTTTGTGCCTAGTGCCCCCATCCCCACAAGTTTGGGGGTGGTATAGGGCACAGCAGGCAAAGGCAGTCCCCCCCCCCGTCCTGGGGGAGTTAGGGAGGCTAATTACTCCCATCATAGCCTCCAAATTACCTCGTGTGGGTCAGAGAGATGTTATTGTCAGCCATCTTCCGATGCGCCCCCTAGTGGCCCCCACCTTGGTTCTCAAACTTAATCCGTTCTGGAAGTCTGTTCCAAAACCAAAGCCTTCCAAGACCAAGGCGCGCTTTCCCATAGAAAGTAATGCAAAATGGATTAACCTGTTCCAGACATTTAAAAACAACCCCTAAAACAGCAATTTAACATGAATTTTACTATCTAACAAGACCATTGAGCCATAAAATGAAAGCAATAAACAATGTACTGCAGTCACACACCCAATCAATCAATCAATCAATCAGTAGCTGAACTGGGTTCCACACAGTCACAAAACCAAACCAAAAAGAGCCATAAAAACAAAAATGCAAAATAAATAGCAACAACAGGCAGACCTTAGCGTAACACTCAAAGCGGTAGCGTAACACTCAAAACAGAAGCGTGGCACTCAAAATGGAAGGTAGCACTCAAAACAGAAGTGTGGCAGTCAAATCGGAAGTGTGGCACTCAAAACAGAGCACGCTCGGCTTCCGAAAAAAGTTCACAAACCAGAACACTTACTTCCGGGTTTTCAGTGTTTGGGTTCCAAGTTGTCTGAGTACCAAGACGTTTGAGAACCAAGGTACCACTGTATACAATCTCAGTACATTACCATTCAGTACAGCCATGTAATTTTTCTAATTCCCCAGTATTGAACAAATTGATTAAGCATTTTAAATTTCTTTAAAGTGTTTTTTCTACTATCCCTAAAATGAGTAAGTTACATTAATTTCAAACAGCTAATGACAGACTTTATTTTCCCACAATTTATTTAGAGTTGCTCTCCACTGCTACACTGAATTATCAGGCCCCTTTCTGCTATCAACAGACGGAATGTCAACTCAGTTTCTTCAATGCTGTCTGGTTTTTGTAAATATCCCAGAACTATCTATCTAACTGGCTTGCTCAGGTTCTGAAATGCAGAGAATTTAAAAGAAGCCCTGATTAGGAAACAAGATGGCAAGAAAAACATCTGTGTAGGTATCAGGGCTGCAGTTGGATTGAAGAAAACGTGGCAACAAACTAATAAGGATATTCTTTTGGAATTCACTGAATCACAAATGGACATTGATGATGCTGAGTCCTATTAACTTTAGGGCCCTTTGCTGGTGTAAACAGGTGTACTGATGTAAAACTAAGAATAAACTATAGAATTTCTGAGCTGGTAACTTGGCTAGTGAATGAGCGCAAGCCAGTTAAAATTAGGTGCACTTAAAGATCATTGAAATAAATGGGGTGTGAGTGCTTAATGGTGCACAAGTCAACCATTCTCACCCAGGCATATATAATATTTTCTGGATGGTGTTCAATGACTCCAAGGTCTTTTCCCGTAAAATATATTTCACCTATCATCTCTATAATTGACATCAACTGCACCTCCTGCCATTTCTCAGTAGAGCCGTCCTAAGAGGTTTTTCCTCTTTTGAAGAGATTTGCCAACAATTTTTGTTCACTGTCAAGGCTTCTAGGTAAAATGACCTAGTTCTGTGGGGAAATTACAAGGTGTGTTTGAAAGTATATAATGAATGTACTTGGAATCCTTCAGCACCTTCCCAGATTGGTTTTAAAAATGCCATACTACCTTTTTTTTGGTTTTGCATGTCTGGGAAATAAAGTTCAGACTCAGTAACTCTTTCCCTTCCCAACTTCTCACTGCCTTTTATTTGAACTAATTGCCTACAGTACCTTATAATGTTACAAAGATAAACAAGAAGTAGGACAGGAGATCGAAGAAGATACTGATCACTGGAGTATAGTAAACCAGTAAGCTTCCAGATAGTCTACTGGATGTGCTTAGTGGTAAAAAAAGGATGAAGCAGAAGTTTTCCCCCGACAAAAGATGCATTAGAAGTTTGGTTTAAACATTCTAAAGAAAAATAAAAATATTCCACATAGGTTGTCCCTGTAGATGGAGAAAGGAAGTAATGTCTGACAATCACTCTTGCAGTATGCGCCCAGGTATTGGTCTGTGGTAGCATGGTGGTCCATTCTTTACCAACAGGCTCAAACAAATCACTACCAACCAGTGGGGCCCATCACAGCATAGTCACACAGAGTCAGAAGTTACTTTGCACGTATGGTCACATCTGTAGAGATGCTTCATGATTTTGGAGAGCTTGTAGGGGGTGATAGAAGAAGGAACTTAGAATTACAGTGTAGACTACGACTGGGGAGCCATTGTTTCTGAAGATGTTGTTGGACTCCCATGATCCCCCACCATTAGCCATGTTTGCTGAGGCTGATGGGAGTCCGGCAACATCTGGAGGGCCGCAGGTTCCTTGGTCCCAGACCGGTGCAAATGCAGTGTCAAATCCAGGAATCGGGTACCTTTATCAGCTAAAGAGGGGACATGGGCTGGGGAGGGTCCCAAGGGCCAGATAGGACCGAATCCAAGCCCTGGGCCTGAGGTTCCTCACCCCGAGGCTAACTCATGCAGGAAGATGCTCTGTTCTCTTTCACATGTTCCATAGTAAGAAGGTGGTCCCTTTGGTTCTTGGGGAACCTATGCCAGAAATTCCAGACAAGGAAGCCATGCAATATAAATGTTTTCTAGTACAGTGGTACCTCGGGTTACATACACTTCAGGTTACATATGCTTTAGGTTACAGACTCTGCTAAGCCAGAAATAGTACCTCGGGTTAAGAACTTTTCTTCAGGATGAGAACAGAAATCGTGCTCTGGCAGCACAGCAGCAGCAGGAGGCCCCATTAGCTAAAGTGGTGCTTCAGGTTAAGAACAGACCTCCGGAATGAATAGGTACCACTGTATAATGCTTTTAAACCTTTATAGAGTTACACACTTCTTTTAAACACCTTCTTACACACACACACACACACACACACACACACACACACAGAGCCACTGAATATTATCAGCTGGCTCCCATACTCTTCATGCTGCTTGTTCCCAGTCCATCTGTCTCTTATACCACTCATGCCACTTCTGTCTTTCCTCCTATATATTTCCGTCTACTGTATCTCCTTCTGAGACCACTATGTGCACAGCAGACAGGAACTTAGAAGGACTCCATTCTCTCTCTCCCGCTCCCTGCTTTCAGCAACCTTCTGGAGGTTATGGTAGTAGCATAGCGAGGTCTCTTTAACGAAAGTCTGAGGGAATGCATGGGCTACAAAGAGGGTGTGTATCTCTTGCTGTTCCCGCCATAGCTAAGGACCAGGCCTGATGTCAGGTGGGCATGGCTTGGCCAAAACAACCTGGTTGGCCAAATGGAGAGTCCTGGCAGGCCTCATCAGGACCATGGGTTGGAGGTTCCACACCCTTGGTTTACAGAGATGTGCTGATCTTTTTCCTAACCCCCACCACCATGAAAATGATTCTGAAAATTAGTCCTAAGACACATAGAGAGAAAGTGAGCGGCTGCAACTTCAATGGTTAAAGTTCAGCCCTTGGTTTGGCAGTAGATCAGCCAGCTAAGAGCACAATCTACCTGAAAATTGTGGTGTTCTAATTTTCTTTCCTATTTTGCACTGGATATTGTGCTGAAAAGTTTTGTTAGTGAGGTGAAGTTTTAACTGGTAGGGCTGCAAGTTAAAGATACACACTCCCTGTTTTTGAGACTGTTTTGTTTCTGGTACACAGTAGGAGAAAGTGAAAAATAAAACATTAAAATGGCTTTTCTCTCTGACTATGAGGGGAAATGTTTGTTTATTAAATTGTAATTTGCTTTTCCTTTCAATGGCTGCAATATTGATCTATTTTTGGTAATATGCACATTAATTTTTTGAATTGGTCAGAAGGCTCATGGTTAAGCCACTCAAAATGGTAAGTTGTCACCGTAAAATAGGATATTAAGGTCTTTTTGTGTCATCTGCAGAAGATTCTCTTTTACTTCTGTCTCTCTGTAGTAACTTACTTGGGTTGCCAGGTCGCTTCTCCTGACAGCTGTACCCGTTGTCCTGTTGTGAAACAGCACTTGTTTAAAGAAGAAAAACTGTATTTTGTCTGCTGAGAGCTACCAATTGCTGCGGAAAATAGTCTTTCCAACTCCATCTCTAGGTACAAGTGTCACTCATTATCTCATGCACCTTTGCTGAATTGAGAAAAAGTGGCTGCAATTCTGATTTGGGAAAAGTGGCAGCAATGTGAGTCCAACAAAACTGCTATTTTTCAAAGTGCGGATCAATCGCTTATACAACACTAAGGACAATTTCTCTCTTTTTCAGGGCAGAGATCATCTGGCTCAGAAGATAACCTGCACTCTAATGTGTAATAAGGACTGTTTCCTGGACCATGTAAAATAGTTATTATTTTCTCCTCTGAAGACTTATGGCTTAGATTTTCTGGTTCTCTCTCAATAGGCAGTTGACCTACTCTATCTGGGTTTCAGAAGAGCCGTTGATATGATATACTCTGCAGAACACCACATCATACAGAGTATTTCTGCCAGTGTTAAACTTTATAGGAAACCATTAAAGGAGAGGTGGGAACTGCAAGCCCAGGGACCAAATGCAGCTCTCTGGATTTCTCTATCAGGCCTTCGAGACTCCATCCGGGCCACGCCTATCCTCTCACAAGGCCATGCCACTCACCTGCCCTGCTCCACACCTCCTTGAGTGCTTTTGCCTGACTGGAATGTGTTTTAAACTGTGACTCTTGCTTCCTGGGTTGCAACACTGTGGCTGTGTTCACAAGACAGTTTATTCTGTTTTCCTGAGGTTTCCCTAACTGTTGATTTCTGCATTTATACTTGATGTATACTGCTATTTGGGACGCAGGTGGCGCTGTGGGTTAAACCACAGAGCCTAGGGCTTGCCGATCAGAAGGTCGGCGGTTTAAATCCCTGTGATGGGGTGAGCTTCCATTGCTCGGTCCCTGCTCCTGCCAACCTAGCAGTTTGAAAGCATGTCAAAGTGCAAGTAGATAAATAGGTACTGCTCCGACGGCAAGGTAAACGGCATTTCCGTGCGCTGCTCTGGTTCGCCAGAAGCAGCTTAGTCATGCTGGTCACATGACCCGGAAGCTGTATGCCAGCTCCCTCAGCCAATAAAGTGAGATGAGCGCCGCAACCCCAGAGTTGGCCACGACTGGACCTAATGGTCAGGGTTCCCTTTACCCTTTACCTTTATACTGCATTTTACATGATGTAAAAGCCATTTCTGGAAATATAGCAGAACACAGGGCAAGTTCAGTGCTCATTTCTGTGTCATTTGCACTCTCCTCCTCTGGAAGTCTGTCTAAGGTAAAGGACCCCTGGACTGTTAAGTCCAGTCAAAGGTGACCGTGGGGTTGTGGCTCTCATCTCGCTTTCAGGCCAAGGGAGCCGGCGTTTGTCCACAGACAGTTTTTCGGGTCATGGGCCAGCTTGACTAAACTGCTACCGGTGCACAGAGGACTGTGATGAATGCTAGAGTGCACGGAAACACAATTTACCTTCCTGCCGCAGTGGTACCTATTTATCTACTTGCACGGGCGTGCTTTCAAACTGCTAGGTTGGCAGGAGCTGGGACAGAGCAACAGGAGCTCACCCCGTCGTGGGGATTCGAACCGCTGACCTTCTGATCAGCAAGCCCAAGATGCTCAGTGGTTTAGACCACAGCACCACTATAGCTCAATTGAGCAGCACATACCTTGTATGCAGAGGGTTTGAGGCAAAATCCCCAGGTAGGGCTGGAAAAAAATCCTTACTGGAAAACATGGAGAGCAGCTGCCTGTCAGCATAGGCAAAATTGAGAGAAATGAGCCAATGGTATGTTTTAGCACACAGCAGCTTTCTGCCACTCATGCCCTCAACTTGCCTCAGTTTCCCCTCTTGCATAATCTTGTCTGCCAGCATAACATTGCTCTCTGCAGGCAAAAGGGGGTTCAAGAAGAGCTATCCTATCTAGCACAGCAGAATTAACTTGAGGATAGGCTGACTCGGTTAAATTATTAGATCTTGTTATATAATGCCTCTCTGTAATTATAACTGCTACCCTGTTTGTGATTACAGAGGACTTACATTACAGCCTCTTCCTCCTGCTTCTAAATAATCCTCATCTTTCCATCTTTGGTGTTTTCAATTAAGACTTAATGCATTGAAGCTATATTTCCCCTTCCCTTCATGGTATTCATTAGAGGACCTTATATTTTCCAAACTCCACTCCGCTGAAAATAATTACATTAGATCAATATAGGGATGCCCAGTGGATTGTATTACACAGCTCATCGGAAAGTACTGCAAATATATATATTTACCCCCATAAGGTCTGCATTAACCAGCTCAGTGACCAGAAGTGGGTTGATGATCTAAGGCTTTTATTTTTAGTGCCTGAAACTTCCACTGAAGGCACCTTGAAGGGAAAGAGCTGCTGGGGGACCGTTCTGCAGCAGTTAAGTGGTCTTTCAATTTTGCTTCCTGAAAGAAGATGTCAGTTGTGTTATTGCTATCACAGTTTTTCCAGAGAACTTGGTTGCAACCAGGGTTGCTGAGCTATAAGATCTCGGGCCCATATTCTCACAAGCAGGTATTAACTGAACATCCTACAGCAGCACTGATAATGTCTGGTGAGTGTGTGAAGGCAATATGTCATGAGCAGGGAACCTATGGCCCATAGGACATTCTTAGATTCCAACTCCCATCAGTCCCAGGCAGCAAGGGGCAATGGTCAAGGATGAGGGGAGTTGTAGTCCCAGAGGATCTGGAAGCACGCAGTTACCACATTTCTGCTTTCGCCCAGTTGGCTCCCTTCCCTAGGTCAGCTTTTCAGGTTTGAATGCTCAGAAAAATCTATCAAAGTTTTTCAACAGATTGATTGATCCAGTTCGGGCAAGCGAATGGATACTTTGCCCGCAGAAAGATGGTGTTTTCCTGATTGTACATTGTACCCAACAGCACTGTTGTCCCAATGCCTCTTTCAGTCTTAAAGATTAAGACCAAGGATGGAGAACCATTTGTGGCCCTCCTGATGTTCTCAGACTCCAGTTCCCATCAGCTCCAGCCATCATGGCCAGGGATTATGGGAGCTGAAGCTCAAGAGCATCGAATGTAAGAGACTTTGAGTTTGATAGGTCTGACTAGTAACTGTGGTTAAAGTTACACCATAAATTCGGCTCCTTTTCACTGTGTTTCATTGTCCAAGGGTTTAACCTCAAAGCCAGCAAAATTCTGTTTGTATGCAGCAATAGTGACACCTGGCGGCTGTTTGCATTCACCACAATTGTTTTGCAATACACAACCTCTGTAATAGGATTGTACAAAAGACTTAACCAGATTACGGTTCTTGTACAGAGCACAGCACATTTTCATGTTGTTGTTGTTTTTTTAAAGAGAGCACACTCCTCTCTCAACAGCAAGATTACTCCCTCCCGTCTAGGGATGTGGAATTTTTTTTTTTTTTAATTCAGTTCATATTTAAAGACATATCTACCTAATTCCTGATGAGTGGAGGATCCAATCCTGCTTGCGTCTGCTTCTGCAGAGCATTCTTTGTGGCAAACATGGTGTGGAAGCAGACCCCTGCAGCCAGCAGGATTTCACCCTCCACTCACGAGTAGGTTTAATCCTACTCAGTTTGACTGTGTGTGTGTTTTCCCTGGCTGGGAACAGGCACATCCAGCCAGCGCTCACAATGCATCATGGTTTTTGTTGTCTAAAGGTTGCATTAGTGCTTAGTCATCATCACCCCACCTCTTTGCTTAGCATCATATTTGGGGATTGTCATCCTCAGGCAACTGTCAAGGTCCCGGCATTCCCAGAGGGCTCTCTGCCACCATCTCTGGACCCAACACTTCTGACCAGTAGTGTCTGAGGGGGCCCTGGACAAGAGGTGCTGAGTTGAAGTCATGGTTTCAAATACAAGCTGAGTTAAATGCATATCTGATGGATTTAATTCTGATATAAATTCTAAAGAGAATTCCCGTCTATTCAGAGGTCATTCTGGTATCTTTAGTGAGAATTGCATCACGGACCTAATAGTCTGAAACTGAGCAAATGTGTTTAAAGCCTTAAATATGTTGCAAAATAGGTGAAAAGCATATGCTTTATGTATTTTCCCAACCACTGAAAGAATTACGTGGCTACTCTTCTGGAGCAATTTACAGCTAGGGATGTGTGAATCTGTCAATTTCCAGTTTCTCTCAGATTCTCATTTTTCAGATCACTAAATTTCCACATCAGATGATGATTACTATTACTATTATAAAATCCTAACAAAAATACGTCGCCCTTTTAATGAGCATTTCTCTTAGTAAACACATTTTTTTTGTATGCAGCTTTGACTAATGCACACATATTGGGAAGTAATTTTCCCTATTGTAATACACTTGTGTATTCCCACTAATATAGGCATTTTTAATAGGGTTGTGCATTGGGACTGATAAATTCTGGATCCTGAAGTGAACCAGGGTGATTCAAGCCAACCTGGGTTTCCCCCAGAATGGACTGAGTCAGCCCTGGATTACTCTGGGTGCATCCAGGGCAATCCAGGGCTGTCAAAAGGATGGAACAGTTGGCAGTGAAGTGGCTGAGAAGGAAGCATGAACAGGTTGCCAGCCAACATCTTTTCCCCACATTCTCAGCTGCATGTTTACTGTGGTTTGGGTTTTCTGCAAACTCTGCTCTAACATGTACAATGTTGTACACATTGTTTCGTCAGCGAATGGCCTCACAAAATTCAGAGGTGGGTGAATTTAGAAGGACAGTCATCTTTTGGCTTGCCCACTGGTTCAGGAAGAGCAAATTAAGTAGTTCCTCATTAAAATGTAAACAAAGCCAAGTGTCTCCCTGCCCCTGTTTATGACTAATAGCATCTAACCCTCCAAATGGCTGAGTGGGGACTTAGAAACGTGCCCCCTCACACAAAGAGCTAGCTCTTGATATATACTCGAAAGGAAACCATCCCTTTCACTAGCTATAGGAACTGAAAGACCACTAGTTGACTTTGTCTTATTTTCTGCCATGGAGATGAAGGCTCGAATGGGAAGGGGAGATGTCTGCTGTTGCCCTGAGCTCATCAAAACTCATTCCAGTTAGAAGGGCTCCAGAGACTCACGCTCAAGCAATTAGAATTACAAGCTTTGATGAAACTAGTTCACCGCTGCATTCTTCATTAGTCATTTATGATAAATAGTTCTCAAGCTACTTCAAGCATCCCCAAGCTGCCTATTTTTTCTATTCTCGTGTTGGAAACGCCTCCCGAGATCCAGCCTATCTGCCACATTCCCAGTTTCCACAGCAGGGCTTGGGGGACCTGTGACCTTCCAGATATTGTTGGACTGCAACCCCCATAGAGGTGGGTGAATCTGTCAATTTTACTTTCATTTCCCACATCTTAAACACATTTCACATGTGTTCATACAAAGAATCCACAGTCTATGCAACAAATACAGCAGCGTGCTTTTGAGCAGTGCTGCAAAGGCCTTTCCACACAATCTGGGCTAATCCAACCATTTCAGTTTCTCTTTTCTCCAATCTTAAATTGTGGAGAGAACTACATCTTCTGTACATATACCACATCAGTTTGTACAGGGGCCTCTCCTACTTTGAGTGTTTATTTGTACTGTTTTTAAACCTATTTTCTTTTGTTTTTGTTGTATGATTGCAAATCGCCTTGGGACTTGCATGAAGGAAGATTCATGGATTAATAAAACAACAACAAGAAGAATAAATCTTACTCTTACATTTTTTCTGGCTAGGATTGAAGAAACAGCTTTTGGTCCATCTGAAACTAAATCAAAATTGGGCATATTTGCACATCCTTTTATTCCAGCTGTTTTCCATGTTTTATTTGCACTGATTCAGGATTGCATTTCTGGAACAATCTTAGGAACATAGGAAGCTGCCTCCTACTGAGGGCTTATCCTTACTTATCTTTTGCCACACAGTTTCCAGGCACAGGTCAGTGCTAAAAAAATCTGTGCCTGAGCATGGTTTTTGGTTTGTTTTTATCCTGGAGCTTTCCCCATGAAAACCCACTCTTTATCACCCATTTGGAACAAACATCACTTCAGGTTTTCTGCAGATTGCTATTTGCTCTGATTAAGCTTTAAAGAACAGGTTTTCATGGGGAAAGCTCTGTAGGAAAAATAGGGCACCCTGACATGGAGCTTCAAAACACAGAGCATGCCTGGAAAGAGTGGAGGAATGGTAAGTGTGTTATGATAAGGCTTCAGTGAGACCATTGGTCCATCAAACTCAGTATTGCCCACACAATGCTCTCAGCAGCTCTCAAGGGTTTCAGACAAGGAGTCTCTTCTGGTCCAACCTGGAGATGCCAGAGATTGAACCTGGGACCTTCTGATTTATGGCTCTTCTCCATCCTGGATAACCTTTTTAGGGGTGTTCAAATGAAACACCTTTCATGCACTGAGAGGGAGACTGGGGTCTCGTCTGCCAGAACAAGAAATGTTATCCCAGAGTTGCAACCATATACATGTCTATCTGCTTCTTGCAGTGTTTTCCTGAATGGATTCCTTACATTTCTCAATCTGCAGAGTTTGGTGTGTTTTACTGTTCCAAAGTATTTGGTGAGGTTTTACTGTTCCAAAGTATCTATTTCTCATTGGTGAATCAAACACTCTCCAAACCCAGTTTTATGCTTGTCTATCTGTCTGTCTCTAAATAATATATTTGATGGCTGCTTAACCTTCTGTTAACCTGCTCTATTAAAATTCTTCAGACACACAGTAGCAATGCTCATAATCTCCAGTTCATTATCTTAATTAGATCTGTCCTATATTGTCCCACTGTTCATTCTCATTAGTTTTTAAAGGTGATCAGCCTCCAAAAAGGAATATGAGCGGAATTCAGTGGATTCTATTGTGGCTGTTTGGCTCTCATCGACGTTTGGATCTTTCAGGTGTAATAATGACAGCGCTACTGGTACATTTAATTAAAAGTTACTTTCAAATGACGCGAATGCCCATTTTGGAAAATGAAGACAAAATTAACTTGGGGATGTAAAAGGCCTGTAATGGAACTCAACTGAACTGGGCTCTGTATCAAAATATAAATGAGACATGAAAAATGTTGCAAAAACGAAGAACCCCAGAAACATTTTTTAAGCAAAATTCCTGCCTAGGCCGAGAGCAGTTCGTTAAGGGGCAAGTGACAGTTTGTGTCAAGAGGACGATGTATGATTATGTCATTCATTTCATTATGGCCCCATTAACCATTTCCCCTATGTATCATCACAACAGTCATCTGAGGTAGGGTAGGCTGAGAGAAAGTCACAGCCGAAGGCCGGTTACTGCTATCAATGGTTACCTGCCATGATGACTACATTCTACCTCAACTTCCAGAGGTGAAATCTGAGGTTATCAGTGTGCCCTCAGGCAACAACTCCTGTCCTCCCTAACCCCATGCGACACTGGCTGGGGCTGATCAGAATTCAACACCATTTGGAAGGCACCAAGATGGCTACCCTTGCTTTAGATTACAGAGAAATTGTGGACTTGTTTACAGGCAAGTCTTATAAGCCTTTCTCTCCGATGCAAGTTCCTGCATGAAAAGATTAATGTGATTAGAAATTTAGAACACTTTTTTTTTCTGGGAAAAGGCTTCCACTGGCTTTTTGTAGTCAGGCTATTATGTTTCTGCATCGACCAGATTGCCCACTGCCTGATAGTTAACCTCGAGTAGGTAATTAAATAAAATGAAAGAAGAAAGAAGATGAGTGCATCCTGTCTGCTACTCCATCAGGATGAGTCTCTTTTCTTCCCTCTCTGAGTCTGGCAGTGGGGAGGGGCCGGGGGTGGGGGAAGGGAGTGCGTTTGATTTCCCTTTGTCAAGAGGCAATTGCAACATTCAGCGAGCAAAGAGGAGTGTCACTTTAAACACAAAGTCCAGGCTTGTTCAATCCATAGCTGAGAAAAGCGTGAAGTTGTGCAGCTGGGTGGCGATGCTTCTTCTCAGCAGCTGTCAGTGAAAAAAGGACACAAGCTCTCTCTAGACATCAAAAGCTTCATCTGAGGATATCATGCGTATCTTCAGATAATGGCAGACGTTTTCAATGCATCCCAAATGGTTCCATTGGGACTGGTTCTATTCAGATCTTTGTAGCTTTCCTGTGTTTTTATCCAGGGGTTCCAGAGGCACCATTTCAGATTTAAGTAGGTGATAAACAGACACCTACATCTCTATTTGCTTGTGAGGGCAGAAGATCATGGATGTCATGGGGTTCTGAGGAAGAGTGGGCAGGGAAAGATGCAGACCACCATGAGCCCAGAAAGCTGCCTTATCCTGTCAGACCCTTTGTCCAACTAGCCCAGTCTTGTCTACCCTGACTGGCAAATGGCTCTGTGAGATTTCAGGCACTGAGTCTTTCCCAACCTGGATTGGAGATACCGGAGATTGAACCTCTGAACTTCTGCATGCAAAGCAGATGCTCTACCACTGAGCCTTGGTCCCTATGTATGAAGTGATTGCTCAATGGAAGAGGACACAAAGTCATGGTCACATTGTGCCTCTTCTGCTTCTGAACACCTGGCACTGCTGCTGACTCAGCCTGACCTTTAACCAACCTTCTCTACTCTACCCCGTACTTCTTGACATTAGTCATCCTTGCAGAGCTTGGGAAGTTCAGTAATAATAATAATAATAATAATTTATTTTTATCCCGCTCATCTGGCTAGGTTTCCCTAGCCACTCTGGGTGGCTCCCAGCAGAACACAATAAAACATCAAACATTAAAAACTTCCCTAAACAGGGCTGCCTTCAGATGTCTTCTAAAAGTCAGATAGTTGTTTATTTCCTTGACATCTAATGGGAGGGCGTTCCATGGGGTGGGGGCCACTACCGAGAAGGCCCTCTGCCTGGTTCCCTGTAACCTCACTTCTTGCAGTGAGGAAACTGCCAGAAGGCCCTTGGCGTTGGACCTCAGTGTCTGGGCTGAACGATGAAGGTGGAGACGCTCCTTCAGGTATACTAAGCCAAGGTCATTTAGGGCTTTAAAGGTCAGAACCAACACTTTGAATTGTGCTCAGAAACGTACTGGGAGCCAAAGTAGGTCTTTCAGGACCGGTGTTATGTGGTCTCGGTGGCCACTTCCAGTCACCAGTCTAGCTGCCTCATTCTGGATTAATTGTAGTTTCCGGGTCACCTTCAAAGGTAGCCCCACATAGAGCTGGTTCTAAAGTTCAGGTTCAACATGTCCACGAAGGAACTCAAACCAGTTCACAAGCATCCCTTTAGAAAGCGAACTAGATAGAACTTTCATGGCTTTTTGTTTTGTTTTTTTAAACCTTTAAGCTCTTTGGGTCATAGAGTCATAGAACTGTAGAGTTGGAAGGGATCCTGCGGATCATCTAGTCCAACCGCTTGAATTGCAGGGATATGCAGCTGTCCCATACAGGGAACAAACTTGCAACCTTGGCATTCTTAGCACCACACTCTTAACCCGCTGAGCTACCCAGGCTGACAGTCTAAAGGCTTAAAGAGCATAATGGTTAGGTAAAATAAATTGGACAGTTCACATTCACACTGTGGGTTTCTTTTGCCTTAAGTATGTTTTAATACCCCAACACAGCAGCTTGTAACATTCTGAATGCTGATCAGAGTATTGCTGTTGTTTACTGCTGCCAGATAAGCCCATGGGAACTTACTGATGAATGCTTTGCCAAGCCCCCCACCCACAAAAACTGGATCCATTTCTTCTTTTCTCCTTCCAAAAGAACATGGCCTCCCCACCGCAATGAGCATCAAGAGAGATCTGTCATGGACATAAGAAGGCTTTTTAAAAAAAAATGCCTGTAACTGATCCGTTGGAAAATATTTTATGTGACTTTGACCAACTGAGACTTTTTAATGTTAATATCTGCAGGTGACAGAAAATATGCATCAACTTTTTTTTTTTGCCACACAGTTTTGATCTACAATTATCTCTTTGAAGATTGGGAGAAGCATAGCATACTCACTGAAACAAGCTCTTCAAGGAAATAAGAAAGAGTGAGAGAGATCGAGAGAGGGAGAGAATTTGATCGTCATGCAAGGAAAATATCAAGATGGATAGAATGCAGAGATGAACACTAAATGTCAGTCTCTGGACTATAATGAAAATGGCCTGCATTCCTATTATTTCCTGTCCTCAGGTCTCATTATAGTCATTTTACCAATGAATACATGCATAGTATGCTATTTCCTTTTCTCATTACCATCTTTGTCATGGAAAAGAGGCTATCAGAATCTTAATGACTCAGTTATTTAAGCCATTTCTGTATTCTTTATATTTTGAACAACCTCTCTGTTTCACTTCTTCCCCACAGGTTATTAATGCCGAGAATGGGAATTGCCATCAAATTGCTGAACAATGAAAAGGCCAAAGTATCAGGATTGCTATTATCTCCGCAACAAAGATTATAACAAGAGCGAGAAAGAGGGCCAGGATGAATTCAGCGCGTGTCTCCCCAAGGCAACTGACATTAACAAATATGATAAAGAGCTGGATCTGAAGTCCGTGGAAGTGAAGGGAAAGACTTCCAAGGTCCCAAAGTTACTCACCCTGATGATGAGGTGCTGTGTTAGCGTTGTTGTGTTAGCTCCCTACTTCTGCGAATGGTGTGGAAGTTCCAGGGGCAGTTTGGCTTCCTTTGAAAGCAGACCTCACTAGAGGCAGAGGGCTAAGCAGGAAGACAGCCTTGAAAGAGAATGGCATCAAACATCCGCCTCCCTATATATCTTTTAGCTAAATCCCATTTTGAAAACACACATTTAAATGTGGTGTGTGTGTAACAGGATTTCCTTGTGACTGGTTTCCTTGTGACTGAATAAAATTATACTGTGGTCCAGGTTGTATTGGTGTTTTGCAACTTTGACCTGTTGCAGGACCTTAGCCAGACCTTAGCAGAGCATACGCAGAGTTCCAGAAAGCAATCATTGCAGGCAGGATGGACGAAGCAGGAACAAGACGCTGCTACTAGTAACTCTAGTTACTTAGAGGTGTTTATTATTTACAGCAGTCTCTACAAGTTACTATATACAAGAACAGAAACGGATCTTAACTAGCTCTCTCTTAACAAACTCCAAATGACTCTCAGAACTCAGAACACCACACTGACCAACTCCAGTGAGTAAGGTCATAAGTCATCATGCCTCTGTGAGACCTCCAAGGCTTCATATCTCTAGGCAGAATAACTCCTCTCTGCTCAGTTATCTTGGCTTTCGGCCAACGCTTAATTGACTCAGTGTGAAGCTGCACAGAATGGCACGTAGTCAAAAATCCCAACAGGTTGTGTGTGCTGATCACGGAGGGATGAATGTCTTGCTTTGCTTTGTAGATCCCTGGAGGGTAGACTTCATGACTTTGGGGTTCATCTCCATACTATGCTTTCTGATGTAGCCAAAATGGCACCACCAACATGCAAGATAAAAGTATTAGTGTGCTTGGAGGAGCCTCAAAGTTTGCAGAAGTACAATGAAATTAGAGTTTTAGAAAATATGTAAGACCTCCCCTTCAGAAAAAAAAACACACCAAAAACCTTAATGAAGTCAGAATGTTCTCAGTGCCCAGAGAATACTGCCTGATGGTTTGGAGGGGGAGAAGGATGGAAAACAGTTGGTGGGAGGAGAGGGAGACTAGAATACTGAACAAGGAGCCTTCCACATTATAAAACAAGGGTAGCCAACCTGGTGCCCTCCAGATGATACAACTCCCATCATCCCTGACCATTGGCCATGCCAGCTGGGGCCAATGTGAGTTGGAGTCCCATGACATCTGCAGGTGTCGAGGCTCTGCTAAAGCTTTGGGAAAGCTATTCCTCCCCTGGCTGCAGCAAGAGCAGAGAAAACAAGGTAGAGTCTTTTTTTAAATGAGTTTTATTCAATCCTAATAGTGAGAGACAAAAGAACGCAACAAGCCTCAACAATGGCATTGCTCCAAACTGGGCTCCACCTCCCTCCTTCTGTCTGGAGTCCAGGTTCCCGGCTCGATAACACAGTAAGCGTAGGTAATTAAAAAGGAGGATTTATTGCAAAAACAAACAGAGAGCTCCAGGCGGCTCTGACAAAGCCGCTGACATTATCACTCAAGATGACCCTTCTGAAGACTCCTTCCAGTTCCTACAGAAGATATTGAACCTTCGCCCCTTATGTCTCTGTTTTGCTTCCTGTCCAGCAGCCCTCCCATTCGCTAACTCTTCGGACTTACTGGATCAGCTCCAACCTCTTCCTGTCCCGAAAGACTGCCTCTGTGTCTGTTTGCACCTGTTTGAGCTTCCTGAGAGCTTTGGCTGTGTTCCAGCCCACTCTCAGTTGTTCCCTTGGCAACCGGCTGTCCAAGGTCAGAGGGAGTCAGCGCTGGCAGCTCTAGCCTCTGCTCAGCCTGCATCAATTCGAAACCTTTCTGTTCTGCCAGTATTCTGCAGCTGGCTGTAAAGTTCCACTTGGTGCTGGCTCATTCCTGATACCTTCCTAGCAACAGCATCTTCCCTTATGGCAGCCACTCGTGGCCAGTTGTCTCTGAGTCCTTTGTTCCTATACTCTTAACGAACGCTGCGTTCTGGGAGAAGGGGGTGTGTGTCAGAAATATTTTCCAGTGACAACGTGTCATCTGGCTGCCCTGCTGCAGTTCCCCCCACTTCTTATAACACTTCCCAACTTTTCTGTTTGTCTCTCTCTGAGCTGTGACTTTCCTCAAACCCCTCAAACCTTCTGTAATTCAAGGCTGTCTCCCTCTTCTCCTGCAGCATCAGGAAAAGGTGTGTGTGTGATCTCCACCATTCCTTCTCCTCCATCTCACCCTCTTGAGTCCAATCCCTAACATCAGGGCACCTTGTTGGCTACCCCTGCTGTAGCATTTTGTCCCATGTCCGACTTGTGCTTCTCTTGCTTGGGCATCAGAGCCAGTTCAAATGTTATATTTTACCAGGCACAATATTGCAGAGCTGAGATTCACTAGCGCGCTCTCTCCCTCTGTAAATGCTCATCAAATAGTAAAATCCAGATTGCTGGCACATGGATCTCACCCACAGTCAGATCCAGGTGCTCCAGAGATCACTTCAGGTAACTTTGAGAGAATCATGTTGAGATGCATGAGTCAGCAATTTGGTGTTAACATTATTAGTGGGTATGCAGGAAAGCGCAAGTAATTTGTGTGCATTCACCATGCCTCCTGCAGTGTAAAACTCAAAACAGCCCTTGGGCTGCCTGTGTATTAGGGGAGATGACTCTCAAAGGGTGAGTCACCCGAACAGCCACGATAGCCCACCAGGACTACAATGTCTCATTGCAGATCTGTAAAAAGAAGAATGGAGAAATTAAAAGTGACATTTTTAAAGCCCTACCTTTATAATCCAAATGTATGTGCAGGGAATTTAATTAGCGTCATAATTTTTCTAAGTTCAAGCCATCCCCAGAGTAACTTTAATGTAACTTCTGAAATTAATTAGAGCATATTATTTCTTAGAGGAAACAACCCTTCACAGTCTGCTTTGCAGTCACTGTTTCTTCATGTTATCTTTGAAACATTCTCCTGATCTTCAGCAGAAACGCCAACTTAATAAAGTTCTTAGTATCAAGTGAGGCTGCTTGAAGCCTGATGAGCCAAAACTGTGTATGCCATTTCTCTCTATTGCTAAGCCGGAGTTTCTGAAATACTTATTAAAAGGGTTAGAAAATGAGACAGAAATCAGCGTATTTTATGAAAATAATTACTCATTTTCTGAGCCCTCCAAATTGTCCTAAAGAAGTTCCATTTGTCGTTTCCAACCCTTTATTTCCCCTGAAACAGAATCATAATTCAGTTATCTGTTTAACTCCCTTTTTAGAACATGCACTTTTCTTGATGGCAATAATAATCAACAGAGATAAATTAAATTAATATCTTTACTGATGCAATAAATTAAATCACTGTCTCTCTTTATCTGTCATCGGAGTGCAATACCACACGACAGGCTATCAAAACATTCATTTCTGGGTCAGAGATTCATGTATTAAGTTGGAAGCGTTCCTTATTTCATCTACTATTGTTACATAAATAGTAATGATAAGGACAAGCTGCAATAAAATGTTGCTGTGTGAACAAGGTCAGCTCACTTATAAGCTAAAGTGAGCTGCTTGCCTCAAGTGGTGGGTTACCAGGGTGGTGGATCAATGCCTCTAGCCCAGGTGTCAGCAAACTTTTTCAGGAGGGGGCTGGTCCACTGTCCCTCAGACCTTGTGGGGGGGCCGAACTATATTTTTTGGGGGGAAATGAACGAATTCCTATGCCCCACAAATAACCAAGAGATGCATTTTAAATAAAAGCACACATTCTACTCATGTAAAATCATGCTGATTACCGGACCCTCTGTGGGCCGGATTGGAAGGCTATTGGGGGCCAAATCCGGTCCCGGCCCTTAGTTTGCTGACCCATGCTCTAACCCATGGGTCGGCAAACTAAGGCCCAGTGGCCGGATCAGGCAAAATTGCCTTCTGGATCCAGCCCGTGGATGGTCCAGGAATTGCTGCGTGAAACATCAGCACGCGTGGGTTGTTTCCCTCTCTCACACATGGCAGTGGTTGTGCTTCCTCCCTCCCTCCTCCTGGCTTCTCCCCGCCCTGCCTAGAGGAGGAAGGGAGCTGGGCTTTGTTGGTGCCAGCAGCAGCAGCGCTCAAGCAGCCGCCATTTTAAGCAGCCCCTCTCCAGACCCTTTCGCGCGCCACTCATCGTCCCTCCGCTGCCAGCCCCTGCCGCTCGCAAGACACAGGTAAGCAGCCACCGGGGCTTGTGGTGCTCTTGATCATTATTTTTTTTCCAAAATATAGTCCGGCCCCCCACAAGGTCTGAGGGACAGTGGACTGGCCCCCTGCTGAAAAAGTTTGCTGACCTCTGCTCTAGCCCATTACCAGAGGTGCCAGCTTCTCAGGATGATGAAGCTGATATGATGTCCTGACATGGTGTGTGCAATGTGTGAGGAGCCAAATGCCTTCTGAACATTGAGGGGGCCCAGCTCCCTCAAAAACCCCCACATTTTGGGGGCACTTCAGCCCCTAGGAGCCGGTGCCTTTGGCCATCACCCACTGTTTCCACCCCCCATCCCCTGCAGAGCTGCAGTGCCTTTTCGGTGGTGGCGCCCACCCTGTGGAATGCCCTCCCATCAGATGTCAAGGAAATAAACAACTACCAGGCTTTTAGAAGACATCTGAAGGCAGCCCTGTTTAGGGAAGTTTTTAATGTTTGATGTCTTCCATTTTTAATCTGTTGGGAGCCACCTAGAGTGGCTGTGGAAACCCAGCCAGATGGGTAAGGTATAAATAATGAATTATTATAATAATATTATATTATTATTGACCGCTTGCTGCTGCTGACCAGCCAGTCACTCCCCAATATAAGAACAACAACAACTTTATTATTTATATGCTGCCCATCTGACTGGGTTTCCCCAGATACTCTGTGTGGCTCCCAACAAAATATTAAAAACACAGTAAAACATCAACCATTAAAAACTTCCCTGAACAGGGCTGCCTTCAGATATTTTCTGAAAGTCAAATAGATCCAGTGGTTACAGAAATTATCTGCTCAGATTTGATTTCTATAGTCCTTTATAATGCAGCATGTACTTTAGGATCTTATCCAGGACAGTCTACCTTGATGGGGTTTTTTCCAAGGTCTTAGACAGTGGTTATTCCCTGCTTGGTACCTAAGACTCCCTTTAAATCAGAGGTGGACATCCCATGCCCTTCAATTGCTGTCAGACCCCAAACACCCATCATTCCCAGAGCCATCCTTCCCATTAGGCTTACTGGCGCATTGAGCCAGGGTGCTGGCCTCAGGGGCACCCCAGGAAGTGGGGGAGCTGCGCGGCTTTGCCGGCGGCCTCCCCTTTCCCTGCACGTCCGTCAGCTGTGTCCCATGAACCATATGGCTGGCGGGCGTGCAGCTTGCCTCCCAAGCTTCTGCAGGAGGAGAGCGATCCCTGCAGAGGCTTGGGAAGAGGCCGACAACTCTGGGAAAGGGGGGGGGCGGGCGCCGCCGGAGGGATCTTTGCACCACGGCACCGGATATGCTTAAGACGGGCCTGATCATTCCCCTCCATTTTTCCATTCCAGCTGGGACTGATGGGAGCTGGAGTCCACCAGCACCCTTATTTTAAACAGAGATGCTGTGCTCTTCTGCCTGCCAAGCTGTTGCTCTGTAACTGAGACATGGTCTATTCCCTGCCCCCCAGCCCCGGCCCATCAGCTGATCCCCACATCTTTCCATGCCGTTCCTCTCCTTCCGCTCCTTGGGGACCAGCCATGGACTGTGAGGAAAGGGAAGCACGTGCTTCTTCCAACTCGTTTTCAATGGGTTATAAATAGAAGCAGAAGACTAAGCTTAAGTAAGTGCCTCCTTTAATAAAAGTGTCCCATGTGCCGAAATAGGAAGAAGAAGAAAAACTGTTTTCATGGAAATGTTCAAGAAGTGATTTCAGGAACAATATCGGAAGAGTGATGAGATTATTAATGAGTCAGGCTCACACAGCTGGGCCTGAAAAACAGACTCCGACACTTTCCATTTTAAGATGATTTCCCTCTCTCTCTTTCTCTGTGATTTACTTTGCTTCAGTCCAGTTCTGAATGGGTTTGTACATTGGATAACAGCCAGAATAAGAGAAACACATTTTTTTAAAAAATGCAGTTGTAGCCTGTCCATCTCCCAGGGAAGGGATGAGGCACCTGTGGTCCTCTAAATGTTGCTGGACTACATATCCCATCATCCCCTGCCCATTGGCTATGCTGGCTGGGACTAATGGGAGATGGATTCCAACACCATCTGGAGGGCCTCAGGTCCCTTGCCCCGCCCCAAGGTGTTGGACTGGGTAAATGCATTATAATTATTTTACCCCAGACAGGGCCACTGCAGGTTTTGAAGGGGGCTTGGGCAAAGCGTTCTAAGGTGCATCCCCCTCACAAGGTAGTGAGTTCAAGTTTGCAATAACAGTTAAAACATAAGAGCAGTCTGCTGGGTCAGGACAATAATAAATGTAATAATAATAATAAATTTCATTTATACTCCGCCCTCCCCAGCCAGAGCCAGGCTCAGTGCGGCTAACACCAATAAAATCACAGCAAAAACATAATAGGGGGGAAAAACCCAATTTAAAATACAGGTTAAAATGCAATTTAAAATGCAGCCTCATTTTAAAAGTAGCCGATAAATCAAGACCATAAGGGAGGGAAACATAAGGGTCAGACTGAGTCCAAACCAAAGGCCAGGCGGAACAGCTCTGTCTTGCAGGCCCTGCAGAAAGATGATAAGTCCCGCAGGGCCCTAGTTTCTTGGGACAGAGCGTTCCACCAAGTCGCGGCCAGTAATGAAAAGGCCTTGGCCCTAGTTGAGACCAATCTAATCACCTTGTGACCTGGGACCTCCAAAATTTTGTCATTTGTGGACCTTAAGGTCCTCTGCAGGGCATACCAGGAGAGGCGGTCCTGTAGGTACGTGGGTCCTAGGCCACATAGTCCAGCATCTTCACTGTGGCCCATCTAGTCCAGCATCTTCACAGTGACCAACCAGATGCCCATGGGGAACCCTCAAACAGTACCTCTCTCGTCTCCTAGGGTTTCCAGCAACTGGTATTTCGAAGCATTACTGTGTAAAGGAGGAGGAAGAGAAAAAGCACATAGCTTAGAAGCCCTTTTCACACCTTCACAGAGATGGTGAACATGGGGCATTGTGGGCGGAAGAAGGTAACACCACTGTATTAGCTACTCATCTTTACACGCGTTATTCATTCATAAAACCAGAACAGAACTTCTGGGGTTTATTCATTCCTGACCACTTTCTTCCATGTTTTGGCCTTGCCTTTGCAACAAGAGCATTAGGATAGGGTGCGCGCATGTTCGTAGGAAGTGGTTAAAGGAAAAAGAAAAAGAACAGTTGTGTGCATTTGATACTCTTTTTTTTATTAGGATAAGGAGGGCGATGGGAAAATCTGCATTTTGGTTGAGAAGGGTCATGGCTATCTTATTCCCTATCTCATTCCTTCCTAGACAGCTCTCTTTGATGTTGCAGTTCAAGCATATCACATCAAGCTCTTGTGACACACAGCCAGATGGGAGAGGCTAAAAGTCAGCCCAAGCATCGATTTTGAAAAGAAACAACCCTGGCAGATTCCAGGGATCCATATTTAGTGCTGCTCGCCTGCAGCAAACATCTCAGGCTAGCAATGTTCAGAAACCAATGGGCGGAAGAACAAAGGAGGCAACCTCTTGTAAGGTTCTCGTTGCCAGTGGTCATTTGTCTTTTAATTGTTACAAGCAACAGCAGACAAACTGTTGGAGGCGGTATGTGCCTGAATGCCAGTGTCTGGAAGCCACAGGAGGGCAGAGTACTCTTGTGGTCAGGTCCTGCTAACAGGCATTGTTGTCAGGAGCTCGGCCTACACTCGAGTAGGACCCTGGCAGAGACACATGCCCGACTGGCATGTTCTCTCCCTCCTGGTCGATCGTTTGGGAGCTTCAAAAGCTTTCTTCAGCCCGAACATCACAGCGACCGATGCCAACCAACACCTGCAACCTTAGGGATCCGTAGAGTCTTCGCAGTTCGCGTAACAGACCTCAGCAACTCAGCATTTTGGCTAATCTACTTTATTTACATATAAACACACACAGAGCACTGCAACATGGCTTCCTCTCTCTCTCTGGCATCAGACAGCAAAGAAAAAGACAAAGGACAATAATCCCACTTCATGGAACACAGTAACACAAACATCCTGTCTCCGTCACTTCCCACTTTGTTGAGTCAAAACATATCACGTCATGTGAAAGAAAACAATCCCATGACTGCAATCAAGGAGCAGGAATTCTAACAGGCATCTGCTTGGCTACTGTGAGAACAGGATGCTAAACTAGATGGGCCAATGGCCTGAGCAAGCAGGGCTCTTACGATAAAGATGATAAACTAGAGAAAAGCACATGCAGATCAACGATGCTGGTATCTCAAGTAATATCTCTTTGATTCTTCATTTTGGCTGATTAGGTTTTTAATATGTCATTAGCAGTGTATCCTCTATCCTGGTCAACATCTGAATTTATTTGAAATTGTTACACCCACACACCCACACCTGATGTTATACATGCAATTGTTTTAATTGATTTTACATTTGCAATTACTTTGTATATGGTTTATATTGTATTGTGAAATTGCTTTGAGATGCTTCATAGGAACCAATTAAGAAATGAAATAACAAACAAACAAACAAACAAACAAACAAACAAATAAAAGTGTGTAAGTAACTCTTAACAGATAAAAGTGAACCATGGTGAGGGAAAAGCATTATTTTTCTGAACTTCTTCCTAGATTGGAGGGGTGGTGGAATCGCTTTCCCTCCAGATCTTTTCTTTTTGGACCAAATGCTTTTGGCACAAGATAGTGCCCTTCACTACACACACACACACACACACACACACACAGGTGCTGACAGCCAAGCTCCTGCTAGGGACTTCTTCTTTGTTCTGGACCAGACAGTCTATTTCTGCTTGGTAACAGCAAGCCTAATGGACCCTTATTATATAGCTCTCTCTGGAAATCATGCCAGTGCTCCTTCAGAATTGGCCGAGAGCTGTGTTGAATCAATGAGGCAGCTGGCACCCTCCCCGGAGACTGAATGCTTTACCTTTTTGATTCATGCGCTCTATGCGAGCAGAGATCCAGGATGCCATGAGTGATTTCTCTTAGAGGCAGGTGAGAACAAAAGAGCTTTGTAAACCCAATTCAATAGAAGCGGCAGACATGGTGCTCTATTGATTACGAAAATACATACGCAGTCCAGAAGCATTTTCTCCGTAATTGATTTCTGGGCGAGGTGGAGCTGAGAGTCCCAACAAATAAAACATTCCATACCGGGATTGCCCTGCCTATATATATATCAGCAAGTGTGTAGGATTGGCCGCAGCTTCTTATAAACTGAGTTCTTTGCTGAACAACATTTGCCCACTGTAGATTATATACTCAGTCCTAGAAATGATAGATGGAGAGAGATGGATTCTCTTGCATTTCTGGCCATATAAATTTCAGAGAAATGATTACAGATGCATAGAAGTTCTGGGAGGGAGTTGCCCAAGAGTGATAAAGAGATCTTGGGGAAAACTTACTATTATTGTTGCTATCTTGATTTATGTCCTCTCAAGAAAGCATGTAGAGTTTTATCCTCCTGCTGCTTTTACCGTTCACAACAGCACACTACCCTCAGGTCTGAAGATGGCACGGGAAGCAGTCTTGAACCAGTGCCAGCAGTGACTCTCTGTCAGTGCCTAAGAGGTTTGGTAACAAAGCTGAGAAATATGGCTGGGTCATGTTTGACTGAAGATACCAGACCTATGAGAGGGTGGCTGAGAGCAAAGACTAACTACTTGCTGCCTCCTAGTTAGGTTTGTCTTTTTTCTCTGGAAGGAAGCTTGAATAGCTGCCAAAGCAAACTCTTTTTCATCCCTACCTCCCTTTGTTTCTGGAGAAGATTTATATAATTGCTTGCATTTGGGCCAGGCTTCTTTTAAATGTGGCTGGTGTTTTTGTTTTGTTTTGTTTTGCATGACTCGGGGATAATGTCCATGCAGTCTGAAGGTGAGGGTGCTGGGAGGCAATCTCTCAGTGCTGCTAGGCAGAGAAGCAAATTGTGATTGCAAACCAAAGAATATTTGTCAGGGTGTACAAAGAGGGCGTCTCTTCTTTAGGAAGGCTGGAGTCCAACACTTTGGCGTAGCATATAATTTCCTTATGCTGGGGGTTCATGCTGTGGTTCCAGCAAATATACCTTTGACTCGCATAATCCTTTAATATGCATTTCAGGAAAGGCTTTTAACACATAAAGGATGCTAGGCAGAAGTTATGAAGAATGCTGATCCTTTCTGTGTTAAGAGAATTAAGCTGAAACAGCAAAATCTAGCCCACCAATGCTTATTTTTACCAAAATACAATAAGCATTTTAAAGACTTTCATTGCCTCCTTTATATAACCTATTTATTAAATTATGGCCTTGCTTGTGACCTTTCTTGTACAGTGGTACCTCGGGTTACATACGCTTCAGGTTACAGACGCTTCAGGTTACAGACTCCACTAACCCAGAAGTAGTACCTCAGGTTAAGAACTTTGCTTCAGGATGAGAACAGAAATCGTGCTCCGGCGGCGTGCCAGCAGCAGGAGGCCCCCATTAGCTAAAGTGGTGCTTCAGGTTAAGAACAGTTTCAGGTTAAGAACGGACCTCCGGAACAAATTAAGTACATAACCCGAGGTACCACTGTAGATGGCTATCCAGGTTGTTATTTACAGGAGGGTGCTTGCTGGTGTCTAACTCCAGCTGTCCATGTTGTGCACAGGACATAGTATGAGAAGAAGTCTCAAGTGAGACTCCTCTAACCTTGTTTAAACTAAAGCACATTAAAAAAGCCTGCTGGATCAGGCCAATGGCAAATGACAACATTCTGTCCTCACAAGTGGCCAAGCAGATGCCCGTGGGACCCCTCTCCTCCTGGGGTTTCTAACAACTAGTATTCAGAAGTGTTACAGCCTCCAACCGTCGAGGCAGAGTATAGTCGTCATGGTTAGTAGCTCCGTTTTGAAAAATAAGCGTATCTTTCTGCATAATTTTTCCCTGGCTAATTGTTAAGCGGGCCAAGGATGTATACAGGGCACTGATGCTCCCACCCACCCACTTATAAACTTATACACAGAGCCATGAGTTCTAGAAACTTGAATTTCTAGTGAAAGGTGAGCTTCTGCACCCACACAGAAGTCATGGCCCACACACAGCCCAGCCGTAAACTTATTGGCCAGTTCCCCTTCCACCCATTACAGCTTTTATTTCATCTCAATAGGATGGAGGTGTGTTTCTCCTTCCCAAATTGATGATGGCATCTAAAACACTGGATAGCCCATCCCAGGCATTGGTAATCTCTTTAAGTGGTTCCATATTTCCCAGGCACCTTTCTTCTTCGATCTTTCCGCAGGGCCTGCAAGACAGAGCTGTTCCGCCTGGCCTTTGGTTTGGACTCAGTCTGACCCTTATGTCTTCCCTCCCCTTACGGTTTTGATCTATGGGCTACTTTTAAAATGAGGCTGCATTTTAAATTGCATTTTAACCTGTATTTTAAATTGTTTTTCTGTTCTTTTCTCTCCCCCCCCCCATTATGTTTCTATTGTAATTTTACTGATGTTGGCCGCCCTGAGCCTGACTGTGAGGTAGGTTAGGCCCAGAAACAGGCTGGCCCAAGGTCACCTAAGGTCAGCTTTGGGGCTGAGTGGGGATTTGAACCCATGTCTTGTTCCGACACTAACCACTGCACCACATTGGCTCTCAATGGCTCCCAAGACATTTTTTTGCTGCTTGAGGCAAAGGACAACTTCCCCATTCCACATACAGAATCCAAATAGATGGACAATTGAATCTTCTTTAATAGCATAAATCTTATGCTTTAAGAGCATAAGAAGAGCATGTTGGATCAATCCAGTGGCCTATCTAGTCCAACGTCTTGTTCTCACAATGACCAGCCAAGTGTCTATGGGAAGCTGTCAGGCTTCGGGGAAATGGATCCCTCCCCCAGTGGCAGTAATTAAGCAGATCAAATGAAAGGAGCGCTCTTACACTGCTCTTACAGTGAGAGACAAAGGAATTAATATGTCTCTAAAATGGCGTTGCTTCCAGTTAAGGTTCACCCCTTCTGTCCCCATTAATCTACGTCACTCCTACGTCATGTAATCTGAGTTTGTGGCCTCTGAGCTTTCTGTTCTACTACTCTCAGAGCCCGTCTAGTCCTAGGTGAAGGGGAGTCCAAGGACACTGAATCTGCCAGCTGTCTTTTTCCTGGTGTTCCCTCTTCTAGCTGTTCCTCACCCAGTATTTC